TTCTTCTAGTATTAACTAGAATTACCCTTTTATCTTTTCTACTAAATAGTATAAAAGAGGGGGTGTTAGAAGTATAAGTATATTATACTTCTATTTTACTTATTTATCCTATTTAGTCTTATCTAAGACTTAGTAGGACTTACAAAAGTAACTAGCTAAGAATGGCTGCTTGCTAGTTTAAACATATGACATTCAGATCCCTATGGAATACTCTCTTTAACCTTATCTAAAAGTCTATTTAGTTAAAGAAGATTCTAGTCTGATTTATAAGCTGCTTTATAAGCTAGTTGACGTATATACTTACGTATACTAAACCTAGCTTATAGCTTCCTATATTAGCTATTATAGGCGACGTTATACTACTATATAACTAGCCTAATTCTCTCCCTTAGCTAGCTATTAGTTCCTCAACCAACTCAGCTTCAATATAAGCCTATACATTCTTTACTATTAAAGCCCTACTTCATAAGTACAAGTTCCCTTACTCTAATACCCTGTTATAAGGATATCGTACTATCTACGAGATTCCTACCTACCGTTCCAACAATATCTTATATCTTTATTATTAAAAAACCTATTAAAGACTATTATACCTTATAATAGTATTACTAACGAATTAAATAATAACGAATTCGTCGCTTCTATAGAAATAATAGAAACTAATTACTAAGACCTTGATTCCCTCTCTATAATTATTAAGGAAGTAATAAGTTAACTAGTAAAGTCTTTTCGACCTTGCTACGCCTTAGCCTAGCGACTACCTAGTTACTACTAAGCCGCTAGTAGCGTACGCTTTTATACTAAAAAGACCTTCCTATCTACTAATATTCTAGCTTTACTAACTTCTTATTAATTCTCTCTTAGTATGCTTTCTACTACTACCTTTTCGAAAGTCTTACTTAACGGCGTAGCGATTCCGAAGTCTTACCGCAAGGCGTAAAAAAGCCTATAGTAGCCTTAGTAGGAACAAGCCTTTAAACGAGAGATAACTTAATTTATAAAAAAGGGGGTTTACGAAGTCGTTTACTTACTACGTAACGCTAAAGTCTTGCCTAGCAAGTAGGTATATAATATTAAACTAATAAAAACAACGAAATCGTACGCTATAAGGCTTGATATATAGTTTATAAAAACTACGAGAAAGGTAACTAGTTATTATAAGAGGTTTATACTATAGTTGCCTCTACTACCGCTACCTACTTTTCTTCGTAGTTATCATACTTCTCGATCTCGAATACGAAGTATATAATTTCGATACTACCTTCCTAGCCGCCTCGATTCTAGAAGGGGTTAAGGTATACGTCCGGCCTCCTACTAGCTATACTATTAAAGATAATAAGGTATAGTTACTATATAAAGCACTTTATAGCTTAAGAAAATCACTACTCTAGTAGTTTCGTCTTATCAAAAGCGAAATAGAACGAATTAGCTTTACTACTATTAATAAGGAGGTTTATCTCTTCGTTAACTATAAGATTAAAGCATACGTTCTTATATACGTCGACGATAACGCTATCGCTACTCCTAATAAGTAAGTTATAATAGAAGTTTATCGTCTCTTCGAGAAGGTTTGTTCTCTTAAAAACCTCGGCAAGGCTACCGATTTTCTCGGTTTCTAGATTGAACGCGACAGGGCTGCTAGTAAGATTTTCGTTTCCTAAGCTAAGTATATAAAAGCAATACTTTAACGATTCGACTTTAATAGTTTAAGTATTGTTAAGACGCTTATAGCGACTACTAACGATCTACCTGTTACCTAGGATAAGAACGAATACTTACTTAACGAATAGCAACTTTATATCGAATAGACTAGCTGCCTTAACTTCCTAGTAGCTAGAACTCGCGTTAACATAGCCTATACCGTTAGTAAATTATCACAGGCGAATTCAAGGCCTTCTAAGGCCTATCTTCGTACTATTAAGTACTTATTCCGATACATTAAAGGTACCGTTTATCTCGGTATTATACTTAGAGGCATCCTTACGATTAATAAGTTAAGGCTTTACGCTATTATAGATACTCTTTCGCTAATAATAAGCTATTATAAGTCTCGATAGGTAGTTACGTCGTCTTCCTTGCTAGTATGCCGATTGCTTAGAAGTTAAAGAAATAGACTTTCGTAACTTTAAGTATTACGGAGGCTAAATTTATTAATCTTATACCTATAGTAATTATTATAAAGTAGATTAGACGTTGCCTTTCCTAACTACTTAGCAAACCTATTACTATGCCTACTATTATATTTACTAATAATACTAACGGCTATAATAACGTTATAAACCTACTTAACAAGGTACGAACCTACTATATCGACGTCTAATATAAATAGATTATATAGGAGGTTTATACTACGAAAAGCATCGAACTCCGACTCATCAAGGGCGCTGATATGGCCGCCGATGGACTACGAAGCCACTAGTTACGGTTAAACACAAGGAATTCGTTAGTTTGTTGGGCATGGCGGAGGGATTGGATTAAGAGGGGGATTTGGAGACTATAGGACTATTAATATTAAGACTTCGGGATTCGGAGGATTTTACAGCCTCCTATTAGCTAGGTCTAACCGGTAATTAACCAAGTTTTCTAATAGTTGAGAACTCCTCGGATTTAGAGGATTTAGGACTTTTCCTATATTTCCTATTATTCTACTGCTTTTTCGCTAAGGAGTCTGAGAGGGGGTGTGGGTGGCAGGCCTCGCCGGCCCGTCACGTGGGCTGACGGCCGCCACCACTGGTCTTAGCCAGCCTCCACAGCCCTCTAGCCAGTTAGTTAGTTCTTCAACCAACAACACCACTTTTCCCATTCTGAGCGTTCTGTGCTGGTTTCGCCCACAAAGAGAATGCTCGTGGGGAGATAATGATGGCCTTAATACAGGATTATGGTAAACAAACAACAGCTTCATGTTGGAATATGTGCAGGATGTCTTAGTTTTAGATACAAGGAGGTGTTGAATATTATTTATTTTTAAGTTTTCTTTACACGTCGTCAACCTTCCGGAGCCGAAAGCACCTTTATGTGGATCTGCGATAGCTAACCTGTCGTCAGAACTGTGGTGCGGGAAGGTGGCGGATAGTGCCCACTCTTTCCCAGTCATTTCTGTAGCATCCGGCTGGAGCGCTGCTACCGCGGTGTCTAGGATCCAGCGAACGAGCATTGTCATCGTCATCAAAGACGGCTGGCGCGGAGATACTGGATGGCACCGTTTGAGCGGAACGGGCATTTAATAAGGTAGGTTGTGAGGGCTTCAAACTGAGCTATTAATCTGCCAGACCATCGGTAAGAAACCTGTCTCAAAGTTGAGCGACACCTCAATACTACTTTAGTATGAGTAGAGTCTCGACAGGAGCTTGTTAGTCGGAAAGACGTAGAGCTTTGGTTAGATAAGTTTTGACCGGCAGAAATTGCCACCGCCTGCTCTTCTTGGATTTTGAGTCAAAGGCGGTGGACGGTGGCATTACATAAGCGACACTGAGGAGAGCTCGCCAGCTGCTGTCAGAAGGTCGTACGCCTAAAATCTCACTGTTGCTTCGCACCAGCCAACACGGTTGGTAACTCAGAACCAGAATAGAACCAGACCAATGCAGGCGACGTTCTCTCGATACCACCTTGATAATGTAATCTTCAATATTTCGGAATCTTCACCTCCTTTAACAGGCTTTTTGCCTTTCGAGATTGGCCTTGTGAGTGAGACACAATGTGGCACAACGGTTGGCCTTCTCAGCTTCGACCCAGCCGGTTCTCTCGGGCCATTAGAACGGCATAAAGTAATCCATCCGATCGGGACATTACACTACCTCTGAGTGGCAAGGGGACTAGAGGCCTACGAGGCGGCCGTTGATCAGCGAGAGCCAAATTCCGGATGCTGCGCCGTCAGCTTACCTCCCTCGGCAGTTGTCCCCATCATCACAAGCGCCAAAGGGGACCAAACGTGCCGCCATCACGTCTATTACGTTGAATCACATCAGTCAAAGTAGACGCCGCTCGACAAGTTATGGAATCATCACGAGAGTGAATCGCACGACGTGAGGCTTGAAATCATCTGCGATAGCCCGAGATCGAATCCTGCATCGCCGCCATCCCGTCCGGCCCCCATCAACAGGGACCCCCGATTTCAAGGCCTCGCCTTGATTTTTGGATGTTTGCCTCCCCCCTCGGCCAGCCGGCTACCCCCGCTTGCAGCTTGCAGCTCAGCAAATGCTGGGGATGGACTATGGATAATGGGAACTGGACGATGGGTATGGTTGTATGGTAGCATCGTCTGCCCGACCTGCAGCAACCCGGCGCTTACACGCTTCCTCATCCCTGCTCGCCCCAACCACTCACGGTCGAGAGGCACCTCTCCCATCAATGTGATATGACACCTCATTGGTCTCCCGCCCCCTCTGTCTAGCGACTCGCTCAGCGCTGCCGTCGTCCATTGGTTTGCTCTTCAGTAAGTGAGCGACAGGGGTCGATCTGCAGTCCAAGGCACATCTTCCCGCCGTCTTCACTGGTTCCGTGCCACTCAGAACGGGCATTCTTTCCACTCTCCTCCCGGTGTGCACCCACCCCCCAGCTCACCTCGACCTCCGAGAGTGCCTTGGTGAAGCTCGATTGGATGGCTGCAAGTGCGCATGCAAAATGGCAAAATGGCTCCATGTGCGGCGGCTGGAGACCGCTTCCCAGGGCCAGATAATAGCCTGTAAGACCGCCCTCTTCCAGACTCCTCTTCTCTCCTTTTGCTAGTGCAGGTTATTTTTTCCTTGAGAGAAGTTGTAATATCTTTGCGACGAGATCACCATCGTTGAAACCGACAGAGGTCGACATATAGAGAGGGAAAGTTGTCTCGTGGACAGACAACAAACCAACCACCCAGCAAACAAGAAGGCGGGGTCAGCTCAGACATATCGCACAGCTGTGTGACGGGAACAGGTCGCAACAGACGAAGAGAGATTTGAATACCTGTGAAGGAAAAGGCAACTCGACAGAGACTCGCAAAACACCTAGACTAATCGACAAAAATGCTCTTCTCAACACTATCAGCCCTCGTCCTTGCGGCGACGGCCTCTGCGCACATTGTCATCTCCTACCCGGGCTGGCGCGGCAACAACCTCATCACCAACGAGACATTTCCCTATGGAATGCAATGGAGCTACCCATGTATGTCCTCTCCGCCTCCACATCTTCAAACCCCGTTCTCTCGACACAGAAACTAACAATCAGCAGGCGGCGGCATGGGCGTCACCAAGAACAGGACCTACTGGCCGACATCAGGCGGCACCGTAGCCTTCCAACCCGGCTGGTTCCAGGGCCACGCCTCGGCCTTCATGTACGTCAACATGGGCTTCGGCACCGACGGCCCCGACGGCGGACCGGCCAACATGTCCAACCCCATGGTCCCCGTCTTCCAGATCCTCGGCCCCAGCAAGAACCCGTTCCCGGGCACCGTCTGCCTCACCCAGATCCCGCTGCCCGTGAACACGACGGTAAAGCCCGGCGACCACGCGACGATCCAAATCGTCGAGCTCGCAATGCACGGCGCCGCTCTGTACTCTGTAAGCTTTTTTCCAACCCATTCACATCTTGCTCGAGGGAATCACAACTAACACCAGCCGGATATAGTGCGTCGACATTGAATTCGCCGAGCCAGGAGACCCCAAGATCGAAAAGGTGAACGAGACAAACTGCTTCAACTCGGTCGACATCGGCATGGCGGACGTCTACACCATCACCACCCGCGCATCCGGCCAGACCATCGAGCAGGCGGCGGCGACCTCGGACGCCGAGCAGACCGTCACGTTCTGGTACGCGGGCAAGCGGCCGCAGTCCGCCTGGGCCGTGTTCAGCTGGGTTCCTTTCGTCCTCGGAGGACTCTGGATCATGCTGTGAACGGAGCTGAACCGAAACCGGAATTGAACACTGACGCGATGTGAAATGAAGAGTTGGGGCTGGCTTGATGATTATCATCATTCTTTCTTCTGTTTTTGGAGAAATGGGATTATACCTCGGGGAAATTATTGTATTATTTGGGCATAAAGATGGCGTTTGGAGTCTTCTTATCATCTACGGAGGCAAAAGCCCTTATCCTATTTCTACATTTCTTACCTATCAAACGATGATGGCGGCAGCGGGTGTCAGTTACCCCATATGTCACGAAATTCGTTCTACTCCAAGATGCTGGAGCATCATATAATCCGCTTAGCGGACTGAATAAACATCTTGTCATTCAATGTGTGACTTTTGAATACCGGTGAGGAGGAGTGTCGAGCACAAGCTTTACACGGAGACATCATTACATTTACTTCGAAACACTCGAATGGACATGCACTACCTCCAACGAAGCAAGGCAACCAACTGAACACTTGAATCTCCTGGGAGCGGTTTCATCACGCTCTAAAACGCGTTCTAAAGCTAGCTGTTTCTTAATTACTCATGCTGCGTCGCAAGTTTGCATTTCCCCTGCCGGCTTTTCGCCGCGGCCTCAGCAAGCGCGGGCACCGTCACATCACACGGCCGTCACCCTCCGACCTCGTGCTTGCTTATCCTAATTACCAAAACCATTCGCTGCACCTATTTCTCATCACAATTGCTGAATAGCCTCCCTGCCCACCTCCTTCACACGCACCTCCGACACCTTGTCCACGGCGGATTTGATCCAGCCCTCACCTCCGAGCGACTTGATCTCCGCCTTACTCACAGAAGCAAATGTTCCCAATGCAACAAGTGCCCGGTAGATAACCTCGGAATCGGTCTGCTCCGAAAGTATCTTTCCAAGTGCGGTAATAAAACGCTTCGATTGGGCCGACGTCCGTTCCTTGTTCGCATAGGCGGCGTAGTTGACGAGGATTGTGGTCGCTGCAATTAGAATGTTGCGGTTGAACCGGCCAATGGCTGCACCGCCAGATAAGCCGAGTACTCTCTCCAGAAGTAATGCGGCGGTGTCAGCCTCTTTCGCCGCTAATGCTTCGCCCTTGGGGGAGCCGAAGATGTTAGCAACAGTACGCAGGGCCATCATGACCGAATTCTCGTTTGGCGTGGCACCGTCAGGGGCGTTCAAAGCACTCGAAATGGCGACCTGAAGGATTGAACCCTCCGATCCCGAAAACTCGGCAGCAAACGGCGAAGGGGCAACGCATCGCAGCAGGTCCAGGCCAGCAAGGCGATCTGAGTAGGGCCAGAGAGTCACAATCTTAACGGCGATATCAATACCTGCCTGCTCGACAGGCTTCGAATTCTCGATGGCCTCCTTAACGGCCTTCAAAGTGTTCTGCTCGGAAGGATTCAAAGCGGCGTCCTTGCGGCCAGAGGAGATCATATTCGCGTTGATGGCGAGGATCTTGTTGATCATGGCCTCGTACTTGCCGGCCGTAATGTTCAAATAGTGGGCTTGTGGCAGCACCTTTGGCCTCAACTCCGACTCGCCGGGGCGGTATCTTGATTCCGTTCCGTACGGGTCCGAAGTGGCCGGCGCAGACTGGCCAAGAGTCGCGCCTTGTGTATTTTGGGTAATGAAGTTTGCCACGTTATCTAGGTAGCTGATGGGGAGCTCGTTGTCGTTCAGGAATTTTGTCGCGGCATCGTAGGGGTTCTGAGAAAGGTTGTAGGGCAGCTTCAGGGGAGGCTTGCCGTCCTCGATATCAACGTCGAACACGTAGTCGTAGGATTTGCCGTTGTACTCCGTTTTCTTGCCGCTGCTTCCAGCCGAATCGACGACGGTGCCAATGTTAATCCATTGCTGTTGGCCTGTAAAAGGTTAGCAGGAAGAGCAGCCAAGTGCTTGCGTTGGGACCACATACTTGCTGACCACTGGTGAGCGGTAATGTTGCCATTGCCCTGGTTAATCATCTGCACCTGACCCTCCTTGGTGCCAGACTTAGTCTGGAGGAACTCTGGGCCAGGCAGCTCCTCCTTGTTGATGGACGGAAGCTGTTGTTGAGGAATGGAGGATGCCTTGACAGACTCCTCAAAGTCAGAAATAGCCTGGGCGCTTGCTGCCCGCTCGTTGCTGCGGGTAAAGACACGCGCAACACCGTCACTCGCTCCCGACACAATATCACCGTTCTCTGGGTTCGCTGCCACAGTCCATACTGAGATGGCAGGATGTGTGATGGTCTGGACGCAGTCGTTGCCCTTCCATACACGTACGGTACGGTCTTCGCCTGAGCTGACTAATTCACCTGAAGGCAAGCTTGTCAAGGCGTAGATGAAGCTCTCGTGGCCGTGGAGCTCGCCAACCTGCTGGCCGTTAAGCTTCCACAGGCGGATGATGCCATCGTTGCTCGCGCTCGCGATATCAGCGCCACTGGGGTGGCCCTTGGGAACTTTGCATAGAGCGCGGACGACTTCGGGAGTGTAAATGGTAGAGCGGGGTTCGGCGTCACCGGCGACAGCAGTGCGGAGGTTGTATATGCGGATACTTGTATCCGCGCATCCGGTGACTACTGTCTCTTCGTCCAGGGCAAGAACAGACCAGACACTCTTCTCGTGACCACTGAGGCGAATCTCAGGCTCCCACTTGCTGGTACTCCATACAATGGCCTGAGAGTCCCAGCCACCCGACACGATGTATGTCCCCTTGGGAGAGACGTCCAGACTGCAGACGTTCTGGGAGTGGCCAATCAACAGCCTCTCGGCATGATCGCCCGGACTTGACTGTGGTTGACGGATCTCGACAATGGTATCCTTGCCGCCAGAGGCGATGAGGCCATCCGGGTAGGATTCGGAAGGAGGAAGATATGTGACGGAGTTGACGAATTCGGAGGTCTGACTTGAGACGGTAGCTTCGAAGGAGGGGGGAGAATCGGAAGTCTGACGCCAGACTCGTACACTGCCATCACGCGAGGCAGACAAGATGGTATGGGAAGCTGGGAAGCTGACGGCCTTGACCTGTTCATTACATAATTCATTAGCAGCGGAACTGGACAGCAAAGCTCCATAAACTTACGTCGGAGTCGTGGCCAGACAGCTGGGCGGAGAGCTTGAAGTCGGCCATAGCTGTCAAAATTGTGATGTATGAGGGAAAAGATGAGGGAAGAAAGGGCCAGGTGTAGACAGCTCACACCTCGGTTGATGTTCCGGAGGAGAGAAGACCGTTGTTATGGTTTGTGGTGCTGCTGGTGCTAGGTAGTGTAGGTACTGAAGGCAGTTGGCCGATGACGATAGAAGCGGGAACACTGAAGCTCCACTGCGCCACAAGGGGAGGGGGTAAAAGGATACATAGTACAAGCGGGGAGGGGCCATTTTGGGGGGGGGATAGGTGGTGCAGGTGTCCCCCGGGCAATCACCAGCTCCATCCCTGCCACTTTACTGCTTCCATTGACTTCCTTTCCGGGAAAGGTAAGGCGTTTAAGCATCAGCCACAGCTGGCGATTTGCTTATCAAAGCACGTGGTTTCATCTCATCTTGAACCAATCAAATCAGCCTTATGCAAACAGAGCCACTAGTGCCTCCTTTCAAGCCACATCCCCTCGACGCGGGGTCAACTCTGTCCTCTGGGAAACCGTGATCTCAGTGCTGAAAAGGAAAGCAGCACCGCGGTTTCAGGGGTCCATTGGATCTTTCCTTTCCAGAACCACAATCGGCCCTGATCCGAGTCGGAAGGAACCCCACTATTATTTTCCTTTGCGCTGTTCTCATTTGCCTCTTCTGACTTCTCTTGTCTCGCAGCTCTGCGCGCCCAATTCCCGATTTTTTGCTTCAGCTTCTGCTTCTGCTTTTTTGCTGCGCTGTCAGAGCCCATTCTGTTGACGACTCATCGCATCCTCCACGAACATTCACGACGTTACGGCTGTATTGACTGTCTCTCTTTTTACTCGGTCTCTAACCTTTTGACTTGAAATATCCTCATCTCTGCCATTGGCCCCGCGTCAATCTCCGTTTGATACCCCTCCCCCCCCCCCTTCCAGCGCACACGTTGCGACAACGAATAGCTTCGAAACCCCTTTTGCCAAATACCGACATCATGGCTACTACGCCTGTTCCCAACGCCGAGACCTCGCGTCAATATGTTCCTTTGACTTGCCACGGTCACTCTCGGCCTGTTCCCCACGTCTGCTTCTCTTCCCTGGAGAAGGGAGAGCAGTACTACATGATCTCCGCCTGCAAGGGTAAGCTTGCGATGAGGTCCTCGACGCTGCGACCAGGGCTCTGCTAACCCTGTCGCAGATGGAAATCCTATGTTGCGCGACGGTATCACTGGTGACTGGTACGTCATAGAGTTCTGACGATCCCAATCGCACCGCTGACTTGACAACGACAGGATCGGAACCTTTATCGGTCACAAGGGTGCCGTCTGGCAGGCCAGACTGAGTCCCGATGCCTCCAACGCGGCTACCGCCTCCGCCGACTTCACCGCGTAAGCCTTGTCTAACATTTATTATACAACCGAGTTTACTGACAAGCCACAGCAAGGTCTGGGACACCCACAGCGGCGAGGTCCTCTATACCCTCCAGCATAACCACATTGTTCGCGCCGTTGCCTACCCCCCCGATAACTCCGAACTCATTGCGACTGGAGGAATGGAGAAGAAGCTCCGAGTCTTCGACCTGAGCGACTTTGCCCCCGACCCGAACGCTGCTGCTGGTTCCCCTATCATGGTGCAGGCCTCGGCCGGTTTCGAGATTGGCGAGGGCACCCATACGGGTTCCATCAAGTTTATTGCCTGGACCAAGGACCCCAACACCATTGTTACCGCCTCTGACAACACCATTCGCTGGTTCGACCTTCCCACGCGCAATGTCATCCGACAGGAGGTTCTCGACGGCGAGATCAAGTCTTGCGAGCTGGTTTCCCTGGCTCCCGAGTTCACCTCTCCTGGCGATATCGGCGGTGGTCTTCCTGTTCTGGCTGTCGCCGCTGGCAAGTCGGTCTACTTCTGGGGAGGCCCACAGGCCATGGACGAGCTCAAGCGCATTGAGCTGAAGCACGGTGTTGCTAGCGTGGGTCTGGACCTTAAGGGACGCAAGATTGTCGTCGGAGAGGAGCCCGGTACCTGGGGCCGCGTTTGCCGCTGGGATGACGGCAGCGAGATTGGTAAGTCGATAATGAGAGATCGAGTGGAGGCCCTACTAACGCGGTTTCAGAAACCATCAAGGGTCACCACGGTCCTATCTGGTCCATCACCTTTTCCCCCGATGGCAAGCTCTATGCCACCAGCTCTGAGGACGGCACCATCAAGTTGTGGAAGAACTGCGACGGCTTCTACGGCCTCTGGCGTGGCGGTGCTACCAACGCTGAGCGAAATGTGGACTAGAAGAGCACTGACTCCAGCGTGGTGTCACAGAGCGAAGCCAATGAGATGTACACTCCCCCAAGCAGCCGAGTCTCGTCGGCCTCGCACTTGGATGGAAACTCGCATATGAGCAACAACTCAATCACCGAAACACCGGCGGTTTCTCATCAGCTCATGCGATGCTTCCTCGCCTCCGCGACCGACAATCATGATGCGGAGACTGAGTTGTCCGCACAGATGAGCCGTCGCCATGTCGCTCATACCGACTGAACTGAGTGCGCGGGGTTACGCCTGGAACCTGAGACGTTCCGCTTGCCGCTGGATCTCTCGTCAGGCTAGAATGTGCGTGAGTAGAATACATGTAGTGCTAGAGTTTGCAACAGGTTATTGCGGATGCGGCCAGGCTAGATGATAACCATCAATGGCGGTTGATATCTGAATACACGTTGCCAAAATTGGAGTATCCTAAGTCCACTGCGGTGCCTTGGTGATGTAAGAGTAGACTAGTATCATCGTATCTAAGCAATTAAACATCTTGGACGTATAGTTACAAAGTTCTCCCTCGCAAATTGGGTGGGAGGCAGTCTTTCTACAGTGAATCATGCCTTCATCGTTTTTACTACTTCATGCCGTGGTAAAATGATGCAACTCTCGCAGTGAATCTTTGAGATTTCGTTCTCTTTGCTCTTTCGCCTGATACCACGCCCTCAGCAAACACAATGAAGGTCGCCTGGGAACAACACAATACCTACTCCAGCGCCTCATGGGCCCATCATGGACTCACTGTTCCCTTCATTGCCTCCCATGTCCAGCCATGTATTAGCAGCCACACTGACTACAGCACCTTCCTAGGAATGCAGCCCAGGAATGCAGAGACCGGCAGCTAGTATTATTCATCTCTCCGCCAACGACGAAGTAGCTTGTACCGGACTTTGTTCTACAATCTTCGGTCCATCCAAACATCCTAGTTGAGACAAAAGGACGGAAGTGAAAGACTGGACACGTTCATGGGATTCCTTTGTTCAATATCTGTTCCCGATGCCCGCCGTTTTCTTTCCAACGGGAGATGGATGTTGATCTACTTGCATGATAGCAGCTGAACGTAATTTCCGCATCCATGGTAAGGTAGCCACCGTTTAATTTAGGTGGCGGCGTGTCAAACTACGAAAACAGCCAGTAAGACAGTCAATAACCTTGGGAACTTGTGTCTCACAAGAAGACGGTAAGCAGTTACATGCCTACCCACGTGTTGGGAACGCTCCTCGCGATCCTAACGGGAATTCGAACGGCTTCGGCTGTTTGCTATGCATCAAATGTCCATTTGAGGAAGTCTCGGTGGCTGGCTTGATGGCATGAGTACCTGTGTCGGCCGTTCCTACGAGCAAATGAGTCGATACCAGCTTGTACCAGCCTAACTCCAGTTCCATGCCAAGTCTTGCTCTGTGGAATGTACGTTGGATAACCGTGAACGTGGTTTACATCGTTTGCTATAAGACACAATATGCGATCGGATTGATACATTACTACAACAATTTCGGGATACTATTAAAAGAAGCCTTAGCCATCTTTCCTCCGTTTGAACTTCTCGTCTACTAATAGTTATATCGTATCCATTTATCAATCTAAGCCTTGCCGTAGGCTGCCGAACACCAACCATGAAGTTCCTTGCACTCATATCATCTGTAATAGCCCTGATCATTCAAGTCACGGCCTTAGAATTACAAGCCCCGCCAAACGTCGAGCCGTTGTTTAACATCACAATTTTCGCTAATCCCATACCCCACGGACCGGTTGCAATCCAAGGAGGCGAACAAGTCGGTAAGACTCCCGTATATCAGTCAATCAATATTGGTCTCGGATCTAATTCATAACGCAGTGCTCACCGTTGCCTTCGGCGCCATCACCGGGGCACTCGAAGCAACTATCAAGGGCGGCGTGGTCTACCCGTCGTTCTACGAGAATGGGACCATCTGGCACGTCGAAGGAAAGATTTGGGGCACAACAAAAGACGGTATCGATTTCTTCGCGGATGAGGTTGGGATCGGTGGTCCCGTGCGGCGGTTAAATCGTCTTGTAAGTCTTCAAAGTGTGATCACCGGAAGAGAGGTACGCTGACTATCTGCAATATCAGACTTTCAACATTGGCGGCGGCCATGCATACCTTACCACGGCGTACATTATCACTGTGCCGACCCAGCTGAACAACACAGTCATTCTGAGCCAGGCCTTCTTGATTAATTAAGTATATTGTAAGTCTGCGGCCTTCTTGATGTATGAAGGGCAGCCGATTTTCCGGTCATATTGTGGTCGTTGCTGGTGCTAATTCCTTCTGGCATGTAGATTTGTAACAACTTTGAGCAACTTGGGTTTGTTTTTGTTATGTTTTTGTTAAGGAGCTTTACCACAAACATTGCGTTGGAAAGCAAGACGTTTGTCCATCTTTGAAGTATGAAGAGATCGATGTGGGATTGGAGAGACTAGATTTGGTTTGAGCCCGAACGTTTTGTATGCTCGTTTGCAAATTAGGATACCAAGGCAGTCAGCAGTCACGATATTTTACGTATATTACAATTCTACACCCGTTTTATGAGCATCTGAGTGACTTCGCTGGTGAAATTCATGAATTTTCTCATTGACCGCGCCCTATTCTCTCACGCCAGCCAGTACTCCGTAGGGCGTACGATGGGGCTTGAGTCATGGTGTTTACTCAACTTCTTGTTGAGGTGTTGTTGAGGATTAGTGAACGTAAATAAAACATAATCTACTTCTAGTAAAGTCTTGAAAACCTATCCAACACTACGCTGTATTTCGCTATAATCAATTTACGTAGTCTTCACGCGTGTTAGACGTGAGTCATCAGTAAATCAATTATTCGGAATTTTTTTAAGGTAGGATTGGGTTGATTTCTCACTCCTGGTCCAAACAGCGGAGCACAATTCTGTAAATGGACCAAGTAGGTGCCGTCGAATGACTCGAGCCGAAGGCCATAGAGATGGATCTCATCGCTCTACAATCACATCGGCTCCCGGGAATAGATCGCGCTGCTTTTCGGCCTGGAGTTAAGAAGCTAGGATCCGGATCCATATCACGGAAGATCGGCCGCTACTAGCACCGACTCGCAACATCAATCCCGGGGTTCCGCTAGGGATTTGCGTCCAAGCTACGTCCACGATGTAAGTTCTAGAGATTTTCCAACATTCATTCTCTCGATTTGGGAAGATGTCTATTCATTTCAGGTTTAACTTAGTCCCCCAATGACATCGACCCCTGCATGGTCCGGATCGGAGGAAGTAAAAACTGAAGCTTAACAACAGTAGTAATCTCAGTTGAAGATGCAGGCTCATTTACACACTTCGCCTCAGCACCCTTAATATGGCAAGATATCGAAATCCATGAACACTACGATAAGACGTGAAGCCGTCATGGTAGACTTTGCAGTATAATTTATAGTAAAGTCATACAAGTTGACAACTGGCTATTGTGGTTTTCTTTTCTGGTAAAGAAGTCATAACATGTTGCTGAATCACTGGACACACATAATGCCAAATTTGGGCCCTCTCAACAATATTGTGCGTTGTTAGCAAACATGAGCTAAAGAATGATAACCCCTGTGGATTACACCGTACCACAACCTTGACGGCATATCCTTTGTGCCACTATACTCTTAATATTAGTTACCTTAGAAGTAATCAACACCGGCTCTCCTCTCGGCATTTGAGAACGCAGGGCACTCACTGCTCTGGTCCACAGTAACAGATTGCTTGGCACATACTGTCTCAAAGCCACTGTTTCCCTTCGCTCAACCCCACCTTGGGTCCGGACATAAACGCTCGTCGCTACTCGGAGTGACCCGACTCCGTCCCCGCCGTATCTCAACGCAATCCTACATCTGTCGATATATAAGCAGCATAACGACGCAGGCTCTACACCAGGACAAACTTCAAAACATTACAAACCGAATCTTGTTCTCTCAACTCAACATCAAGCTCAAAATGTCGGAAATGAAGCTTGATCCTAACGATATGTCCAGGTTCGCCAACCTGACGATCCTGACGACCACATACAAGACCGTCTCAGGGCACTCCATCTCCACAGATGTTCTTATCCCCAAGAGCTTGACGGAGGCCTCGACAGCATCTTCATCTCCGTCGCCAATCATTCTGCGCTACCACGGTGGTGGTTTCATCGCGGCTTCCAGTCTCTTCCCCAGCTTCTTTCAGCCATGGTACTTTGAGCTGGCAGAGCGCCACTCCGCTGTCATCGTGAGCCCCAATTACCGCCTTGTGCCCGAGGCCTCCATGGACGACGTGCTTGAGGACATTGAAGATCACTGGAAGTGGATCCACGCCGAGTTGCCATCGTTCATTCAGCAGCAAACCAATAACCGCGTTAGCGTCGACACCAAGCGAATTCTCACAGGAGGTGACAGCGCCGGCGGGTATCTCAGTCTGATGGCCGGCCTTCTCCACCCAGACGAAATCAGAGCCAGCGTCGCAGCTTACCCTTGCCTGGACCTCAAGGCTGCACAGTTCAAGGACGGTGCTCAGGGTCCCACACTTGGTCATGAGACTGTGCCGTATAGCGTCGTTGAGGAACACCTCAAGAAGGTCCGCGAGGGTGTGCTCCCCTCTGTGGTATCCGAGGATCCCAAATTCGAGCGCGCTTTGTTGATGTTGGCCTTGACGCACTACGGGCTCGCGAAAGACATGTTTCCCAATGAGAAGCGGTACCTCTTTCCGTTTGACAAGCTGGACGACGGGGCTCGATTCCCTCGTGGTGGCGTTTTCGTCTGGCACGGTAACGAGGATTCCATTGTCCCGGTAATTGGAAGCAAAAGGTTGAAGGAAAAAATTGAGAAGTTGGATCCTGAGTTGCCATTCTATTTGGCTGTGCGGCCTGGCGAGCATGGATTCGATCACGATGCCAAGATTGACGAACCCTGGATGGCTGAGGGGCTTGAGAAGCTTGTCAAGGCTTGGTTGAAGTGATTCTCTTAAGTTAAATTTTCAGAGAAATGCCTTCTTATGAGTCGCATAAAGGTACAGGAGTCAATAGCACAAGGATCGAAGGTGGGAAGAGGAATCTAATGTCCGCGCCACCGCATCGAAGAACAACTCAATAGATAAGAGTAAAAATAAGAAATGAATAACATCAGTAAATTAAACATGCCTCCATTTCTTATGATGTTAGTACTTGACTCAGTTCTTTACTAAGACTGAAAATAACGACTACCTACCTTTGGTTCAACGGCCTCTATTGGAACGAAAACATTTTTGCCACCGCACAAATATCATGTAGTCTCTCAGAATACACGCATTATTACGCTCAATCCTATCATAAATCATTTTGGTGTGCCCCAGATCCATGTCCCAACATATCCCAGCAGCCCAGATGACAACACTGCTTCCTGACACTTCTCCTTCTCTTTGAGGGCATCCTCAATCTCTCGAAACCTTCTTTTTGGCAGATCAAGCCCCCGGGCGACCTCCAGTATGCCAATCTTGTCGCCGTGCCGATTTTCCCTCGTTACATGGGTGTCAGCACCATGGCAGATCATGGCAAGCATTGTCTTCGAAACCTCATCTCCCTTCAAGGTGTATTTATCGCCTTTTATGCTATGGCTGAGGCAAACCGTGAGGAATAGCTCCCAAGGGGTTTGGTGGTCATAAAAGCGCAACTTTTGATTTGGATCGGCGCCTTTGTCCAGAAGGAATTCGACGATGGAACTGACGGGACCCTCTGGGATAGGTTGCTCTGGTTGCAGAGGTGTTACCATCGTAGGTCGTAGAGCGTAGTCGAGGAGCGGTCTCCCCCCTTTGCTGTCAATTAAACTTCTGTCTTTAACCTTATGCTGTACGTATAAAGACAACCTTGACTGTATAGCAGTCGCAAGGAAAGTCTTCTTCCTAAGCTCTTTGAAGTTTCCTTTCGGCAAGTCCCGATAATTAGACCAGTGGAAGCCGTCTTCATTCAGGCGTTGCGTATTTGATCTGTCCAACTCGTCCAAAAGTTCGAAAGAATCTTCCAATCTTGTTTCGTCTTCTGGAGAAGGGCTAATTCACCCATGCGCGTCCGTGTTGCATTCGTCCTCGATCCTCCAAGCGTAATACATCAGTCCATCAGCGAAAAGGAAGACTTGGTTACAATCCACAGGCATCTCGTCAGGATATGGGAGAGCCTTGCCACATGCCAGCATGATCCTGCAAAGAGATACCAGAGGGCTGAACTCGTTGGTCTCTCTGAGCAAGATGGTTTGGTCCATGGCTCCGGTGTCACGGAAGAAGTCTCTAACCGTTCGGTGAAGAAAATCCACCTGAAATTGCAAAAACTTCTTGTCTGAGTGTTCTGAAATGTGCAGCAGATCTCTTCCTCTGGCTTCAACACGCTTTTTCAGGCGTTTGTAAGTGGAACCTACCTTTTCCAATGGGAATGACTTGAGGTCCATTTGTAGCGCATAGTTCGGGTTCTTTTCCTCTCGATCGAGGAACTCGAAAGCCAGTAGTGGCAAAGCTTGCCCGGAAGCAATCATGATTCTGAAAATGCGGGACGTATTTTCCCAGTAGTTAGACTCGATGGACTCAAGCATGTGTCTAAAATAGTCTCCCAGGTCGCTAGGCAGCTTGTTGAGTCTTGCTAGTAGCTCCTCGTATGTGTCCGCCTTTGCTAATCCCCGGATCAAGGATCTGACGATTAAATAAACCCATAGGAATACTCCTTGGGCCCTGTTGACAACGATGCTGGCGATTTGAGAAAACCGACTATCCCCTTCAGCCAGTTCTTTGTAGTCATTGTTACCCTCCAAGTTTTCTTTAACATACTTTTTGATGTCACCTCTGGTCAGGTCCTCTACTTGCAGCCGCCATTCCATCACACGCGGCCCTAAAGAGAGGTCGAAAGCATCCCAAGGTCGACTTGACGCACAGATCTTGATGCCCGGTAAGGATACAAGTTTATAAAGCGTCTGAAGCAACTCATCGAACATGCCGTGGTAGCGTTGCTCCCCAGCCGTATACTCATCTAACCCATCAATGAAGAAACAGAATTTCGTTGGGAGGTCATTCTCAGTTTTGAGTGCAAGTTCATTGAATGCTGCCACCAGTTCCGCTTCTTCCCATGGATCTGCCATGATATGATCGGACGCATCCCAGCGATCGCCGCAGACCATCTCAATAAGGTCTGGAAGCTCTCTCAGCACCTCGAACAAGAGTGTTTGCAAAAGCCCTCTCTGGGACTTTTGCATGCTGTTTCCGGCATTCCAGAAGTAGTGACTGGCCATGACTACTTTCTTCTCGCCGCCCCAACACTGAAGCTTCGCTTTCGTGGTCGGGTGGCCAGCAAGGAATTTCATCAGCGTCGACTTTCCACTTCCAGGCTTGCCTCGGATCCAAAAGATATCTCCCTCTGATTCTAGCCACTTTGGAAATGTCGTGTTGTGATGTTCAAAAATCCAGTTGAATGTGGCTTCATGATGCGGCAAAATTGCGTTCTGCCGATCCCGCATCTGAACGAATCGCAGGCTTTGAAGGATTCGTTGCTTCTTTTCTACCTGATTAGTCTCTTCTGCGAAATCAAAGATTTCCTTCTTAAGTCTGGCGAGCTGAGTGCTGAACTCGTCTGCCTGCTGCTTTCGCATGTCGAGATTTGTGGACTCGATTCTTTGAACAATATCTTCGAGCTTTTCAGTGGTTTGAGTTTCCAGCTTCGCGTTCTGGAACTTTAAACCCTTAACAATGTCCAAAATCTCGACTTGATTTCGTCTAAAACGTCGTCAGTCTCTACGTCGGGGACTATAGTTCGGTCATAACCCACGCAGCAGCTGCAGCGAGATAGGTACGAAGTTTGGCCTGCAGTTTTCCCAGCTTTGTCTCAAAGCTTTTGGTTTCCCCCGAGTGTGTCATGTGCCGAAGTGCCTGTGCAAGGCTTGTCCATACTTTCTTATACACCTTGTCGCCCGTCTTGACGCCTAGATCCAACTTGTTCAGGTATTCAATCAAACCTTGGGCAGTCTCATCACATTCGCTTGCTATTGATCGTAGTTCGGATCTTGTGATGGCGAATTTATCCTTTTTACACAGTTTGCGGATTTCTGCAGCAAGCCTAGCTAGTCGCCAAGCTTCGGCCTCCAGGGCTTCATTCTCACTGATTGAACCGGACTTGTAGATGCTTCGGGCGAGAACGAACAGCTTAACTCCGTATTCAGCGAATTGAAGGAGATTGCTCGCAAGCCCGATTGCGGCGAGCTCGGCCATGTTGCGACTGCTCTATCTGGCGCTCGATGATCTTGCAGTGACAACGTTGGCGCCCGACCGGATCAGGCTTTGAGAACTATTGCTCGGCGACGAGGTGGTGGTGATGGGCCCGCATTGTCTTCCCTCGTAAGCAGCGTAAGATTCCTTGGCTCGGTAACAATTTGCCGCTCCCTTGCATGTGCCAATCAGAGACCCCATCATTCCAGTGGAAATACAAGCGCAAGGCTGAGAATGTCCAGCTTTCTGGACTTCTGCATCCCAGATGAAAAGTGAAAGCTTCCTAGCAGAAGAGGTAAATACCAATCTGGCCATGCCTGATGGAGCTTGGCTGACTAAAACATCAAAACCCAGTGACGATGTTGCGCACAAAGGGGGGTTTTAGCCATGTTCGTGGCTATAACTCAAGAGAGTCGAGCTCACGTTGGACGTGGGACCTCCCCCGATGGTCATGGGCCTCCCCATCGAGGCCTCATTGGCAGAGGCTTACCGAAGCTGGTGAGAACCAATCTCCGGAGCGTCATAGAATCTGTACATGATACACTGATACAAATAATTCAGAGGAGGGTACGTTTGCGAACCAACGCCAACCATTGACGTCGGGCGGTAATCGGGAGGATATCCAACCCCACGAAGATGACCGGTGGTGGGTGCGCTTGTACGGCATAATTCTTGTCAACGTGCTCTACAAGCCGGCACAAATCTTGATCTGGCTTGTTATGCCGCTGGCACAGTTCTTTCGGGAATTATTTACAAGTATAATACTGGCGCTGCGGCACTTCGCACTGCTTACGATTCGAGCACTCACCCCTGGGCCGGAATGGCGTGCGTTTTTGATATTTATTACCTTGTTCCTATGGATGGTAGCGGGTATTCCGTGTCTTATTAGCACAGGCGTCCTTTGAGATGTAGGCTCAAGTTCGGGGATATGGTTGGAAGCTAAGTAGACAAGAGGTTCTGATCGTTGCATCAAGATGTAGGCACTTACTGAGCTGGGTCTTGTGTGTTCTGATCATCTTAACGAGAGGGAAAGCCGAACACACCTTAAATTTGAGAAAGCCAGAAAAACCTGAAGTATTGTATAAAGGCAAAATAACATCTAGATAGAAGGATTAGAAAAGCAACAATGAATCATGATAGTTGCCCAAAACCCACTTCATCTGCTACTCCAACTCACCATAGTAGCACCATCCAGGGGTACAGGCCGTAACTGATTACCGATCCTTGATTGATGGCTAATATGCTACCGTCTCAAAGCTCAAGCGACATCTTTCCCCTCCCGGGCGACTTCTTATCGCACGACAAAGACCGTGATAGGAACATTTTCAGTTGTTCTCCCTTTCATAGCATCATTTCCTTTTCAGATAGGATGAGAACGTGGGCGGTGTACTTATGCGCAACTGAAACGGGCGCTTCAGCATTTCTTGATGACATATCGTTGGAGTACTCAGCAAGTCCTAGATGGGGTGGACAAAGACTTCTGTCATGTTCACGTATGAGAAAGTTGAAATTGAAACTTGAATGTATTGGAGAACGAAATATTAATCTATTCGTCTATCGGTAAAACAACGCGAACGCCTTCCGCAATTTGTTCTAAATCTCATGTTAGCTATGAACACAAACTTCATACGTTGTGTGCACTTACTGTCCAGATACTTCATCATCTGGCCATAGTCCTTGCACACATGCTGGCCATTCCAGCTGCCATCCTCTGGCCCATTATCATCGGAATCAGTTTCTGCATGCGGCTCTAGTGCTAGATCACCTGTACTTATGTGTTAGTGGCGCTGTTTGTATTTCAATATCAGGCGAGAGGCTGGGCCTCAACGGCCACCTGGCTCGCAAGGGCTGAGGGACAAGACAAACCTGAGCACATGACAGCCTGACGCAAATAGTCAACGCAATGGTAGTAGTGTGTTACGTAGTCAGAGGGAACTTTGTCCATATTATTTGACGTCAAGCCGGAAAAGATCTTGCCCATCATGAACTACATTCCATTAGTAAGGATAAATACAAGAAGAGTATGTATTGCCAGGTCACTCACAATGCAATGCAATTGATGGGTCATTGAAGTGGTAAAGAAAGGGTCGCTGTCAACCCACTTCCAGCCAGAGCCGTCTGGTACAATGTTAGAGGTTGCTAGTGAAAGAGGGCCTGGGCATTAGTACCTGGCAGGAGAGATCTCCATGAATTCAATGTAGCATCGGAGAGAAAGTCGGTAGCGTTGGGCGGCACGAATGCGTAGTCTGCTGCGAACGAGACAATCTTGGTGGGAACTTCACTCTTGTCAGCCTCATCCATCTTCATGTCCAGATCTTCGTAGTGCCAACTCACATCTCGGGCCAGCAGCAGTGTAATCACCTCCAACCTGCCTTGTGCTCACTGAAAACTTGGCATCCTCAAACTGATAGTACATCAGGAGTGATAAGCCCAGTGACAGACCAATGTTGGTAAGGAGTAACAAGGTGTCGATAAGCCACCGGTATCTCCTTAACAAGGACTTGGTTTCCTTCCACCAACTACGCTTCGGCGTCTGATTGGCATTCAAATCAATAGAGTGCCAATGCTTCTCCTCATCCATCAACTCATCTTCAACCTCGGTACTGGATCGGTCATGGTCGTCATTGTGTGACAAGGTCTCGTAGTGTTTAGTCTTGGGAGGCATCGTGTAAGTTAGGGAGCAAAGTCTGTATTGTGCTTTGCTTATTGGATGATGAAAAAGAAATTTCAAATCTCACGACACCGGTCTAGCACTCACACACGAAAAGAAAAGAAAGACACAAAGACCAGAGTCAAAGCTAAAGCGGGGGAATTTCGTGGTTTTGTTCGGCGGCCAACCCAATCCCCTACGCAATGGGAACTCTTCCACTCATCTCCTCGGCTGCACCATCCGTCTGAGAAACCGGTACCACCCAACTTGAGATGAAATATGCAGCGGTGCGGTACCCCTTCACCTACCTGAAGGGGAAATAATACTTCGGCCGATGCACCCTTACCATCTTGTCTATAGCCAAGCAAAAGTTTTGATACGTCTGTAGTTGTGTTCTGACGTGTTTCATATGACCTTGCACTTAACCCTTAGGGGAGGAACTTGAAACGAACCTTGGGGATCTATCCGCAAGTCTCTTTTGGCTTTATGCTTTAGGCTCGTACGGGCAGGATAACGTTGTGAAATCGGCTCCGGAGAGAACTCAATTCCTCCGGCCATTGAAAAGAATATCATTTCTAGTTTAAATTTGAATGTTTTGTTCATATAATTAAACGAAAGAAAACACATTTGTTCCTCATCGACCGGGGCGCACTCGGTCACAATGCCGTTAGCGGAGCTGTGCTCAGTGATTCTAGTTTGACCAGGGTGCCTCTGGAACGCCTGATATGATGGGGACTTGTTCGATGTGTCTCAAAACCCATGCCGCTCAACCCGTGACCCACAGGCCAAAGGTCCCATTGTCGGTCGTAAGCCGAGGAGATCGCCGTTGATGTCTGGAAATAGCCTAGAACTTCCGATCTTGATGATTTTCATAGGAGCGGTGGGTAGCGAGCATGCGGTTAGTGTGGTGATCATCGGCACATTCGCACATTCGCACAGTTGGGGAATCGGAGGCTTGATTGCCCATGCTTTCTCTAAAGTCGGCTAAAGTCAACAGGCGAGCAAGTCGCGATACAAATATTCTCCTAAGGAGGCCTAAGCGAAGCCAGCTATCCGTGGTCGGAAGCGATGCGTTCCTCCGCCGTAGGGACCGTGCTTCAGGCTTGCTACAAGGGGCTCCTTGTGTCATTGCATTAAGCTAGGAACTCAGGAAACACATCCGCTGCCGAGAATTGAAGTTGACGTCTGAGCAGCCAGCTCACAACACCACATTTTCCTTCATTATGATTAAGTTCTAACACAATCAAGAAGTGAGGGTAATTGCTATCTTATAAATATTATCATCCAAGAGTATAATCGATCATGGTGTCTCACGGGTCGAGTCGATACTTTCTACATAACTGAGCCATCTGCAGAGCCTCTTAGCCAGGCGAGAGTTGATGAATAGCCGCGGTTGTCGCTCTTGACGTAATACCCCATGTAATAATTTTTCTGCCCCATAACCCTACGGTCTGAACTTTGTGAATGGTGTTGAGGGAAGTTAATTCCATTTCGCATGACTTAATGACTCGAGGTATGCCATCGTCGGTAACTGGAATAGTCCGGCAACTTGGCTTTGAAGGTTTGTTGAGAGGCAACTACCACACATGACCAAGACTTCCAAGCAAGTTTAAAAGTAACCAAGTAAAAGTTCTCTCATGCTGCGGTGTATCAGTGAGTCTCATAGGTGGAAGACTACTCTGCGACCTTGGATATACTTAGTGACTTAGACGCATGTCTGAAAGCTCGACACCGTTAGTACAACTGCAGCAGACCTATCAGGGTCAAGTATACTCTGTCTTATGAAACGCTGTGCGTCGACATTGACGCATGTTCAAGTGTGCTTCTTACAAATTCGAATATAACCTAATGCACGAGATTCTACTCATCTAGAATTCTCGATTAAACTCCAGTTTACGCTGACGCGATGTGTCTGCGACTTTTTCGCCCACTCACTTCGTAAGCTGAATTCAGCCTCCACATTCCTACCGCCTGCTTGCTCCAGCACCAGAGTTCGATTCTCAGATGATCTGCCAAGTGATTTGACCTTCTCTAGGTTATGGGCGATTGCTGCTTTGAAGAGTTCAGGATGACTTTTCAATGTTCCAACAGACATCCAGGGCCTATCCAACGAGTAGCTGCTGGTAAAGCCCAAGGCTATAACTATATCGCAGATTACAGGCCCGCTAATATGAACAATTACAAAGCCTTCAAAGCTTCTTAGTCCTTCTGTCCGAAACTCCTCGGTCATGCGCATCCAGTTGCGAGGAGGAAATGATTTAACAACACGGTATGTAAGGTGCTGGTGCGAGGCGTAGGGAATGGACGAGAACAAATCCTTGAAAGGAAATGAAAAGCTTCGGTGACATGTTTCCAGAATCCAAGACTGTCGGTCGGCCAAATGTTTTTGAATAAAACATGTGTCCGTTTCGTCGTCAGGGGATGTCTTTTTGAATTCAAGGGACTTGAAAGCTTCCTTTGGGGGAAGAACTCTCACATATCTGCCTTGTCCCTGATCCTTGAGCCAGATGCCAATGTCCAGGATATCGTGAGCTGTAAAGCCAAGGAAGAGGAATCTCCCCTCAAATCCGTCAACTTTTTCCAGTGGGGCTTTGATCCGCAGTCCTTTATTCGTCATCGAATACTATAGGTTTGGTCAAAATAAGATCCCGAATCAAGGGAACAATGGCTGATCAAAGTAGTAACGTGATAAAATGGGATGGATTAAAGGCAGGAGCCAATAAATACGGCAATGGTGGACATACCTCCGCGTCGACTGTAGATCCGCCAAAATGCTCCTCGAGCGATCCTTCGTTTGCGAAATCGTCTGGAGATCGTGCCAAGATACCGAAATAAACCTGCTCAGAAGATTGGTCTTGCGGCTTCGGTTCCGTGCAGCCCCATGCGAACAAGGAGAGATCATCGCTCTCTTTGATGATTTCTTCTTGAAGTCTTGTAAACGCTTTGCTCCCTTCTCCATACAACAGCGGCATGTTAACGTTGAATATGCCCAAAAGACAGTATGCAAGGTCTTCTTCTCTCGTAGTTGTCCGCCCCGCTGCCCACGACATACGGTGTGCAACCAGAACTTCCGAGAGAAGGTCCTCGATTTCATATTTATCAGTTTCGGAGTGTTCTAGGATAGTTTTGCTGATTCCGGTTCTTTTCGAAATAACTTCAGAAAGGCCTTGTCTGGTGCCTATGGCCCGCCAGTCCTTGTCGTAGAACAATACCCGTGGTGGTGCAATGAGTTCTTGTAAGGTCCAGCCTCGTGTGAACCAACGAGACTCCCGGAGATCTCTCTTCTCATCTTTCGCGCTGATGTCTGATAAGAATGCATAGCATACCGTCGATCTTGCGTACCAGTTAAACATTGAATTGATGGCTTCAGTCAGCTCAGCGGAGTTCGTCTTGTCAATGCAGCAGGTATCGATCCAGACGTATGAAAACCCTTGTTGCCGTGCTAGGCTGCACGTTTGTTTGATCTTGGCCCATCCTGGCTTCGTTGCCTTGGCCTTGATATTACCAAAATCCTGGAAGCTGGCTTCACCATCTTCCCACATATGAGATAATATAGCATATTTTTCTGGTATAAAGGAGCCAAAGAACTCTTCGATCTCAAGGCTCATGCAATTGAGCAGCTTCATCGCGTGACTTGGAAAAGAGTTGATAAGCTGAAGTAGGAGAAGTTCAACCCGGAGGATGATAGAATTGCCACGAGAGGATGCTTCTTTGAAGTCCCTAGTCTCTGACGTTTGGTTGTGTTTGAGATTGGTGAGCGTTGATTGAGAGAAGGTATTAAACGCAGGTGCGGGGAAAGGCGAAAGTGAGTACGGAAGAGCTTACCAGAAGACCAATCAGACGATATTGCGACTGGTTCAGCTCTGATATCTCATTCTGAGTACCAGGTATGGTAAGCGGTTCTCCAGCTGCAGCAACGTGGCACGCTTTCTCTGTCAGACGCGGTGTGGTACCATGCAGCCTCAGATCCTGGCAACACTGCCCAGGCCGCAGCCTGCTGATTGTTAATTAGCAGTCCCGCCCTTGATAACAAGGAGTCAGCTTAATTATTCATCGAAAGTCGGCAGAGCAATAGAAAGCCATATCTATATTAACAGAAAGACTTGTAAGCTTGTCAGACCTTGAGCCTTTCGATTTTCCCCAAGACCTCAGCTGTGAGCCGCAGTGACCGTGAAAGGTGTTGGTGTAGCTAAGTAGAAAAAACTAAGAAATGACCATATTATTGAGGATACGGCAGAAGTTTGACTCGGATTCAAACTTGCAAGTTCGTGATGGATACTGATTAAATTGTGAGATACGACTCCCAGCCTTTGTTTGCTATCGGAGGCTTCCCATGACCCATTAGGGAGCATCTAATAAACCGAAAGGGCTACTGCAAAATGACTCCTCGCTGGACCGATTTCTGTATAAATGACGCCGGCATAGCTAGGACGTCTTCCAAGCACCAGCAAAGTCATGGTGAACGAGTTGATGAGATCCAGCCCCTTCCAAGACGCGCATTTCCGCCGAAAGCGTCATGAAGGCATCCATAGGAAGAAGCAGGATGTCGCCAAAGACCCTTGGTTCGGCGAAACGCGACAAGTCATGATAGGTCTGAATTTCCGGCGCCGCCTTCTTGATGTTCTCGAAGATAACTTCCGTCCACGCCGGCGGTCCCGTGGCGTTCCAGACCTGAGCGCTCGAGGGACGCAGATCGTTGATCTCAACGCCCTGAACAGCTGCCAAGTCCTGAAGTCCCTCTAATGCTCGTCGCACCATTTGCTTCAATGCAAGATGTCCAGGCGCTGCTACAATAGTCCATTGGCAGAATTGGACTGGATGAGGCCACTTGCCCAATGAATTAATGCCATCGTCATGCTCTGGGGCGATCATTAGACGAATTCTAGATTTGTATTCTAGAGGCAGCCATTCGTCCAGGGGTTTCACAGGACGAGTGTCCAGATCGCTATAGTAGCCGCCTTCTGCTGAGAGCAATAGATATCGTAGGAAGTCCGATTTCATGGCCGGATTGCGCAATAATTTGTATGTTTTGGCGACTTCAGCGTCGAAGTGCTCCGAAACAAAAGCATCTCCCAACTCGTCACCCACGAGAGTGTATGTGAAATCTTTGGAATTCTTCTTCCACTCGTCCACATATCGTAACTGGTCATGATGGTCTCCTCCTTCTGGAGGGAAATAAATCTGCCAAATCTTTTGAGGAATTGGTTCCACCAGAGTTAGGTCAGCAGGTGGGTGACGGAAGAGGACACGGTGTGACAAATTCTTGTTGATAAGGAAAATAAAAAGCAGTATACAGCCTGCGAGAATCCGGCAACTTGCTCGGTAACTAAGCCGAAACATTTGATTGCCATATGAGAAGTTGAGATAATGATAATCTGGAATGTCGAGTAGAAAAGGGGCTTGTGCATAGCAGCCATATATAAAGGGTGAGACGATACGGAGAGCAGTAAAAAAGAAACCTGAGCTCACGTGGCAATGCTCAAAACTTATGGGTAGCAGGTCAAAGGTCCATCTAGCTCGGTTTCTAATTACTTTTAAGAGATGCCAAGCAATATTGTATTTCCGAATACGAAGTCCTAGCTCCCTGTTTCGAGGTAAATATCCACTCCATATAGCCGTACACCTTGTCTTTAGGAAAGCTTAGTAGGATGCTATTGGTTGCTTTAGGTTTTCTTTGATGTAATCTGGGGCCTTTAGCTGTAAATGTGAAAAAAAAATCCATAGATAGTAGGAAGGGTGCCCTATATAGGCCCGAAACCTCATTGGGTGAGTCGTCACGTAATCCCATAACGGCTTTATCAAGGTGCAACTTCACTTTGCGAACTGAAAAAAGAGTAATGGTAAGAACTGAAATTCACTATCTTAACTACCCGCAGATCATTCAAAGCACGGCAATGAAACTCCTCAAGAGAACAGAGAGCCTCTAAGCCACCACTTCCGAACATCTGTCATAACAGTCTGAGGGAAAACCAAACTTGGGGTTCGGTAACATCGTGGCCTAAGGTAGAAACAGTTACCAAAAACATCTCGGCTACTTAGACTCAGTAATGCATAACCGTACCTAGGTAGCCCATCCCCACATGTTCTTGATAGCCTGGCAAACGTTGACTTGTTTACCACCCTCTTCGGCGACGATTTGGCAAATCCCGTTCTGGTCAGGAGTCTGCCAACAGCTGTAGTTGCCGTCCCAATCAAGGCAAACGATATGAGCGGACGAGCCGCCGCCGCCGCCCTGGTGAAGGTTACAGTTCTGGTCGAGAGTAACGGTAACTTTTGTATCAATAGACTGCCACTTCCAGCGTCCACCGTCAATCTTTTGAAAGTTGAAACCAGTATTGGCATCGCGCTGCGGGGTCTCCGAAGTTTGACAGAAGTCTGCCAAGGCACCAGAGATGCCGAGGGCGAGGACGGGAAGGAGAGCAAACAGCTGCATCTATGACTTTGGTCAGTCACACTGGAGTACAAGGCTATGTAATATCAAAGTACCTTGTTGAAGATTATGAGTCTGAATTGAGTTTATGAAAGAGTGGTTGTGGAATCTTTTCCGTGTTGTGATGAGAAGACAACTTGCCAGTTTTAATTGGGAATGCGATGGGTACTTATACGCAAATCGTTGAAGTCTCACGAAATGATGATATCGTGACCACCGGATGAACTTGGCCATGAGACCTCCGCGGACGAACTGTAATAGATTAGATGAATCATTGTCGAAGTGTTGATGTTCATGCTTCTCTGCCCGATACCAATTCTGACGGTGTCCGCAGCCCCCGGTTGCAGTCTTGTCCAGATTGGAGCATTCTTTCCGAACATCTAGACATCAATTACGAATCATGAACAAGTCTAAAGAAGCCCAATAGTGTACCACTTACCTTATCAAACTTTAATTTCAAAAGCCCTCGGCTTTACGGCATCTCGCGATTCAGTCTTGAATAGTCTATTCCAAGTCTTTAGGGCTATCCGGAGCTTTTCGGACAACTGCCCGCCGTGAACCGGCCCGCAGCTCAACATACATAGCAAGGACCTGAAGAGCCCAAGCTTTTCTACTATCTTGATTTATGTATGGCCTTTAGTTCACAGCCAAGGGCCCCTCGACAAACCATTGTTGCTAAGTCTTTAGCCTCCTCCTCCGTAACCTGGTGATCTCTATTGCCTCTATCCCAAATAATTTCTGTGATCTTCCTTTGAGGTACATCCGAAGCGTAATCTTTAACCGATGTTGCTACCGTGAGCTGAAGTTGTTGACGTCCAGTCCAGCTTCTATACACGTCGACAGATATGTTTCCTTGCTCATCCGGGCCCTTTGCACGGCACATCCATCGACCCTCCATTCCATCGGGCTGATAGCCCCGAAGTAGCTTGACGACGTCTGATCCTTCAAGACTGAGATTCCATGCTGCGGTTGCGGGGTTCTCCATGGGATGAACTTTCCAGTGGTCGCCGGTTACGCGCTTGTCGAGTAAGTTATTTGCGGAGACGTTGGAAACCGAAGTTTCCGATGAATTGCTCATGATGATTTCGCAGACGAGGTATTGTTAGTCAGGCGGGGCGGATTTGATGAAATTGATGAAGAGAAGGGTTTGTCAAGAGTATGGTGAGTGTGGCACTTGAGGGTAAATTTGTGCCATGTTGAATCGGATCTCGGCTTTATAGAATTTAGATCTAGATCTCACACCCCTTTGATGTTAAACGCTAGACAAGTCGTTACCATCTTGCCTGCGCGTGGCTCAGATCACTCAATTGGGGGCGGGTATGAGTCAGAAACAACTGCAAGCCAATCGGCAGTCTCGGAATCAGCCGACGGGATGGTTCCAACGTGCCTATTTGATGGTAGAGCTACCGTTACGACCCTTGAGTAAAGTTTAAAAAGCTTGATTTTACAGCTAGTATCATTAAGTAAGTTGTTTGCGCTCCTCGGAACTGCTCATTGATGGAGTAGGGAATTTTAGTCAAAGTCTAGAAAGTAGCAATTATCATAGACAACGCCAACCGGCCGGACATTTTCAACTGCCCAAAAGTGCGAGATTGGCCGCGTCGAAAGTGTGTCGAGGACGCAAATAGCTCAGAACGGACTTACACAAGACGACGACGCTGTAGCGTTGACAATCATACCCGTGGCATGAATAAGAACAATTTGAGTTAATGAAGTCAACATGAATACGGAGGGCGTGGGATAGCCTCACAGAGATTCTCGGTGCTTTCAATGTAAGACCATTTTGTTATAAAGTGACATCTTTCGGAGGACACTTCCCACAAGCCTCGCATCTCACTCTCTAGTCATATGAAAACTGCAAGTTCACAGCACACTCGTTCATCATTTCATATTCTGTCTCTATCGACATCTGCCAAGATGCTCAGACAGCAGCCACTCGTTCTCGGGCTCTTCATCGTAAGCCTCTGGTCTTTCTTATGCTACGGTATAGACCTCTACCGCGCCGACTCCAGGTCTCCAGCCGCCATCGAATCTGCGGGTGGATTCTTGCCCAAGGGTCTGTCCACCGTCGGGGCCGTCTCCGCGGACATCAGCTTGTGGAATCATGTTCACGGCGCCCCGTCTGGCGCAAGCAAAGACAATGACGGATACGTCTCCACTACGTCTGATCCAGGCCTGGCCGCAAGATGGGTCACCAACTTCCTCAGGGGAAACGGATACATCTACCGGATCCATGCTGCTCCGAACATGATCGATTGCGAGGCTACCCTCGGCCGCTTCAACCCGTACCCTGACGAGAAGGAGTTCGCCGCCATTGGCGGCATCAAGAACGCACAAATCATCGGCTGGACCCCTGTCAAGAACGGCGTCAAGGGAAAGGAGCAACTCAATCCCTTTTTCAGCTCCCATATCTACAGCCAGATGGGTAACGCAGGGGCACAGTATAAGCTCGCGGCTTTCCCAGCTGGTCATCAAGCTTGGAGCGAGGACCCGTGGAAGGCCTACAGCTCATGCAACGCACATCCTAAACGTTCTGCTAGAGATCTTGGGTTGAAGCGGGCTGGTTGCGGACCGGCAAAGAGCAACCAGGCTTATGCTCATGATTACCTTGGCTTTGTAAAGGCCGTTTGCTCTGAGTGTTGATCGTGATGATCGGGGGTTCTGACAGCTATCGCGTCACGGCAGTCAGTTTCTACTTCATTCTTTCATAACTCTATTTGCCATGGATAAGGACAATCGAGCAATGCACATGTCAGTTTTTGAAGTTTGTGGAAAGGGGGGATGTTCTTGCTTCATTCTGTTATACTGGTATGAACCAGTAGTGGATGTGCAGGTTGGTGTAAGTAACCTTGCCGCTAGATCTATGAGGACTCTTCAAATGTCATAAAAAGAAGACAAATGCAGGTATACAACGGTAGACAAGAGACTCTCTCACAGCTAAGAGGTTAGATATCGTGAGGCTAGACAATCCACCAAACCATTGTACTTGATAAAGGTGCGAACCCCCAACTGTAGACTTTCATTAGGGCATAAGAAGAGCTCGAGCGTGTCGTGAAAGACAAAATGAGTATTCTAGTGAAGACTTATGGTGTGCCGTGGATGGAACGGACTTCTCTTGGCTGAACGGTTATCAACAGACTGTAGCAGGCATGCACGCCAGATACGCATCTTCAGTCGGACCAGCTCGTTCTTTTTAAAAACGTGTCTTCTTCAAGAGGCGCTGTTATTGTATTGTGCTCTTCCAAAGCATGATCCAAGACTTGGTTGGAAACCCCAAAGAAGTCGATTATGATGACTACCAGTAAGAAAATCTAACTTTGGCTTAGAGAAAGTCGTCTTACTCGTAGTAATAAATATACCAGCCATCTTGAAACACAAACGTAAAAAGGGTGCTTCCAGGAATGTCACCACGTCCATGACGATGACCAGGTTGTACTTTTCACAATTTGTTATCAAGGAATGCCCCAGTTCTTTTTATATCATACAAAATGCCTGGAACAGATGTACCAGTCCGGATGGAAAACAGGTTGGGGAACATCAAGAATAGAAAAGAATCATGTCAAGATATAGCGAGAAGCAGACAACATCACCTACCGAACAACCATCGACAGCAGCCACCAACCCGACACAGCGAAATCTTCCAGAACAGTGCATGCGAAATGGCGCCATAGGCTCTGTCCCCTCTGGGTCTGAAATGGTTTTTTTTTTTTTTTTGTCTTCCGGACTATGCAACTCGTCACATAGAAATCACACCGACTCTTAGTGGTACATCGGCCGCTGCGCATGCAGAGCTAGCGACCTACGTTGCTAGCATTGGATGACTACCAGGAAAACATTTACCGCGGTAGGCCTGGTCAACCGTGGTACCGTTTAGCTCCCCACAAGCGACATGTTGGTAGGCTATTCGCCGTAGCACCTCAGTAAAGAACTGTATTTTCTGATGGAATACCAGATGCGTCACGTTTGTTTCCAATTTGGTTGTTAAAGGCAGCATCCTTTGGAGGCAATACAGATAAAAATAAAAATAAAAAATTAAGACGGCTGAAATACGGTTACTCTAAGCTGTTGAGCCCACCTAATTGTGGCACTGCCCCTTTTGAAGCTTGTTTTTTGCCTTGGTCACTCTAAAAAATGGTAGCGAGCTCTACGGAGCACCTGGTGTGGGCCGGATCTATTTAGGCTTGTCGACTTGGAGCCGATGGACGCTGCTATTTCTGGGCGCTGAGCTGGCAAGCTTTACGAGTGTGGCATAACATTCAGTCACCCAAATCTGACTCGCCGATACGAGGTGCAGAACCGTGGCGGCGAAATACAGAATTGTAAGTGCTTACGTAGCAAATATACTAGGAAAACAGTCATTGGAAACTTCTGTCAAGCACAACGACTGCGAGAACAGATTGAGCACTGAAAGCTAGCCATGCGACGATGACAGAAGTCGACAGCAGATGTGTGGCGCCAGAGCTGAGAACGTCGGCCGCCCGGCTAGTTTAGTGAGCAGTGTGGCTTGTGCTGAAGTGTTTGTTTTCGGGACACACAGGAGATTGAAATGTGATGGTCAAATTGCCGCGGCGCATCCAGCAGCCGCGGACACCATTCCATTCCACAAAGCCATGATTCGTGATGGTGGTAATCCGACAAAAGTCGATACAGGAAGGGGGCGCTTGAGAAATGCAGGCGGGAAAATCCTGTTTGAAGCAATTTAGTGATGTCATGCGCGGACATGGATCAGCGTTGCAAGGGGGGTTAACCGCTGGAGGGAGGATGCCTCAGCGTGCTTCAGGTTTGTTGGTTTTGGTTGGGGTTCTCCAGACGGCGGCGGTTGCAGAGAAGGAAGATCCCGGGCTTCGGAAGGGGATTGCTTTCTTCTTTATGGACACAAATGTACGTAGTAAGAGTTTGGCGTTTACGAGAATTGATGTGAATGGCAGACTCTACTGCTACTAGTACTAGTCGTAGTAGAAGAAAGCAGTCGCAGGTCTGAAGGTTCAGATGACAATGTGTCGAGCGCCGATCGTGGTCTGATGTGGAAAAAACGGCAAACTCAATGGATGGTACTTTGGACCGTAGAAGCTTACTAGCAAGCATCGAGGACAAAACGTGCCTGTAGTCATAATGTTTGTCGTCATTCGTCGCATTGTTAGCCGTTGCACGGGCTTGCTTACCATCAGAGCCTTGCCTGGGCAACGGGCCAAAATGCTGCCAATGCGATCTCACCATCCATCCCTTCCCGTCTGTTCGCCGTTACTCGGCAGCCTCACCAGGCTGTCGATGCCGATGGACCGACTTGATAACAGGGTCGATGGGCCGCGGGGGCCGATGAGCGGTGGGATGCGCGCACACAAATGCGTGAATGAGGCTGGGAGGTGATGGAAGTGATGGAGATGGATGGATTGACAGAGGTTGGTGTTCAGAAGGGGGCCCCCAGAGACAGTGGCAGCAAATAGAATGAGCGAATCACCAGGAAGGAGCTGTAGGTTTCGAGAGAATTGGGGCGCAGTTACAACTAGAAAACGAGGAAGGCGCCAGTGGTCGCTTAGCCAACCACGGAGGGTCCAGATGGCTCCATGGGCCCGCTTTCGAGCCTTTTGGGGGGGAGGAACCCCGGCGACGGGGCAAGCGCTATCAATCCCAAAAGTGCAGGGGGTGGGAGGGGATGTGCCACAGGGCCTCAGCCCACTAAGAGAAACGTCCCCAAGGCTCCAATGTCCGAACTTTACTACGTAATATAGTTAGGCAGTTGGGTAGTTGGCCAGATAGTGTGCGCCGCCTCTTCAGCCAGCCCACAGCTGTAGTCTCACATTAGGTGGCCGACTCAGGCAATATTGGCCTGGATGCCAGCTAATAGGGGGGAAGAACGGCGGAAGGAAGGAAAAAAAAAAAAATTGAATGTAGAAGTACATTCGAGGAGAGGCAAGTCCATCAAGGAGAAAGAAATAATACCCCAACACCGTACTAACAAACATACCTGCAACACGGCGGCAGCTCTTCGGGCATTTGTGCGCTGAAAGTCGACACAGCCGCTCCGCAAAATGCACATGACGTCGTCGACCCCAGTTCTGACACCTTGATTATGTATACGGAGGAATAGTAGTAGTGGTACGGAGTAGTAGTAGCCGCCTTTGCATTCCTTCTTCAATTATGGACAATGAGAAAATTCATTATCGACGGGCAATCCAGGTAGGTAGACTCTGCAGAACACTGCCGTTGCGCCTGATTCCTTCTCTTTGTGTGAAGAAACAACTTGGCACTGGGGGGGTCTTCCTCTCTGTTGCCTTGCTTTCTTTTCTTTTTTTTTTTCTCTCCGATGTCCTCACTGTGCCTCCTGTCTACCGGGTGGGGCCCCTGCTCTGTGCATAGTAAGCTGCAAACGGCTGGCCCACAACTACGGCATTCGGCAGACCACTGAACCCAGCACAGGGCAGGCACGGGCGACAGGGTAGGGCAGGGAAGGCACGGCCAGAGCAACGGCAAGGAAGGAGGGACGGAGGAAGAAAGGACGAGGGGAAACAGGGTAAGTGTGGTTAAGGTACCTCCTCCCCCAGGTTTTGCTGTGGAGGTACTTGGGCTGGGCTATTGTCATTGTTGTCTGGTGGTCACTGCGGCACCCACTCTCAAGGCGACTTTCCTTGCAGGTTGGCCCATGATTGGGGAAGGAGGGCCTGCCCAAACAGACGCTGAGAAAACTGAGAGGGCAGGAAACGGGTTGCGTCCCTTTCCTTGCCTCCTTGCCGCGTTGAGAAGGGAATGGGAAACAGCGGGCTCCCTTCTTGCTTCTTGTGTCCGTTTTCCTGGTCGTCCAGTCTTTTTACGTTCCTTCACCTTAAGGTATGTACGGGATACGTACCCTACCGAACTGACAGTCCTTCAATTTGTCTCACACACTACTACGTACCTAGTAGACTGTCCGTCCACTCCCCATTTGCATCTTTTTTGCTGCTTCAAATCTCCATCTTCAGACCTCATCGCATAGCCTGCCGCAGCCCTTCTGTCTCTCCATGCCATTGTGCACTAGTCTGCGACCACCCGACGCAGCAGATCTCCTCCCCACGGCCCCAAGGACCCAGCTGCAAAGATCCAAGACCCTAGGCCCAAGCCACCCTTGAACGTGCAACGAACTGCGACCTGACTTAGACTAAGACTTTCCAAGCAGCCAAGGTACGACCACCTCACCATCCCGCACCACACCACCACGTCGCATCTCATTTCCCCATACCATTTGCCCCTCTCACTTCCTACCAGAGTCGGCTTCTCTTTCTCTCTCTCTCTCGCATTCCTATTCTTCCCATCCCTCTCGTCACTGTTGCTTTCTATCCACCTTCAAGTTCGGACCCTCCGAGCTTGTCGCTTCAAAGCCAAAGCACTAGAGGAAGAAAGCAACAGCTTGACCGTCTCTCGGCCTCATTCTTCCGTTGTCCGATACTGATCTTTTTGGGTCGATAGGAGGAATACGAGCGAGCGCAACGCCAGCCAGGGAGTCGCACGGAAGACACAAAAATACGAACTGCTGATCCGGCGCCGCCACGGCGCAGCTCCCAAATACGTAGCCCTGGTCGCTAGTCTTCTGCACACTTGCGCCTAGACTCTACCCGTGGCTTACGCTCCATCATCCTCCCCATCAGCAGCACCTCACCATCCTTCACTGGTGGTTTGAATCACGCCTGGTTTCTCTCCGAACCTGCGCCTCCACGAAACCGAACTCGATACGGCTCATCGCAATACGGCTTCAAGACAAGATTTCACTGCCCCGACCTCGTGCCGCCGAATTGTGTGCCTCTCTCTTCCTGTGTGCCTGTGTGCATTTTCGGAATCGTCGCCGTTGCAGTATCCATACTCCTCCTGACCTTACTGTCGCTTACCCTGACCAACACGAGTACGCGAGGAATTTGCCATCTGGTACGACTTGGCCGCTGTCAAACTCCACGACTCGTACTTGGCGCAGACGACAAACTTGCGTCGTCCGTCCGCCTTGTGCTTCCCAACCCACTGGGCCGCCGACCCGTAGTGCACGGAGGTTAGTGATTTTGTTTTGCTTCTGCCGCTTGCTTTCCTCCGGCATCCTTCCATCTGTTCTTGTCTCGGTCGTCTGCACGGCTGCAGTGCGCTGGAATGATCCAACGGGGTATCAACACACACAAGAACCACGCTCACAATTAAACCAGACTTCGCTCCGAGACCTTTTGAGATTGCACCTGCATTCCATTCCGTCGTCGCACACTGCCACTGACCCAGCTCGAACCCCATTTTTTCAACGTCTTGTTTGCTCTGCTTCTACCTTACATCTTCATTCGGAGAAGACCCTTGGCTGTCGGTCAGTCAGCCCACGAGGGTTGCGAGACGTTGGCTATTTTTCTTCTACCGCCTGAAACATGCCGCGATACGATTTTGACGACCGCAACGCCGAGCGTGAGCCTCTCGACAATGGCTACGGGTCTCATGCACGATCGCCCAACTCTCCGGAACACTACCAAGACCACCAGCAGCAGTACTATAACGGACCACCCCCGAGCCATCAGCAATATCACGATTCGAGAGCACAGCAGTATCCAGGCGGCCATCCCGACACGAGCTTTGGTCGTATGAGAGAGGAGCGAAGAAACGACCGCCAAGGTGTCCCACAGGCTGCAGTCGGAGCCATTGGAGGTGCAGCTGCTGGATACGGCGCCCACCAGGCTGGCTCCCACATGGCTTCACCACAAGTCCCACCCCACCGCGATTGGGCCCCCGGCGGTCACTCGCCGCCCCAACAGAGTAATCTCAACCCGAACGTCACTCCTGGGGCGGACAACTTCAGTGAGGGTGCGTCAGGGGGGGTAGCTGGGATTGCTTACAGTGTCGCCGAGCGTAACGCAAGGGAAAGCGGCGTCGACGCCATGAGAAATGTCGGCCAAGCACAGCCTCAACCCCGAGTGCCTTATCCTTCTGCCCCTCCCCAAACTTATAACCAACCTCACGACGAAATATACGAAATGAGCAACGCTCCTCGTCCTTATGCTAACAGCAACCGTACCTCTCACTCCAGCCTTACTGCACTCGGTGCCTCTGCCGCATCACCGGCCAGACTGTCGCCCTCCTCAGCACCATACGGCTATAGCGATTACTACAACGACAACCCATATTACCAAAGGAACGCAGACCATCTTGGTGTCGTAGACCCCAACTCTATAGCAGACGACGGCGACGACGGTTTGGATTACAGACGTAGTAAAAGCGGACGCAACTCAATGCTCAGCCTTTCGAATATCAGTGACCGCACAGGCAACAGCCGAGCGGGAGCTGCGGCTGGTGCTGGTGCTGGTGCTGCTGCAGGTGCTGCTGCCACTGGCCTCATGGCCAGCGCCAATCGGTCGGCCAACAGCAGCGGGTACTATGATCCCGTCAAAGGGACAGCCGCCGGCAGTAATGTTGATCTTGGTGCCCCCGTCGAGGCAAAGTCGGAATGGCTCAAGTCAAGTGACAAGGGAAAGAAGAAACGGAAGTGGTTCGTTATTATCGGTCTCATCGTCATCTTGGCTGGTGCCATTGTTGGCGGTCTTGCAGGTTGGCTAGTTCACAGGAACAAGGGAGACGGCGTCGGCAGTGGGGGCAGCTCATCAAGCGGCGGCGGCGGCCAGTCGGCAGACGATGACAAGAATGAAAACGGGGACCTCAACATCAACAGCAAGGAGATCAAGGCGCTCATGGGCAACAAGAATCTGCACAAGGTCTTCCCCGGAATGGACTATACTCCCCTCAACACCCAATACCCCGAGTGCATCCACAACCCCCCTTCCCAGAACAACATTACCCGTGACCTAGCAGTGCTCAGTCAACTCACCAACACCGTTCGCCTGTACGGTACCGACTGCAACCAGACCCAAATGCTCATCCACTCCATTCAGCAATTGAAGATGGAAGGCACTGTCAAGATTTGGATGGGTGTGTGGCAGGACAAGAACACGACAACCAATGCCCGTCAGCTGGAGCAGATGTGGGATATCCTTGATGAGTATGGTGAGAAGCACTTTGAGGGTATCATTGTTGCGAACGAGATCCTCTTCAGACAGGAAATGACGGAAGCAACATTGGGCACCCTGCTGCAGGAAGTGCGAACCAATTTGACGGCGAAGAAGATGAGCCTCCCGGTCGCCACATCCGATCTGGGTGACGACTGGACATCATCGTTGGCGTCAAAGAGCGACTACATCATGGCCAACATCCACCCGTTCTTCGCGGGAGTCAATGCCAAGGACGCCGCCATGTGGACATACGCTTTCTGGGAAAACAAGGCCAGCAGTTTCTTCAAGTCGGATCTGAAGAAGAACGTTATTGCGGAAGTCGGCTGGCCTAGCCAGGGAGGTATGAACTGCGGTAACGGCCAAGCTACCGGCTGTCCCGCCGCGTCGGTCGCGGGCATTAGCGAGATGAACGAGCTTCTTGATAAGTGGGTGTGCCCCGCTTTGACAAATGGCACCAACTACTTTTGGTTCTCGGCTTTCGACGAGCCATGGAAGATTAGGTTCAACGAGAAGAACAAGGAGTGGGAAGACCAGTGGGGTCTGATGGACGTGAACCGTAACCTCAAGCCGGGCGTCAAGATCCCGGATTGCGGCGGTAAGACGGTTTAAAATAAAGCTCAGTCACGATGTTTTTGATTTACGGATGGACGAGGCGAGAGCGGGCCCGCCTCTCGTCCGCTGCTCGTCTACGCAGCGGTGTACATGACGGATTAATTTTCTGGAGTTGGGGTTCAAGCATGCCCGGCCCAAGTGTCGCGGCATCATGTTGTATGATGTTTGATACCGTATATAGCCACGCTCCTGTATGGTGCAGATGGCTTTTAGTGTCGTTAGTATTTCACCGAATGGCATAGACTAGTCTCATTACTTGGTTCCATACTGTGTGATTATGTGAAGCACGCATAATAAATTTGTGTTGTTCGCTTGTTGACTGGCGCACGTGGGTTAGAAGGTTGGATTCTCGGCGTCTGTCATTGGTGGGGCTCGGACGGCTACGGGCCGGGCGGAGCGCGCGGGGACTTTGCCAAAACGTCGTCTCATCATCTCCGGCGCGCCCGGGTCGGAGTTGACGTTTTCAAGTGACGCTCAGCAGAGTGTGCCGTCTCTCTCTCTCTCTCGTTTTAACTGTTAATTATAATCACGGGATCTCTCAGTTTCAGACCTGTCAGATCACGTCTAGTCTGACATGCGAATCGGCGTCTTTTCCTTTCTCGCCCTCTTCTCACGCGCGGCTACCGTGGCAGAAATATCCGCCGCCATGGCCGAGAATATGGCTCGTCCGGATCCCTCTGCCCCCCTTGCTCCCACCCCGCTCCCGTCTCCCGGTCCAGCGCGTGACAGCGGGGAGATCATAAAGCAACTTATGACTCTCTCGCGAGCCAACATTGACAGCCTCAAACTCGTCAAGAAGGTGGAGTTTGAGGGGGATCTATGGGAACCCGAGGGTATCGTCAGGCTTTCTCACCCTTCCAACGGGGATGAAGAGAGATTCTGGGTGTCGGCGGGTGAGTATACCACGCCGACTGTGAAGTACCCCGGCGGCGAATGGAGGGACGGAACGGATCGGAGTGCCGGGGAGGGATTCGCGCATTTCGTGGTGTTTGACGGCGAGGGGAAGAGGTTGGGTGATTGGGTTGTTTCCGAGGAGGGCGATATCGAAGTGAGTTGTCATCCCGCCACATGCAACATTTTTTTTTTCCAGGTCCGGTGCTGATGTGTGTTAGTATCACAACGGCGGACTAGATTACGACGGCCAGCATATATGGGCTACGTTATCGCAGTATCGCCCGAATACCACTGCCACCGTCGTCAGAATCGACCCCGTGAAGTTGGAGATGGAGAGGGTTCTGCGGGTTCGGGATCACCAGGGCGGGATCGTCCGCGACACGGAGAAGAACACCCTTACGACGCTGAGTTGGGGCGGTAGAAAGGCTAGGTTGTGGTCTCTTGATGAGCGCGCCCTGTCATCCAGGGACGAGCAGCAGCCGTTGACCTCCGCCTCGGAAGAGTTTAGCTCTCCTCGGAAGGAGGTTGTTAACCCGTCGTATTGGATCGATTACCAGGACTGCAAGTTTCTGGGCTACTTTGAGGGACGGCCCGTGATGCTGTGCTCTGGCATCGCGACGCTTGCGCTCGGGGTGGACGTCGGCGGTCTGGCGATCGTGGACGCCGAGACGATGGTGCCTGTTTGGGAGGTGCCGTTTATGGAGAGGACGGCGGAGGGGAAGAGGGTGTTGATGACGAAGAATCCGATGGATGTCGCGCTTGTTGGGGGGAAGTTGAGGTTGTTTTTCTTGCCGGAGGAGGGGACAAGTACGTTGTATGTTTATGAGTTGAGTGGGTAGTACGTGATGCCGTGTTGACGAGTCCGCTGTTGTGGTTTTAAGGGCTGGCTTACATGATAATAAGTGGGTTGTTTCACAAACGTGAATTATGCTTTGTATTTGCGAAAAAGTGTCGTAGGTAGTAGTCTTCAGCACGGTGTTTGGCCATTGAGTTCCGGCATGATGTAGCGGGCTATTGGCGACATGATATGATATTGGACCTTCTTTTAGATAGAAATTTATGTTCCCGAGACCAAATTCCTAGCCCTGGCTGTTGTTTGTTCTTCTTGCGAGGTTTCACCTCATGGTGCGGGACCTTTTCAACTGTTTCACTTATTATCATCTCAACCCCGTTGAGACCCCGTTGAGATGCGCACGACGGGCACGGTTTACCTGGGGATACTCTCATCTGGAATATCTGAAATGAATAATTTCACTTAAATCGGGGATGTCGTGGAACCGATCCCAAATGCGGTGCGAAGACGACGCTAGCGAAAGTAGCAAAAGGTTCATCTCATAATCGATAGAGAAAAAAGGTAACCACTAATGCGTTGCCGCCAAACAGGGTGGGGCCGTTGTTTCTTGTTAGGCATATTTACCAGGCCGTTACAGCTGGGGATGTTTTTGCAGTTATTCATTTTCGGGCAGCACCTCGCAAGCAAAGACAGTTAAATTAGGCAGGAGTAAGATAATCATACGCACGATTTTTAAACCAAAAAAAAAATTACGTCAAGGGGCAGATCTAAATACTGTTGGGTTGGAATTTGGGGAACTCCGTTACATAATGGGAGCAAGTATAAGGTACAAACAAAAGAAAGTTTTTGTCCACGCGTTAGCATCTCATCTGTTGTAGAGTCAAGAGCCCTCCCCTTTCTACTTTAGCTCTTTCTGCTTCTGCTATGGGAGCATACGCTGTAACTGGGAGCATGCGCTGTAAATAATTACATCACTAGAGAGAATGTATTCCACACGACATGTCATTAAGCATACTACAAAAAGACCCTTTTACACAAGAAGATCTTGATAACGGTCTTCGTTTCAGAGAAACTCTCGTTTCTGGAGTAAGTACTACTTAATGTTCCTAAAGCGAGAGAATGAGGCAGTTCGTGTTTCAGAAAGTTAAGCTTTGTACATCACCATTGCCATCCCATTTTAGACTCACAAGCCGAGCTGGCGAATAAACGTTGGCGTAAAAAGTCTACTCAGGAGTGTAGAGCTTAGTTTCCTATTTAAATGTTTCACGTCGCGTCCCTCTGCATTTGTTGCAGCCCAACATGTTTTTAGACATCGCAATACCAGAAGAACTACTGCTACATCCCCAGATCGCAGTAGTAAACATGACTACGCTTATCCGGAGAGTTGGCAACCTTGAAGACCCAGTACCGGTGTTAAATAAGCGACCAACAATCCTCAGCATAACTATCGTTTTTCTTGTAGCCGCCTGGATTTGCGGAGCTTTGCGACTTTACGTCCGCTTCCTCATCACAAGTTCTCCAGGATGGGATGATTTGTTTGTTATTCTGGTTCTGGTAGGATAATGCTGCGCGAGTCCGGCTTGGGAAGTACTAATCCTCATGTACTCTCCAGATATTCAGCTCCTTCTTGTCAACTGCCACAATAATAGCCACAAACTACGGTCTCGGGCATCACTTTTTTCAGTTGGGTGCTGCTGGTATGAAGAATTTTATTATGGTGAGACCAATATTACTAAAAAGCCTCTTAATGATATGCTGCTAACGTTACAGTAAATAGAGCTTTTATTTTTGCAATGCGGCTTACGCTATAGTTACAACTCTTATCAAACTAGCTCTGTTATTCCAATATCTCCGCATTTATCGACGCGGCACGAAAACACGGCTTGTAATTATCCTCACTATTATGCTGACTATTGTCTGGGGCACAGCGTACACCTTCCTCGCATGGGTGCCCTGTATCCCTGTATCAGCTTATTGGGATCTCGATTACTATACAGCCACTCGATGGGGTTTCGGCTCGCGAGACCTCATTGTTATGGCACATACCTTCGAAAGCCATGTCGCCACGAATGCCATCCTGGATGTAACTGTCTTCTTGATACCTATTGATTTATTCTTGAGGCGAGGCCTAGAGGCTAAATCTCGATTGAGTGTTCTTTGTCTGCTCTTCCTGGGACTTTCGTAAGTCTCCTTTTCCCTAAGCTGAAATTTCACAGTTAGTCTTAAATTCTATTACACGCAACACATAGTGACTTGAACTATTAATCGATATCATGTTAAATCAATCTAACTAGCTTTTAGAGTCAACGTCGTGAGCCTTTTCCGCCTCATCAGTTTGGTTCAGTCCAAAGCGGGGACATATCCTACATTTGATCCAAGCTGGTTTGCTTGCGTGCCTATTGTCCTTGCTACTGTTGAGGTAGACTTGGCTACAATATGCGCCTCTTTGCCAGTTTTCTGGCCCGTCTTGGAAGTCAGACTCAAAACCATCCTCATCACAAGGGAGTTTGAAGTTTTGACCGACACCCGACAATCGAACAACGAGTCGATAGAGTCGCAGACATTCAATCTTTCCTTCCACGAGCTAAACCGGACTGACAGTACAAACACCCGTGCGACTCTGAACAATCAGGTACTCGGATGGACAGTGTCCACAACAAACACACTTATAACAGGAGGAAAGATGAATGCACAAACAGGGCAAAAAGTTGCGCATGTCTGATGGGCTCCAGACAATTCTTTATAGACAAACGACGTAATGAGAAGGGCGCTGGATCCATGGCCGCATAGGAGCCACATCACACCCAATCCGCAAAAACAACTTAGTAGACGAGCGGCACATTAATAGAACAATAATCCTCGAGCCCACAACGCTTGGTGCACAACTTACGTCAGGTATTAGCATCTCAGACGGCGCGAGCAAACAGGCTGGGATCTAAGTCGAGCCAAGGTGTAAGGCTCTCTTAAGTAGCCTGTGGGAATTCGTCTTCTTTCTTATCGCAGTGTGCTCACCTAACGTGGCGCTGGTCATTCATGTATCCCAAACTATTGTTAGCTTTGTAGTGACTCACGTGGTGTCTCGTAAGTCGTTGAGAAACCTTGACCCCCGTGTCTGGTTCTCGGCTCCTACTCTCTGGCTGGATTCAGGCTCGAGCAATATTAATAAACTACTAGACCAGCCAAGTGAAAGAGGAAACAATGCCAGCAGCTTTACCTGCCTTACTATGTTCAGGCAGCTTGAAACCTTGGGCATATCTCACTCCTCATGTTTGCCAGGAGCCATCCACCGTGTTAGCAATAGTTACACTATCCTATTTGAGCTTTAACTGTGGGCACATCCTGTGCGTGGAATGTCGAGACAACCATGGTATCGTACGGAATATTCACCGTGAGACATGTGTTTCCTGTAGCAAAGACACGGAAAGAGATATTCCATACATAGACCGAAGATTTTATAATCAACCTTCATCTAAGGTTCCCGCGCCACTCAGAAACATCAAGGAAGGCAATGAAGGTAGCACTGAACGTCCAATTAAGAGGTAAGAAGCACATAGCTTAGGCAAGGTAGTTGTAATCCTCCGCTAACAGACACACAATGTGGTTCTCTCCAGTTTGAGTGGTTCATTGGATTTGGTTAGCCAAGCGCTTCATGGGCAACACTAGGACTTTTCGAGGGTTGATGGAAGCTTGTCAGGGTCTTCCCGCCGTGAAGCCATCAAAAGGTTCCGGTCTGAGGAAAACTGCAATATCTTGCTAGCCTCGATTGGCAGAGCCGGCGTAGGTTGAGGTGTTCTATTGCTAATGCTGTGGTCTTCATGCTAATACAAACTAGGGCTCGACTTAACTGTTGCTTCTCGAGTCCATTTTCTTGAGCCTTGATGGGCACCTAAGGCAGAGCTACAGGTTTTGGATCAAGTGCACAGAATCGGCCAGACCAAGGAGGTTTTTGCAAGACGATACTTCATGAAGGGCTCCATTGAAGAGGTTTGTAGTCAAAACACCGTTCTTAATGTTAGCTTCACCTGTTAACAAGACACAGTACATTGTAAAAGTGCAGCAGGTGAAATCTGCCCTAAAAAGCCAGTCGTTCGCCCCCGAAGAGCAGGAAAAAGCTGAAACCGCATGTGAAAGGTTAGCAAAGGTATGGGTCGACATATACACATATCTCAATCACAGACTAACAAGAAGTTTGCAGTATCTCACGAGCAATAACATCGATTAGGCGGTGTTATTCGCAAGACGTCTAGTTAACAGATTCAGTACACACCGACTTAAGTGACGTAGGTATCTGCTATAAGTAATGAATTGCGTCTCCTTGTCTAGATAATGATAGTCTTCCGCATTGCAAGAAACTGTTTACCGAAAGAAACGAAGGTTGTAGATATAAACGGTACACGGTCCTTCAGGCGCTATTGACAGGCCTTCTTCTCTGACGTCTGCCTCTATTTGTGAGGCCCATTATGTAATAATACTGCTAGTTATCGTCAGAAAATAGTGGGTTAGACGACAACAAATCTAATCAGCATAGGATGGGTGGCGATTGATGAACAACCCGACAGATCGACAACAGCGACATGACAGTGGGGGGAGGGACACAGGTAAGTAGCAAGCGGGTGACAGTAACCCGTACTCCTACGAGCAGGTTTAAGCCATCCTGTTCTCGTTCAAGGTAAAGTTGGTAGAGATTTAGAGGCAGGTTTACTTCAGAATGCCAGAGTAACAAAATGCAAAGACTCCAAGAGTAGGGAATCCACATCATCACTACTTAGGTTCATTTACTTTCATCCTGCTTGATCAGAAGTTCCCTGAAGAGAGTTGTGAGAAGGGTTGTGTTTAGGTGTACAGCCGCTGCCACCAACATGCAGAAATCCCCCAACGCCACTGGGCTGATCAGACTAGACTCCGCAAGTAAGGTATAGTAATCCGAAGTTAGATCATTCCCCTTGACCTATTAGCAAGAGCAATTAAACCTACTATACAAGTCTTAACTGCGGCCTGAGTATTGAGCATTAGGTTTTGTTTAACAGCTTGAATAGCTACTACTTAAGTCGAGAATCATAGTTATTTATAGGCATGATTATAGTGTAAACAAACCCCTTTGAGATTGTCTAGGGAGTAAGTTTATAGGCAGGTAGCCTACTCGCTTGAGTTACCTATTCGATTATTTTTACGATATATATAACCCCTGCACTACACAATTGCTATTTATCTTCCCACGATGTCCCTGAGTTCCCCTGTCCAAGCAACAACGCTCTGGCGCACAACTCCGAAGTTCCGCCAGTACCCCGCTCCCTTAGCAGAACGCCCTCGTGTTAACGATGAACTCCAACGCGTAGCCGCAGCACGTTGTGCCTCCCGCGATGCCGCACCACCTCTCGCAGTTGGTATTGACTTTCGGGTGAAGATCGACGACGAAGTTGCCATGGTTTGTGTTCCAGTACAACTTCTCCATCTTCTCGACATATGCGTTGTTAACGTTTCCTCTGCAGTTCAGATCGCATCGATCGAGTCTCGAGCAGTTGTCCGTCTCACAAACAGCTTGCCCCCCATTGTCGACTGCACGGAAGGGCTTCTTGTTCTGTCCGGAATAGATGCCTGAGAGGAACCACCCATTTATCTCTAGGCATGCCTGGGCGCCGGTAGCTGCGAGGGCTACAGTTAAACCGATGGGTCCTGAGAGACGCATCTTGATGAAAATCGAATGTGAATGCTTGAAGTGCTTGTTTCTGTTGCACAAGGCACGTGTGGTGGGCGTGGGACGTGGTTGCTCCTCAGAACGAAATTATTGTGCTCGTTATATGTATAGGGATTGTAACTGATGCAAAGACAATTTTGGCTGTAGATTGACTGAGAGCAAGAACAATAGAGGAGAGAAGTTATTCTGATTTTTCTAGGGCGTTAAATTAGAGATATATATAGACAGGTAGCGACTTCGGTCGTTCCCCTTGTCCGGGGCAGAGCACGACGCCTCGTCTGATTTTTAAATATTTTGAGCGAATATCGTCCAATCCTTGATCCTAACAGACCTTTGCATCCTGCATATTGCTCCTCTCGGCTCCTCAATCGCTTAAGAAAGGTAAGCTCCATAATTTTCCTTCCCCTCGTGACAATGTGGTGGAGAGATTATTGCATATATTCCCCGCTCTTGAGGCCTCAGCTATTCATTAACAGTCGATACCTTCTCGCAAGGCACCATATGAAAACTATGAATATACCCAGGATAGCCTTATAAAAAATGAGGGTTGTCTCCTTTATACACATGGCTTAAAAGTGCGTATTCCAAGTTCTGGTACAACTCGTAGCAGGTACTTGAGTATCCGAGGGGAAGTCAGCAAGTTGGAACGATGGCGGCAAGGCTGAGTGTATAAACCTGGCATCGATGGAATAATGGGAGCAACCCTCCCAACTCAGCCAGACTAAGCAAGATAGAGGTTGGGGCCGGAGACGTAAGCTTAAATCGTTTTTGAGCAAGGATTCTGACTCGACATGCGGGGATTAGATACAGCTATACCTGTCAGCTTCACATGGGGGCTGGAGTCAGGAGGAGGTGTACAAAGCAATACCTTGGAGTCATTTTGTTGTTATTATTCTGCTAAAAGAGAAATCGTCGCTTTATGCTAAACGTAGTAGTGACAATATGGACAAATTCTGTCAGAGTGCTCCAAAATAGGTTGAGGTATTCGTCTGTTTTGCTGCTTCTCTATAATCTGAAAGATGTGCTCCCCTGATTTTACTAACCCAGATAGGATAATGCACTCTGCATTGGCCTCTCTTGGCATTTCGGGATTTTAAACACCGACAAGCGAGAGCATGCTTGCCGCAGTTTCATAGGGATAGTGATGGGGTGCACGCGATGCCTCAAGTGCAAGCCGCAATTATAGTAGACACCCATGACAGTATCATCATGAGAACCTCACGACAATTAAAGACACTTAAACTAGGCCTACCGTTGCTTATCGTCGTTGATTCTTATCTGCTGACTGTTTTGCTGTTCCCTGTGTGTCTGTTTTTATCACTCAACTGGCCTCTATCCAACAGGGAGAACTGTGCCAGGTGGGATACTGATTTGGATTAACTAGATTAACTTATAAGAATCCAGTGAGAAGTGTCTTCATTAGTCCGACACGTCGCCAAGGCGAACGTTGCGGCCTTTGTCCAAACGAGCGATATCACCATCGATGCCATCACCGAAACCAACCAGAAGGCAAATTCGGAGAGAATATAGCGATACCATCTAGTTTGAGGCGGTGGTGGCAGCTGATATAATTCCATAGGAGCTTACAGCAAGAGAGATAATTGCAATGTTATTCTACCCCATGCAGCTCACGTATAGCCGTCCGTGTCATTAGAGCGCCTTACAAACGCCTTAAGTCCTCCAGGCTACTTACAGAGAATAGAGATTGCAGTGGCTTTCTCGACAGAAAATGCAGCAATTCAGGCGATGGCATTGCAGCTGGGGCTACTTAACGCCTTGTCGAGTGCGATACTGCCCATGAGATGAAGTCAATAAATTGTTTGAGGTGTAGAGTTCTACCTGATGGGAAAACGGGAGGCATCTTCCGTAGGATTTAAGTAAATCAAAGCTGGAGAAAACCGGTAACGGAAAGGTCCCCCATGAGTACCATCAACCATCCTTGTCAAAGTCATTGCCAGCATCTAGGCTAGCCACGAGCTGAATGACTCCATGATCCCAGATTTGCTGTCAGTCATGCTGGAAGAGGGACCTAAATTAACTAAAGTATTGGCACAGACTCTCTTTTACGTTTATCAAAGACTCTACGTATTCAAAACACCAAATAAACATAGCGTCGGCCCAGACTGTCGTAAGTGTGAAGTAGTTCAAGTCGCATAACGGCGTCAGCGAGGCACAACTGATTCCGAGATTCGTTATGATGGTATCGCTCCGGTAACCTTTTTTTCCAAAGATGCCTGCGGTCGAGGCAGGCTTGTCGCAGATACTGGGGAAGATTGCCCCTATTTCGTGATGGAAACTGCGGGTCTCATACACTATTTCCTATGTCTTGTCGCATGGTGTCTGATTAGGCGAACTCTTATAAAAGTTACACGTGGCAGCTGTGTATTTCTTCTACCGATGTTTCCTACGCCAAAGGCCTTCTTGCATACGTGCCAGTTCCAAAGTTACAGGAAACGACAAGAGCGTCCGGGTTCTTCAAGATTGCTTAGATAAGATACTTAGTTGTAAACTGACAAAGGTGATCTTGCTAGATGTCTTGGCCTTGAAGCCCTTCAAGAAAACCCTGCAAAGATATCCAGGGATCCAATGGAAACTTACGATCGCACGTTGAAAAGGACTTTGGAGGACTATCCCACGAACGCTATATACCTCTTACATTTTCTCGTGCAATTAAAGCGGCTGCTAATATTCTTTTGGAAGCATTAGAGATCACAGTCACAGATTTAAATGAAGATATCGAAAGTCGTACGTTTAGCGGTGATGATATTGTGCGGTATTGTCCTAGTCTGCTGTCAGTAGTCGGTAATGATCGAGACGGCGTGAGAGTAAAAGAGGACAAGCTTGCTCACTTTTCAGTCAAGCATCATCTGATACTACCGCCAATTTTCAACCTTTAGAACTGTCAGTTTGGTGATTGTCAAAAACTGCTTGACATATCTTATAGGTACTTGGCGTGGTCGATCAAGCAAGACCTTGTATCGGCAAAACACGCCGCATGAGCTTGATAGGATTTGCCGCATCATTCAGGCCATTAGAGCACACTATCTAGATTATATTCACATATTTGCAAAGAGAAGAACCTTTTCTGAGACGGGGCCGTTCATCAAGACGACACTGTCTGGAGAGTTCACAAACTAGGCGTACCAAAAGAATCTAGAACATACCTTATTATGCCTGTCTAAGAGGACTTACAGTAGTGACACAAAATGTCCTTTGACGATAAACAGACTTCAATGAACGGGGCGGCCACACTCAGTTCTACAAGCTTCTCATAGATCACATTATCAAAAGCCATCCCACTGTTGAGGACCGCAATAACAATCCAGACATCAGAACAGCTGCATTTGGCAGCCATCCCGTATGGCGCAACGTCACATAATAACTTTGTTTTTTGGGATCTGGGTACGTTTTTAAGATTTGTCATAACGGCATGCTGTGCATTTGTGATGACAGTTTTTAATTGGGCATGAGGTTTGGTCTATATATCAATTGGAGAAAGGGGTCCGGGATAGAATAAATAATAAGATTGCGTTAGGAAAGCAATACTCACCTATCAAGCTTGGACATTAAACAGAGACTTTCCGGGATGAAAGTTAGAAGTAGAATCATCGCAGATCCGCTTCGGATTTGATCGATGGACATAACCTAAAGTTTCGTTATTGCATGAATGGGCCGATGTAAATCCCATCAGCGACGTCCTCTTTCAACGGTTAATGCAAACCGGCAGGTCTAGGCGCATGCCGTGTTCTCCAGCATCATGACCAAGTTGGCGAAGGAGATTTGATCAGCCTCTTGGTTAAACATGAACAGCATTCTATTAAGAAGACGACACTGGGCTCGTTGCGCGTTCCAAGCAATAGACAGCACAGAAGTAATCAAACTAATTTATATGGCCATAAATCTTTTTCTCCATCTGGAAACAATCGACGGTAGGCACTCAAATTCTAATTATAAGCTGGGGCGAGCACCTAATAGGGCTATAAGATAAAGTTTAGTGCTTCATGAACAGAATTTCCAAGTAACCGCAGCGCAGGGAAGCATGCTGCGCTTGACTAGATATTACAGTAACACTTAATTTGAAACCCAGCTGATGCAACTACCGCGAAATGCCTGCGAAAAAAAGTTTAAATTCCCGACATATTGATCCTACGTCACGATTCCACTCCCAATTAACCTTCTCATCCACAGCCCGCCGGTCCACAACCAACCAGGTCTCGAAACCGGCACCTCTAGCTACTCCGGCGCTCCCGATGGCGCCACAAGATGATGCCCGTTACTGACACCTATTAAATATGGGTCTACGGTGCATTGCAAGGTGGCATTCTTGTGCCTCACGCGCTATTTCTGAGATCAGAAGATAAAAGGCGGCAAACCTTAATGCTACTACGCGCGGTCGCACTTTTTTAAAATCTCCTTGCACGGAGCGGTCCGATGTAATATCATGGTTCAGTGTGTTAGGGTTACTCCGTACTTACTAGGCAATACCAAACAGTGAGACATATGAGCTCGGCAGAAGCTTGAGTTGTCCTAGTACACGATGGCTTTCGACTGGCTAATAGCTGCTGTACAGTTCAATGGGGAAGTCTGCCGGGGAAGAAAAATAAACTCGACGACTTCTAGGCTCCCTAATAGGGAGGCTAAAATGCGAGCGTTGCCGTCACTGTCTGAGCATCGCTCCCTGTCTAGCTATCCCTGCGTACGAATGAGGAAATCCTGCCACTCGCAGACGCTGCAGATCTCACATATGGCTGGCTGTGCATTTCGGTTCCGCGTCGCCGTCTAAGCCTGCTTGAAGATCGAGATTGACTGATGGAAAGCCGAGACATCAACAAGCCTGACTCACTTTGGTCAAGCCACATGCTCGCATCCCTATCGGCTCATAAGATCGGCACCATCTCCGACACGGATGTACCCCATGGGGCAATGGTACCCTGTCAGGCAATTGATGCTCTCAAGGACTGCCAGGTCCAACGGCCAAGGGACGCTATCGTCCATAACTTGTCGCGCAATCGTCTAATTAGCGCTGCAGTTGTTCAAGAGCACCTGGTGCAGTTGGAACTGGCAAGATAAGAGACCGTAAAAGGTCATGTTGAGATGGTGCGTGAAGGCGAAGTTGTTGGTGACGAGATAGTTGTATGTAACCTTCCGTTTTAGAAAAGTTAATTTTTCATTAACCTATGCAGAGGAGAGGGGCCATTTTGAAGCGCCTACGACGTGCCAACTGCAGTTGGTTCAATGTACCTATCCATAGTCCCAACCGCGTCTAGTTGAAACTCATTTGCAGGTTAAATGCTGCCGAAATACGCATGGGATGGCACACGAAAGCGGCAAAGCAGCTCGGCATACCCACACCCTCAATTCAAAATATTTCGGGATGCCTCCCGGCTTAGCTCTGTTTGCAGAAAGGGTTCAGACCATGTGTGGTGGCTGCCACGAGCTCCTGTAGCTGCACGACAAACACACCTTCACGATGCGATCTGTCATGCATTTCCATCAATAGCCAACTTGAGGAAGCCCCAAAAGGGTTCTTCTCCCGCAAACAAAGTCCTAGAAAAAAGCAAATCAAAATTAGGTCGGCTCCCACATGGTAGTCTAATCTCGCAGCAAACGCATCCGCCCACAATTGAAGGGGGAAAACGATACGAGAGATGGATGGGGCGGGATCAGTACGCTGGGATGGTCTACTTATCTTTGCCATAACTAGCTAGGTAATCGAACCCTTGTTAGTTGTTGGTTTATGGGGTCTTTTTTCCTTTTTTAGCGTAAAACTCAGTCCAACCAGCACAAGATGCATTGGGATTAATTGGACGAATTGGGTGTCTGGCTCGTATTGGGGGTCTCTCAAATGCAGGGGAGTGGCATGGAGAGATTGAACAACGGCGCTCCTGGGCGCAAAGGAAAAAAGACGAAGCAAACTGTGCCGTGCTTGCCAAGTGATTTTTATCATATGATTGTACAAACGGAGTAGTAAAGGCGCAATTTTGCCCCCCCTCCTCGGAGAATCCTCGTCCGTTTGCCCCCAACACCATGACATGCATGGCTTTGCATATTTTCTTTTCATCTTTTTCGATTTATCATTTGCTTTTTTCGGTCGACTACATGATATGGGGCGAACCGAGATAGCGAGTTTCCATTTCGCCCTTCTGAGACTGTTTGGCTCAAAATGAAGAGGGGGAGATGGTAAGGGAGGGAATATACCTTGCGTCAAATATTGCCCTGGTGTCACTCAGATACATGAACATGCGACAGCGAGCCCAGTAGATTGGTTCGTCGATCAAGTTACAGTGAGACAGGCATACCCTTAGAAACAAGCTTCCTCGAGCGCGACAATCAGTGGGAGGACGAGATTAGTTCACCACCGACGTTGAAAACGCGAAAGAATTGATACCCTAGAAAACTTAGCTGAACCAGATCCACGGTGCCCCCTGCCTCTCTCTCTCTGTCATCGAATGAACCCTTCCCACATCTTAGCGCTTTCCGTCCCATTCTCGGTGCGCAGAGCCGGGGAGACCTGCACACAGATGGGGTGACGGAACTTTGGATACCATGCCCCCAAAATGTCGCCGAGCTGTCCAGTAAGGGAGGGCTTAGTTGCACGAGGTGGCCCCCCCCCTCTCAACCTCAGCCGCCGCCCGGTGTCGTGTTCTGGCCCCACGTTGGCTCGAATCGTAATCCGAACCTCTCGGATATCAGACAAGGTCTTCCTTTCGAGGGGGGCGGACAGATGCAAGCCAGGCGAGATATTGCTGCCGTGCCGTGCCGCCATTTAAGGCATGTCTTCCCCATTCGTCGTGGGGGAAAAAAAGGTTCCGTCCCTTGAGGTTTGCCCTTTTCTGTTGGTCGCAACATGTATTAAACCCCTTCGACGGCGCATCCCAGCGCATTCCCATTGATTTTCTTCTCGCTGCTCGGCTTGATCTTCGATACCCAGTCCCGATCCTCGACAACATGCACTTGACGGATAAGTCCGAGGCAACCGGCCTAAGGTCGTTGCGGGAGCGAATCCTACACCAAATTTCCCGGCTCCGATACCGAACGTGCGCCTTCGTCGGACTCGTCTTAATTTTCCTCTCAACTTTCTGGCTCTACGAAAGCAGCGGCCCGCTTGGACTCCAGCTACCCTTCAACACCGACATATTCTCGAAGGTGGGCCACATTACTTGGAGCGATGACAACTCAACACGGTCTGACTGGGTGAAGCCGCATCCCGGACACCTCATCCCACCCAAGATCTGGCAAATCATGCTACCGAAGAACTGGAAAGAGAGGAACCCCATCAACGACCCCACGAAGTTGAAGGAGACGGCCACCTGGCTGGCGATGAACCCTGACTACACTTAGTAAGTGCTTTTAAAATTTCCTTTTTTTTTACTGTCTGAGGCGCGCGCTGTCAATCTATCCCGTTTACCGGGTAGATCTCATGGCATGTCTAGTACCGAACCGTTTACACCGGAATTCCCGCGACGACGAGCTAACTCACGATGTCCAGCACGCTGGTTGGCGGTAAGGGAGGCAGAGAATTCGTAGAGCGGCGCTTCGGCAATACTTCAAAGGTTTTTGAGACCTATAACAACCTCCCCAACGTGGGAATGAAATCAGATCTCCTCCGCTACCTGCTCCTCGACATCGAGGGCGGCGTGTACACCGACACCGACACGGTCGCACTCAAACCCATCGACGCCTGGGTCCCCCGCGAACTTCGACAGGAAGCTCGGTTAATCGTCGGCATCGAGTTCGACCAGCAAGACGGCGTCGCATGGGCCGACATCCCGCACCCGCTGCAATTCTGCCAGTGGACTATTGCCGCCGCTCCAGGCCACCCGGTCTTCAAGAAGATGGCCGACCGCGTCATTGCTTCCGTGGATGACCTGGTCGAGGAGCACAAGGTGAAGGAGAACCAATTGAAGCCGGTCAGCTTCGAAGTTATGAACTCGACGGGGCCGGCGGCGTGGACGGACGTGGTGTTTGAGCATTTGCAGACGATCGAGCCGAGTCTGACGGATCTCCGAAACCTGTCGTACATGAAGGAACCGACGCTTTACGGCGACGTATTAGTTTTGCCGATCGACGGGTTTGGCATGGGCCAGCAGCATTCTGGCAGCACGCACGACGGAAGCATCCCAAAAGATGCGTTGGTGAAGCATTTGTTCGGAGGTTCTTGGAGAGGCGATTAATTCACGGGGGGAAACGAGCATGGAGTTTGGTGTTTGTTGATGAAAAACGAATTGCCAATACGGCGAGTTTATTTGTATAGTTGCTTTGTAAGATACCTAGATTCAAAGATACCCAAGAAAACTTTGAAATGTAATACAAGTTTTGCACGGCTGTTGCTTGACGTTGATGATGTGGTCAATCTCCTCCCCGTACTCATGTCCACTGCACAATCTGGGAGTTGTGTACCTCAGCTGTACCCATTCATTAAGAAACTAGGATAGTTTTATCAATATATTGGATCATGCTACGGGCAGTCTGTTATCAAGTCATTTTGTCTTGAGTGGTGATTCCAGAGTGTGCAACACGAGAAAATGGCTTCAAACTCAAAGACAGCCCAACTGCGTCAGCTCTCACCTTCTACCTGCCTTTAAAAGAGCCTTGCAATTTGAGTACCGCTCGTAGATGGACACGTTTGATGTAAGACGCGGCACTCCGGGTCATCTCTTACAAAGTCAGGGGGGCTAGTAAGGCGAGTGCATCGGGTCACACAATCCGGCCTAAAATCTGACTGCACCGCTGGCAGTTGCAAACGGCAGCGCCCGCATGCGTGGTAGTAGGCTACTACTTGCGCCCCGATTGTAGGGGAACCAAAGGGGCCAATCATGTATGCCATCCTCTTAAGAGTGTCATTTAATACCGCTTTTCCCTTTGTCCCAGTCGATTTCAGCTGCCTAGAGTACGAGAATTTTGCCAAGCCACAACCTGCACTTCTGTCCATATGATTACGCGTCAGGGCTCATCTTACTTATGATCGTTGTTGTATTGATGCTACTAACCATAGCCTCACTCTTGGTCCTCTACAGGTAGTGTTGAAAGAGATGAGATTTGTTAAGGTCATATTATTCTCATCGACGTTTTGCGACTGTTTTGGTGACAACTTCAAATGGCCTAGTTGATATCTGATGTCTCGAGTATAAGACAAACCATGTATATATGCTTGCTGCTCGTAACACTCCTAATGGTGTCCTTTGAGAGAAACCTTGATCAACTGATGTAAGTTTCACGTTGCGTAGATGCACATTGGGAAGCTTAATCACATATCCTCGAGGTTCAAGAAATAAAGAGTCGTTGATTCAAATGCAAGCCTGCGATGTTGTGTTGTAGCCCCAAAAGCTCCAACTGAAACAATGCTTAAGGGTCTATGGGACAGAACTGATAATTCAAAGACTGGTTGTCCTATATCCTCATAGACGTAGGACCGATACCGACTAAAGAGACATGTTGTTTCTTGAACAGCCTCAACCGTGAGACCACCGAGCTTATTTTCAAATTTGAAAATGATGGAGCTATGGCTAAGAGAAACTGAGCACCCCAGCATTTACTAGAATCACTCTTCATGGGGAGCAGCACAGCAATACTAGAGCACCAAAATAATATTTCATGAAGCGAAAATCACTTTGCGAGGAACATGCAATATCGTGGAAATGTTCTCTGAGAAAGACTGCAGCCACAAGAGTATCGAGAGGCATATTTTTTAGACCGGACGTTTGATTCCAATCATAGGCATCACGGGATTTCTGATATAAGTAGGTCTTGATTCTTGAAAGATTGGCATTTTGTTATTACGATACTAGAACTATGGAATCACGCCTTCCTGGGAAGAACTCATATGATAGGTTTCATACTAATATTAGCAGCTAAAGCAATATGTTTACCGATGCTACCGTGTTTTTCTTGCGGGCTTACTTGGGTTAAGGTATTCACCTGCATTTGGCTAACTTCTTGAATACTTTAGCACTTGGTGAGTGGGAACGACTAACACACCATCTTGTCCTTTGTTTAGCTTAAGGTAGCCAGGCCAATGGTAAGAACCCCAGTAATTCATCTAAGCTTATCAGTCTTGCAATGTTATACAAAAAACCAAGTAAGATGCAAGCAGCAAGACAGCGCTTTGCAGCTTCCCAAGGCCAATCAATATTGAAGGCATCGAAATGAGATTGTTGTGAGTTGATCCATTAACAGAGCTCTTGTACCATTTTCAACTTCCGAGACTCTCAAACAGAATGAAACGCGACAATACTAACGTGCTCCAGATGTAAGAAAGCTGCAGGTTTCGGAATACTTGTGGTATCCCATCGAGGTCCAGTTGGCTACAGGTACATCCTCGTAAGGACAATGAGCCGCTAAGTGATCAGTCAAGACAGTTACCAGCCAACCAAACAATTTGAGTGAGCAGAATCTAGAATTGAAACAAGTTCGTGCATTATCAGAGGTACAGTAATGCAGCCAAGGAAACATAGGGTTTAATAATCTACGGTCATGTAACTCTGATACGAGAGGAAAAGAGTGGGCGTAAACGGGGGACCATGTAGCTGTAGCCAGCTGGACACTGATGGGATAAAGTTTCGGTCAAGGTACTTCTCGATTAGCCGTCAGGGCCGTTGCGTTCCCCAAAGTTTGAGTGGCCACAACTCTTGTGTGACAAGAATAGGAAGACCAACTGAACAAACTGCAACCGTCAAGGTAATTTCACTTCACTTCGGATGGGTTTGAAAACTTTATTACTTACTAGAGACATATCTCGTCGACTGCCACAAGGCAGCAGGTACATGATATGTAGGGTACTAGCAAATCATACTCTCTGATAGTGCGATTTTGGCCGAATGATCAGCATGATGTGACTAGTCATAGGCTTTCAAATAGAACGGTATGTACTTGTTGCCTTGTGGCAGCCGATTGGATAGAGACAGTATCCTGCGATGTCTGCAGTACGCTTAACACAATCAGACACAAACTAGTGAGCGCGTTTATATACACGGCTATTCTTGGCATACGGTGAGCCGCATGTTGTGTTAAGTTCAGCGAGGTTTGGGTCCACCATTGACGGTCATTGAAATGATTTGAATCTCCCCGAAAGTGTCAAAATGAATATGATTAGGAAAATTACATGTTACCGCGGGAAATCAATGTTGGACAGCGTAAGGCCAACCTACGTTATGTTGACATTACCCATTCGTACCTAGTTTTCAGTATTCCTGGAATGGATAATACAGAGTGGATAACGCTATGCATCTCTATGGCCTCATCCGCTGACGACTATGAAGGGCTTATATGAATAGTGATGAGCCAAGGCTGGAGAATAAATCCTCCCGCACTAGGCTTTGCGGCTGCCAGCTCCTGACATTTTGACATTTTGAGTAACGTGACACTGGCTACCTAGGGAGTATGTGCAGTGCACAAAATGATTCGGGAAGTAGAACGTCCTAGTGCGAAAGTTATGCAGGCGTCGACTCGCCCTTCGCAAAAGTCTTGTAAGCGACTTATTGAGGGGCTCGAGTATTCTTCAAAGCATGTTTACATCGCTCGGGGTCCTGTGTCCGCTCCGTTTTCAAGGATTGGCCCAGTTTTCGTCGGACTGTCGGTGTGCAAACTCTCCGCCTAGTCTAGCATACAAGTTATGTATTTTGTACAATAATTTGTACAATAGGAGTGGGGCCCCGTTCTGGATGCGCCGCCAAGCATGGGTCATTATGATTCATCCGCGCTAGCAAGGGTTAATCCAGTCCTTCTCCAGAAACGGCTAGGATGATCCCCGGTCAAGAAGGTTGACCAAGTGGCACGAGCCTTCTGTCCCTTTCACCTCGTTGAAAAGCGATTGGTATGCAAACAGCAATGTTTGAAAATGGCATCTTCGAGGGAACACCTTTGTCGATATATGTACTGTAATGGAAGGTGAGATGAGCCTTGAGATTTGGCCCCAGCTCATGAGGTTTTTTCGCCTTCATGTAGCGCGATTACCGCTTTTGTCTCCTTGCAGTAGCGGAAGGCTCCGAAGGATTTGGAACAGAGGGTAAGCCTCGTAATCTAGTATACTGAATGAGCCATTCTTAATCACTTTGAACCATCATGACATGGTGATTTCTTTGCATCACAAGTCTGATTAATAGCATTGGGCATTTTTGTATATAAACCCAGGGATTTCTGTCGCGAGTCAAGACATTCGTCTGACGAACTCATGAAAAACATTCAAGATACCTACCCAGCAACGCAATCTAGCCGATGATGTTACACCTCTTCGCTCTCAAACATGAAATGGACAGGTCAAAACGTAACTGACCTGGACAGTGACTGGCTAAGGCCTCAAGCATTGCGTTGACAAGACGACACAGCCTTCTTGAGACAGCTCTTGACGGCGACGGCCTCTCTGCAAGTCAAAGTCCAAGAGAATCGGCGAAGCTACAACCACCAACTCCAACACTTCAACACGGCAATACAAAGGCAACAAGGGCGAGTATTACGATTAACCAATTGTTCATTTCCACAAGCTACCTGACGACAATACCGGAAGGTGACTGAACACAAAATTCGCATCGCAGAAAGCGAATCCATCAGGCTAATTGCAGCCGAAATCATCTAACCAACACCAAGCTAATTCCCCCAAACTAAAATCCAATGGCGATGCAATCAAAACAGAGAACAAGCTATGGCTTGGAATCCCTCAACATAATGCTCTTGAGAGCCTCCGTCTCAGCCTCTTGACGCGCGAGACGAAGCCGTAGTTCATCACGTTCGCGTGTCATCTCCTCCAGCATCTTCTCGAGATCCGAGATGCGATCGACCTTCTTCTGACGATATTTGCGTGCCGCAATAGTGTTGCGTTGCCGACGAAGGATCTTGTCAGCGTGGGGAGTCGAAATCTCCTGGCCTTGGCCGTCAGAGTTGGGAGAAGAACGGTGAGATGCTGGGGCCTCCGGCACAGTCGTGAACAGTGACATGTCCAGAGGCGGTTGGTTGGGGCTGTTGTTGTTCGAGCTGTTGCTGGACGCGAAGAGGGGGTCCAGGTGAGTTGGGAGGAGAGAATCAGGGAATGTTTCGAAGAGGGTGGGAGGTGTGGTGTCAATGTAGGGGAACGCTGCATTTATGGTTAGCCGGGCGAATACCAAGCATAAGAGTCATCGCCGTATAGTCAACTAACATTGGTCAATCGTATTCTCGAGGGGACTGGCACTGACGTGAGGCGTCACAGAAGCGGCAGACGTCCACGGCAGAGTGTCCCAAGTGGTCGGGTCAAGGTAGGACGATAGACTCGGATCGGCGTGGACGGACTCAGGGGTGTACAGCCCAAAGTCCGCACCTGGGAGACCAGCAGCCGATAGCTTTGGTGCTTGATACTGGAGCTCGTTGATGAAGCTGACCTCCCCGGCGAGATTGAAATTATCCGGAGCCCATTGTTGGCAGTTGAGCGGGCTGGAACCACTGGGTGACGACCTGGCGGCAGGCCGCGGCTGCTGATGCTGCGGCTGCTGACATTGTTGCAGAGTGTTAAAGGCCCCTTTGACTTGGGGCCAGAAGTTGGCGTTTGAACACGGGTTGGGGGTAAAGGATCTCGACTTGCGAGAGGGTGTTGAAGAAGAAGATCACGACGATGGGCTCGGGGCGGGGATGGGAATTCTTAAGGGAAGTGGAATTGGCGGGGGGTAAGCCCGAGTTTACGATGGCCGCAGTAGTACAAATGACGTCGAACAGCGCTAAGCTGAACGTGGGAGGCCCAGGTACCAAGTACATCGCCCGGCTCAAGTTAGGGGAGCTGATTGCGCTACGATGCCTTAGAAATTGTCGATCTCCGGGACAATGCCTCCACCTAAAACACACTCTGATTGGGTCTTACCTCGTTTTTCTTATCATTGCCACCTAAGCGAGACACAATCACGTGATCGGACCTGCAAGTCACTCGAACAAGACACCTGCAAAGCTTCAAGTGCCTTAGTAAGTGTAAACTTGGGTATGCATATCCGTTTCATATCTGATTCCAAACTCCAGCGGATAATAGCCAGAACCTCGCTGATGCTTCTTACACCAGATAAGTGCTCAAGCCCGTGATTCCTGATTCCTGGCTGGACAATTCGTGCCTTTTGGGTAGTTAATTTACTATGTAATGCTAAGAGGTCGTTTGTTATTGTTCTAGAACGTAATGTATCCCTTGGACCCCTATCGATGTCCAAAAAACATAGCACCCTGTACGGAGTAGTGTAAAGATGTTCTTTTAGTGTACACGCTGTGTTGTGAGTGGCATAATTAGTCCCGGCATGGGTTGGACAAAAGTACGGAGTACGCAGGTACGAACCTTACAGAAAACAGTGGGCCCATCCTTCTAGCGAGGTCACCTAGCTAACTAAACGTAAGACTAACACCAGGAAGCATAAAATATGTATTTATACCATCCTATTACCAAGCATCAAATAAGTACGTATGTGCCGCGTGATTACTCGAAATACGACGTGGTATGCCTAGCTCAATGAGAGCTGACAGGTTCACCTTGATCTTGATGACAAAACGTGTTTGCTTCATCCATGAGACGCCTCATTGAGAGCATTCATTGACCAGAAGCAACCTTTTCATGATACAACGACTTTTTGACAACCTAGCTGCAGTCGGAAGATCGCACCACACATCGGCCCACTTTGAAAAGGAGCTGCAGAGTCTGTAAAACTGCCTAGACCAGCTCTAACGGCGCTCTCTCGGCCCCTGCTAAGGCTCATCGGCGACTCGCATCTGCATGGGTCGGGCCTTACGGAGACATAACGACCGACACTTCGGCAGTCTTTCCAACCCTTATCCAACCCTTATTGGAGTTACCCTTCGGACAATCCCACCATCAGATGGATCCAGTACAACTTGCAGATACGGAGACGGCATCGGCCTCGCTAGAGAAGGCTCCCAGCCTAGCGGGATCTCTTGAGAGCGATAGCAGTAGACTGTCTGTATCTCACCGTCCCAGACATACCCGCACCAGCACACCCAAGGTGAGGACTGGATGTGTGACCTGTGAGTAGTGCTTTTCTCGCTTTACGATTACTGGATTTCGCTTACCTTTAGCAGGCAAGTGAGTAAGCTCAAAATCAGTCGGCTGTGGGCGTGACCTCTAACTTCACTCTTATAGGAAACGGCACATCAAATGCGATGAAGCCAAGCCGCATTGCATGAACTGTCTCAAAACCCGTGGCGTCTGCGATGGATATGTCGTCAAACCACGAAAAACGAGGGGAAAACCAGCTCAAGAAGCGCAACGTTTGAACCCGGTGCCAACATGTCGCAACAGCTCACGTACACTCCCAAGAGAACCTGACATGAACACCCTGGACTTCGCCGACGACATGCAGAGCGTCTATTTTAACGACTGGAACGAGCTCGTCCGCGTATCTCTTGGCGGCGCATCCTATTCGCGGACGAAGCTCTGGACGACTATGATGCCTCAGCTCAGCCGTCAGAACCCGGCGTTACGACACGCAGCAATCAGCATCGGCGCCATGAGCAGAGCACTCGCACAAGGAAGCTACGTCATCGTAAGGAACTTCACAAACGTCGCAAGCCTGCTACAGAGTCAGCATTACCAGAGCGCTATTGTGCACTATTGTCAAGCCCTTCGTCTCCAAGCTCAGACCGACTTTCAAACTGCAAGCATCCAAGAAGCCGTGCTGCTATCCATCTTATTTGTTGCCTTTGAGGCGCTGCGCGGTAACAGGCACTCTGCGCTACAGCATGTCAAGTACGGCTTCGTGTTGTTGCAAGAACTCCTGACTTGTGCAGATTCAGATGCTCGCGTCTGGAACCTCGCACCCGACCCAAGAGAGCTCATCACCGAGGTCTTGGATCTATACAACCACTTGGACCAGCAATGCAAGTCCATCGTTAGCGCAGATGTTAAGACGAGCCGATCGCCGGCTTATGAGCTCATCAGAGGTCTCAAGGCCCGTGGCCACACCATTGAGACGTATAGCATGCAAATTACGCGGTACACAGACCCCGGTGAAGACAGGAGAACTATGCCAGAGGTGTTCTACGATGCGGATGAAGCGTATGCCTGGTGGCAGGTGTGCCAACGGCGGATTGCGAAACTCAGTACACTGCTGCTGACAGTTATTGACGACTTCAAGATTGAAGACGTCACTGACGAGGAGGGTGTACACAACTTGCTCAATATGATGCAGACCCATCCGGAGCTCTTGGCGTTCTCTGAAAAGTCTCTGAAGAACCTTCAACAATGGCGAGCATCCTTCGAGCCTCTTTACAACAAGACGTTATCCGACCCCTCCATCGACCGCAGGGAGCATGTCAAGATGTTACATCTGCGGATGCACTACCTGATCATGTTCCTTTACCACTTCTTCCCCAAATACTCCGACGAGGCGACCGTTTCAAGTCTGACGCCGCACTGTCGGGAGATCAACGACGTCATTGAAATCCTGCTGGAGGAGCAGGAAAAGGACGTCAAGACGCCGGCGAACCTATTCGCCATGGAGTTCGGCTTGGCATGGCAGTTGACCATTGTCGCCATGACCTGTCGCGACCCACTCGTGAGGGAGAACGCCATGCGCATTCTGGAAAAGTATCCTCGCAGAGACGGGCTGTGGGATAGCCAAGGATTCTTGGCAGTCCTGAAGAAGAACCGCGAGATAGAGAAGTATAACGCGAAGGAGGGCACGCCGTCGGAGCAGTGGAAGCGGCTGTGCAGGCGCGAGTTCATTTTCGAGGATGCTGGGGAGACCATCATCTTTCGGTCGCTTAGGAAAAACGATGCCACGGGCGAATGGGATCTGGTGGAGGAGAAGGCGGATTTCAGAGGCGATCTTGAGGGTTTAGTCTGGCAAGAGAGACCACTGAGCGCGCCTGGGCTCCTCAGATCAGGCGCGATATAGCTGAAAACCAAGGAGCTTCTCTACTTGGTCATCCATCTGTCACTAGTCATCCAGTCCCCAATTGATACCCAGATTTTCTTTCCGTAAAACAAGGCGCTTGGGGCTGCCGAAGCATGTACACTGCATTATTGGAAATGTTTTGAGTGAAATCTGTCAACAATACATGCTCTTATCAAATGAAGTTGAAGTGAAATCTACTTCCCAAATGCCTTTGACGTTCTCTCGCCATGAATGTTGTACCCCATACTTTTGGCGGAGAACAGAAATATTGGACGCTTAGTTCAAGGGATTCACATCTGCTTCACTCAGCTGACAGTTTGAGAAGCGATCACAGTTAGGTAGCAAAACCAGAAAGGAATTCTATTGATAATTATTTTGTAAACATAAGCAACGTGTATATCTTCTAAGTGGATAAATCTTTACTCATCAACAAGAGTTATATCATCGACCAAGACTGGGGCATTGTTATTGTTGACGCGCCACGGATCGTACGGCCACGAAAAAAAGACGTTGAGATCGTTGGCGCCCGCCTCATATGGAATGACCCATTGATATTTGTTGTATTTTGCAAGAGGCGTGACAAACTGTGTGCATGGGTTGCTGCTGGATCCGCACACCTCAACCTCTGGAATGTTGTTGGAGCCGAACGAGTACGAGATTTTCGGCGGAGGCATTGACGCAGGGGTATCGTTCTTCCTACCCACATACACGGTAAGGATCTTTCTTTTGTTGCTGATGGGTGCCGTGATTTGCTGTTGAGGAGCCACAAGAGGGAGGAAGGGGTTCGTCGCCACCAGCAGGCTGGGAATGTATTGTTAGCCCGAAATGAACGAGAGAGACTTGCTCTTGAGATGATGGCACCACTTACACAGCATTGCAACCAGACAACTGTAGACCGTTGCCGACAATAACGCCGGGATCTCCATTCATCAACCAGCCATCGGTGTTGTTGTTCCATCCGGTATTTTTGAGATAAGGACCACCGGCAACTTATCAAGAGTTAGCTTTGTAGCATATGGTGTACATCGGGGGAACTCACTGGTAGGGCTAGGGGAAGCGCATGCTGGGCTTGCTGAGGTAGACGTAGCTGCGACGGTGGATGAAGAGCTGGTACTAATGCTTGACGAAGAAGAGGAAGTAGAAGAGCTGGTGCTGGTACTTGACGACGAGCTGGACGAGACGCTGGATGAGGTAGTGCTTCGCGTGCTTGATGTGGAAGAAGAGGTTGAGGACGAACTGCTAGTTGTGCTAGAAGTCGTAGATGGAGAAGTAGTACTGGTGCTAGAGGAAGAGCTGGATGAGACGCTGGATGAGGTAATGCTTCGTGTGCTAGATGCAGAAGAAGAGGTCGAAGACGAACTGAGTGTTGTTTGGGTCGATGAAGAAGTGGTTGAGATGGCAGAAGATGACGAAGACGAGCTTCTTGTCGTTGATGACAAGGTGGTTGCGGAGGTTGTCGAGACAGAGCTGGAAGTAGAGCTTGAGGGAATGACCAAGTTCAGTGGGTAGTTCGCATAGACGTTGAGACGATTGGAACCACCGCAGGTCTCCAGGGTGTTACCCCTGCAGGGCATATTGCAACCATCACTGGGGAGAGTAGGCACGCCTCCGTTCTGGATAGTGTTGCCACACCAGCACTCCTGAGAATACTCAACGCCAGCAATCTTATAGCCAGCGGATGAACAGGCGTCAACACAGCCCTCGGCGGTCATAGATGCGGGGCCACCAGTAATGGCCATTGCCACAGTAAGAGCCCGGCCAAGGACATTGTCCTTTAGACAGCCTTGCGCAGTCCATCCAGACGGAATCTCACCAGCAGTCTTTCCCTTAGCAGTCGACTGGTAGACGCTGATTCTGTTTGAGCCACCACAGTATTCTGTGCTATTGCCAGAACAAAGCATGTTGCAACCAGATTGTCCAGACTGAGCTCCGCTTAGGATGTTGTTATCACAGTAGCACTCTGAAGAATATTCAACTCCAGCGTAGGCGAAGCCAGCGGCCTTGCAGGCGTTGGCGCACAGCTGTACAGACATAGCACCATCCCCGCCAACCACTCCATAGCGGTATGCAAGAACGCGTCCTGGGATGTTGTCGTTGTAGCAACCAAGAGAAGTCCACCCAGTTGGGCCGGGGTTGACGCTTGGAGCTGTAGATGTAACGGTTGTCTGGAAAACTGAAAGCCTGTCGTAGCCACCACAGACCTGATTCTTGTTGCCGGTGCAGGTATAACTGCATTCCGAATCGTCCTTCTTGGTAGCAATTGACCCCAAGCTGTAATCGCACCAACACTCGGAGGCAAACTCGAGACCAGCAAAGGGGAAGCCGTTGTCTTTGCAAAATTTGATACACGCATTCTGTGTCATCTGCTTATAGTCGGCATAAGTAGCTCGAGCCAGCTGTCGACTGCCAACGTTATCAGTATAGCAGCCGTAGTACTTGCCAACCGAAGTCAAGTCGTTGTTGCCATTGGCGGCTTGAACTCTTTTGGTGAGAGCGGCTGTGTTGCCAAGTGTGGCGAGGGCCAGCATTATGCTGGAAATAGTAAACGAATGCATTTTATCGCGCGGGAAAGAGTGTGTTTCCACAGAGTGGAAGAATCATGTAGTATTTTGGAAAGAATGGCTGTTCATGCTGAAGGAGGGGAAAAGAGACTAGACAGAACACTTTTTATGCTCTCATTATAAAGATTCAGTGTCGTTCATGCCTCTTAGCCTCCACCTCCAGTTTCCACAAAGCCTATAATGCTTAGCCATGCCTCTTCTGCATTGTAAGGCCTAGGGCAAGTAGAAGTCATACACTCTCGTGGCTTAGCGTTCGTGTGGCTTGTGGCGTCCAGGCTAGCCCCGTATGTGGAAGAGCACTGTCAACAGATCAATGAGAGTGCTGATCTTATTTGAAATATTTCCCTTGTTGAAGGCCTTTCATGGCCACGTGGATCTGCATTCTCCTTAGCTGAGTGCACTAGTGATCGACCGGCAAGGGCAGTGCTGGGGATCTAGATGCGAGGCTCGGGTCAATAAAGCCTGCACTATAGGGTTTCAAAGATCACATTGTGTTCATTATGCAGAGAAATGTCCTAACTTGCCACGAAACACTGCTGAGAATGCAGCTAATACTGTCTTGTCTTCAAAGAATCTCCAATTCAATACACGATGTCATTCGTCTGTGAACAGAAGGCACCTTGGCTTATACAAAGATAAGTTGAAAGCCCAAAGGTTGTAAAATAAAAAATTGAAGCAATTTGAATACGACTTAATACCTTCTGTCTGCCTAATGTTTACATGGCCTAGGCCAAAGAAAAGAAATGATGGGAGCCGTAAAGCGTATGGGATAGCGTGTATCTTTCGTGGTACAAAGTCCCTACTCTGTCGAGAAGCAGAATGCAAGAGCATCATGTCAACTCTACAAGAAGGAGAGTCTGGTAATGGGACCCGAGGCATGCCTTGCAGAAAAGAGCCGACTGGTTGGTGATAGCTTCATCAATAAATGCTTGCACCAGCTTCTAATACAAAATCGTCGGCTATGTTTAGGCCCACAACGCTCAGTTCTTTAAAGACTGTTCAGTGGCGAGTTGTAATCAATGCTGACTGTCGAAGAAGTATCTGCAAGCAAAACCCACGTAAGTTCAAACTCTCAGATAACTTAAACGTACGCTTTTCCTTTAGTAACCTGATTCGAGATGCTTCTCCCGCTTAAGCGGATGTTCAAGATGCGAAGCACATGATACGACTTACAATTAGCAACATAATCCAAAAGTGATGGTGTAAATTGGTGCCTTCAACTCGCTACCCACTACCAGGTTGTATCAAAACATCCTTGATTGGTAAGATCCCCTTTACTTACTGACCTTACTAGCGTATGTTATGTTTGCTATGCTACAGAGCGTCTCTTGAGGTACATAGAATATAAGTTGCCCATGGAGCACATGTTTTCAGACAGTGGTGTTGGATTTGACATAGTTCAAACGAAAACTATGTTGGTGCTTAGATAACTGCGTCACCTCCTCGCCATTGAACAGATAGTCAAGATCTCAAACCATCAAAGGTATTTCCGTACAATCTAGGCCCTCTTTATTTGTAGGGGCTTATAGTTCGTCTTCAATCACATCTTGTTGCCCACTCATGTGTTATTCGTAAAATTTGCGAAAATCATATCCCTTCCTTCCGAATGACCTCGCCAACAAGAAAGACAGGTTGCGTATTGGAGAATTTGGAGACGTCTCCCATAATCTCCGCAGCCTCCGGTCCTTCGAAGGCTGCTTTAATCTGTTCCTGATTTCCCCAAGTGACCGTCGAGCCAAAAGCAAACATCGGGGCGGAGCCATCGATACCGTTGCTAAACTTGGTCACCGACCAGCCCTGAACGCCGTATTTTTCCCATTGCTTCTGAATCAATGGCATATGATTGTTTACGTAATATTCGATATCATGTTCGGCATCCGGTTCGTTTCGGAATAGTACAGTGATTGCGACAGACATTTTGGAGCTGGAAGACGGGCTCTCCAGGAAGTGTGGTTTAAAGGTGCAAAATGGTCGATAAAGGTAGCGCTGTAAAATTGATATCCTTAATGATAAAGGCAATTGAATTGGTGATCTGGTCAGACACCAGAACCTTTAGGGCAGATGTCATCAAGATATATGTAGATTTTCCGTTTGTATCAATTAGGACTTGGCTGTGCCAAGCCATTGAGACGACAATCCTGCAAGCCCATGGGTCATCTAAATGTTACGATTCATGACCGGCACAGAAATCCGGCTTTGCGAAACCGAAGCATTCAACTATTCAGATGTACTAGACGGACGGGAGCAGTCGTCGATTACTTTACGTTCGACCAAGGTAATCTGTGTGCTTAACCTTGCACAAACCCTGTCGTAGCCACTTTTCCCCTCAAGGCACTACTCAGGTTTCGCCAAACCTGTCGATTATTTCAAAGCCTGCTTATTTTCAAACAATTCTGGCTAGCCTGACTAATGTTGTAACCAATCCAGCTTATGGGACAGAGACAGCCACCCCATCGTGAAGCACAATGCTGCATGTGTATCGAAGAAGACTGGCAAAGTTGATCCACCAGCCCCATAGAATAAAGTTTCAGCAACGGAACGCTAGCCAGATTCGGCGACGCTAACGGAAGAGTTCCTGAACGCTGAACTTTAAGTTTATGTTTAGTTGACGCAAGTCCATTGAGGTTGGAATTTTTTATACCAAGAGTCAATTATAGAAACTTGAAATCACACTTCAGTTTAAGTCCTAAGGAATTAATAAGTATCAATCATTCTTTCTGAGCCTTAAGATTCATCACTTTCACTTTCAGCTGGAAAGAATTACAATCTAAACCTAATGGTGAATCGCGGTCGATTGTCGCCGGCCTGCTTTCCTTGCAGATCGAGGAAGCTGAGGGTAAGTAGCTCAGTTCTCAAAGTCTCGTTTCAAAACACGTCAAGCTGTTGACCGCCTCAGATGCATGCTGATGTCATTGAGGCTTAGTGTGATCTTCAGAAGGATACCTGTGGACAATGCCAAAGGGCTAAGATAGCTTGTCATGGCTATCGGGACCCGGCTGCCCTGCAATTCCGAGATGAGTCTCTTTCAATTGAACAAAGAGCGCTCTCAAGTGGAGACGATGATTTCTTTGTCAGAATGACAAGTCGGCCGGGCACTCTCGAACTAAACTGGGACGCTCGTGCACGATATGCGTTCTTCTCAACTTATATCAACGGGTTTACGCGCAGCATGGGGGAGGTGGCCTACTATTGTAGGACGGCCCGCAGCTCTGACCACCTTTCCGCAAGTGTGGAGGCCGCCAGCCTAGCGTTCATGGCCACACAGTTGAGTAGCACGTACCTCATGCGACTGGCGAATGCGAGTTATGTTACGGCGATACGAAGGCTCAATCACTTCTTGACCGAACTGGAGTCCCAAGGGGCAGAAGAGGCGCTTCAGTCAGTGCTTCTCCTTGACATCTACGAGAAAATGGTTCATCGGGATGCTTGGGCTTCACAAGCTTGGATGAGCCACTCTCAAGGAGGTCTATCCCTATTAAACACCCGGGCATCAAGCATTCTATCAAGCCCAGCCGGCTGCCACCTCGCTGCACGATTAGTTACAGCAGTTACTGTAAGCTGCGTAACAAAAGGCGTCAACACCCCCAAAGAGTTAGCGACACTGCGTCGCAACATCGGCTACCGTGTTAGCAGTCCTAAATGGAGTTTCCTTGGCGTGTTAAGCCGGGTATATAATCTTCATTTCGATTTTGAAAGAGGAAAAGTTTCTAAGCGCGACTTCGTTGTGAGAGCGAAATGTTTGGATGATCACTTGGAGACATTGGACAAAACCGTACCGTCGGCATGGCGGCCTCAGACAATACAAATCTCTGAGAACGATGTGAATGTTCTTGGCAGTTGTTACGACGTTTATCCAGATCATTATACCACTCAAGTCGTCAACGCCCTTCGAACTATGCGCCTTATCCTCTACAGCATATCGAAACATCATGTTTCAGATGTCAATTACATACAGAAAACCATTTCCCCAGAGACAGTTTGTACCTTAACGCGTCAGGTGTGTGCCTCGGTGCCACAGTTCATACTGCCCGGCGTACGCACCTCAAACTCAATCCCGTTCTCCCCGTTGCAGCAGCTGCAGTGTAGGACCTTTTTGACCCCTTTATACTTCGTTCACCAAATTTCTGAGGAAGCTTCGGTAAGAGAATGGGTCCGGCGTTGCATGAGGTTCATGTGGGAATATGGAAACATGAGAACAGCGAAAGATATTGCAGATGTCATGGAGACTAGACCTAATCTGAATTACTGGACTGTTTTTGCTATGACAGGGAGTTATGCATTCTCAGCTTGATGTTTTCAGGGGAGTATTAGGTTTCGCATTCTTACAGCACGATGAGATAATGGAAGGAAGGCTTTTATCTTCTACCTAAAACAAGAAAGATACGACGAGAGCTATCATACTCCACTCAAGACTTTAATCCATGCATCCAAGCTAGCCGGTGATACGAATAAGCTGTATGACAGAATCGTATGGTCACAGATGCCAATGGTCTCGGTAAGGGCACCTGGCCATGACCATTGCGATCGACACAGGGGAGTCTGTATATGCTACTCAAGTTACGTGATTCACATGCTCATAGGTACATTACATAGGCCAGATATCTATACAGAGTTTAAGGTTTGCTGACAGCGACGATCGCGGCATTGAATGCCGAACGTCTAACAGAAACGGAGAACATTAGAGCCTACCAGAATTACTTCATGAGGCAGGGGTATGAGATGTATTGTTACTGTCTGCTCGCAACTCAAATCTGGTAATTCTGCCTCCCACCACTCCCTCTCCTCCTTCTTGTAGTTAGATTGCCCCCATTAGGTATTTGAACACATAAACAGGTCAAGCTTTAGAGATGCATGGCGTAAGGCTAACTCTTTTCAGATAGACAGGCTCCATACCAGATCCGACGATGTGGGGCAGGGACCAAGGCAAACTTCCAAACTCCGATATTTCCTGGTGACTTCTATAGACACATAGCTTTCTCCAGAATGGGCCCGAAACCGAAATTCATCTTGATTTCAAATCCGCTACTTGCTTCTGTGTCGAACAGGCTTAGTTACCCATTTATGTCATCAAATATGGACTACCAATGCCGAATATGAGATGGCCTGTTTCCCAGTCTGTAAGGGGACATAAGTAAAGAGTTTTTAAGATCATTTTAAGAACTTGAAATCCCAAGTTCTGACCTTTTCCACATCCCGATTTTTACCAATTCCTCTTGGCAGCCATGGCTCATAAATTCGCCAAAGACGAGCCGAAAGGGTTTAACAACTCTATTCAGAAAGTCGCAGCCGTCGGAGTAAGTAGCAGCAGGCGATAACTGACAAGCTGGGCAATTGTATAAGAATGCTAACAATGACGAAGGCAGGAGGCCAAATTGGCAGACCGATCGCAGAGCAACTTCTCAAGACTGGGAAGCATGCGGTGACTGCTCTCACCCGTGCTGGCAGCAACAGTCCCTTGCCGCCCGGTGTGAAAGTTGCCTCTGTTGATTACGACAATGAGAGCTCGCTTGTTGATGCTCTGAAAGGACAGGAGTTTCTAGTCATCACTTTATCCCTGAGCGCGAAGCCAGGTACTCATAGCACCTTGGTCAGGGCTGCAGCCAAAGCAGGGGTGCAATATGTCATGCCCAATGCATATAGCATAAATTTCACGACAAGCGAAGATCTACGCCGGGATATCCCAGTTAGCAATACGGTTCTTGCCAACATTTCCGAGATTCAGCAGTTGGGTATGACTTCTATCACTCTCATGAACGGTTTCTGGTACGAGTACAGCCTTATTGCTGGCCCAAACACTTTTGGCTTCGATTTAGACAACCGCGTCGTCACCTTCTACGACGATGGCTTAAAGCCTATCAACGCATCTACATGGCTACAATGTGGTCGAGCAGTTGCCGCACTTCTCAGCTTGAAGGTACTCCCAGAAGATGCCGATGACAAGTCGATGACCATCTCCCACTACCACAATAATACGCTGCTTATCTCGAGCTTCAAAGTCAGCCAGCGGGATATGTTAGACAGCATCCAAAGAGTTACGAATACGACTGACAAGGATTGGAAGATCTACAATGAGCCAAGCAGCGAGCGGTATAAGGCTGGAGTGAAGGAAATGGAGCAAGGAAAGCCTGAAGGATTTTACAAATCAATGTATGCTCGGGTGTTCTACCCAAGTGCAGATGCAGACTTTGAATCCCATGGTGACCGTCTTGGGCTTCCGGTGGAGGACTTGGACGAAAGCACTCGCTTCGCTCTTTCCTTAAAGAACTAGGCACGCGCAGGATCTGTCAACTTAAAGACAGCTGCCATCTGCTTATCATCTGTCAAAGACTCCGAAATTTAGAATATAAAACATTAAAACCAGCGATGTGCAATTTTGTGTAACCAATCCAGATCTCATCGTGCTTATGGACAAAGCTTGTCACCTTCCAGCTCACTGCTTACCCTAGGTAGGTTCCTTTTGTTTAGCTCATAAGGGACAGATGGCGATGGTAGCGTGGAATTTTACAATATGGTCTTATGAGATTATGGATATATGCTAAAACAAGCGCAAGATATTGACTTCAGCATCCGAAACTTTGACACCGTATCAGCATCAGCACCAACAATGTAGGGCTTCGTGGTACGTTTTCCTCGGTCTATGCCAGTATTTAAATTGTTCTTCACAATCTTTACAAGTCTTTAAACTGGGAATCCTTCTCCTTTGCGGCCTTCTCTGCTTCCAGGGTTTCTTGCCAAGTCATCTTGGAAATGCGCGGAGGAGGTTCGCTCTTGCCCTTGATCGAGCCGGGGATATCTGCGGGCACGTTTGTGACAACGCCGTCAGTGTATGGCGCACTCGACGCTGTATTCATCATATTAGTAACAATCGGTGAAGATAGTGTTTACTTGAACATGAAACTAGGTTCTTCTCAAAGCTGAAGGACAAAGCCTAGAGGATAGAGGGAAAATGAAGTAGCTGCAAGAACGTACCGACGGCATTAACAGTGTACATTGCTGCAGTATCAAGGGCACCGCCCACTTTCTTCACCTGGCTGGATGTTAGTATAGTCATATGGGCAAGAGAAATTGCAGCACATACAAAACCCATTTTATCTTGTGTATTCTCTTGTGAATGGTGAGACAATCTTCTGAAGTGAGTACAAAAAAGTTGGTGAAGAAGTCTTAGACTTGCAGTCCGCTTGTTATATGTCCTGTTTTACCCAGCTGACCTTCCAAACAAAGGATAGCGACTGAATCTGCCTGCGGGAGTGGCTGCACGAAGTAGAAGGGCAGCTGATGCGTCATTTCGCACAGCCCTGACGCCCGATGTACGCCAAGGGAATTTTGCCGCCAATCCCACGTGAGGTCACCGTGGTATCTTCCGGCCAAGCCGAGTCCAGGCGCATATCGCCCCAAAGCATTTGAAGTCCGCCTAATCACTGCGCCGCAGGAAGTAACATCAATTAAAGTATGGTGAACGCCCCTGGAAAGATAACCCATCGACTGCTAAATGGCTAAGGTACGTTGTTCCCAGTTTTATGTACACCTTTCGCGCCTAGTAACAGAGATACACAACGCTATCGCATTTCGCCCCTTGTTTCCTAGTTGAAGCAGCATCTAAAATGTACCTTAGATGATTACAACTGCTTCCGCAACAGCCAGGGCAAGTAGAAAACATAATTATCTAAGAAATACATTATTTGGTTGGCTAGGAAAAGTCTGGGCTAACCCTTGACTGGATATTTCTCCTCATGGCATTGTACCTGTAGCCTTTTAGCAGTCGATGAGATAATGCATTTTGAGGTTGTGATGAGGCAGTAAGCAAAAAGAGTTTCTCGCCTGTTATCATGATCAAAACCAAATTGTGTTGGGGTTGGTCTTTTGGTAGGGTTTTACTTGCTTACGGAGTTGTCGCAACAATGTCTACCTTTTCCGTTATCATTTTCGTTCGCGTGGATATTGTCAAACTTGTCACATTTTGTTCTTTTACATGGTCACAAGCTGCTCTGGTGGTAAAGTGTTTGTGAAAAGAAACATGATCAAATGCTGTCATTGCTATCGATAGATCCGCGATGGAAGTCACTGTGACAGCATTCGCTGACGCTAAAAAGGAAGCGTAGAGATGAATGTCGGACTACAAATCGGAAAACATGTTTGCATGCATGCACGCACACGATACATACATGTTTTCAACTATATTATTGACAGCGACTACAACTTTGACCTTGACAACCATAAGCAGTGAGCCGTGCAACGCACAAGTCATAAGAAAGAGTAATTTATGTTATGATAAGTTGGCTAACACCACAACGAGGCAAAAGAAGAGTTTTCCGCTTCTTAGCATAGACAGCGATTACGCCAACGAATCAAGGACCAACCTGTCTGTGAGACCCTGGGCAGCGTGTACAGTGCGGTTATAGTAGCAGTCCTTCCCGGGCAGGAGATAAGTTTAACCGCCCGATCTTTTTCCAATAGTATCGTGAACGTGAACAATTGTATAGGTGGTCCTGGGTAGTCCAGGTGGAAGATCAGAATGACTTACGACAAGACTGAGGCAAGGATAGGTTTGATTTTAAATCCAGCGCTAACAGTCTCGATGTTGAAGATTTAGCGGACACAAGCAACACAAATATTAATGCTCTTGTTAAAGCCGAAGAGAAGCGACATCTGGACGTCCTCAGCGAGAAAGTGCTGGGCCTTGTCGGCTAAACATGAAAAGTACTGGGGCAGTCGTGGGTTATAGGTACATTTCCGAACTCTAATACAAGGGGATATGGCTCATTAAGCAGTTTTGTCGATCCAATCCTCATCAAGTTGCGGAATTTTGAGAAAAGTTTCCTCTTACCGAAGTAGTGCATACGAAACACTCTCGAGGCAATTTTCACTACAAATCACAAATATTCTGGCAGACTCTCCAAAGAACTTCGTCTACGTTGGCGGTGATAAGTGGCTGAGGAAACATCCTTACTTTTACCCTCACTATATGCAATCAAATCATCATTAGCAAGCCTATGATCCGGGGTGCATTTGGCGCTCTTCATGTTACGCGTACCTAGTAAGGAATGGTGCAGCCATAATGAGTTGGCGAGGAGAATACCGACCTTTTTGTCTTTTTTTCTCATCTTTTTCTTTTTGGCCAACAAGGGTAGTGTAATTGAAGACGCCCAAAAATTGAGATGTTATGAAATGGGGAATTAACTAATATGAAGTCCTGAGTCGTTACTTGATTTCGCTATTCGCCATCACTAAGGTATTGAGTAGATTTGGTTTAGGATACGGACATAAGGGTTTCCATCTGAAAGTCGCAATATCTACACCAGGAACCCCACGAGTCATGATGGAGCTTACAGGGCATTCAGGAACCCACCTACGTTTGTATCTCATCATAATAGACAAAAGTCTCCGCACAGTCGGCTTTGGATTGGCGTACCCTCTTTCATAGCCAAAATAGCCAAGATCGTCTTCAGCACCCCTTGGAAGTGGTTCTTTGACTTGGTAGGGCACCCCAGATACACCGCATGATAGGATGTCCGGTTTCCCTTTTGGGTATGACAAGACTTTAAGAACTCCATATTGCATGATTCATTGACCGTCACGGGATAGCCAACCAACCAGCCATACTGCGTACAGCTGTAGCTGCGGGTATGTTGACGTGATAGTTGCCTTGCAATACCAAAACATGTAGAATTTGTTGGATTGGTATTCATTACGGTGTGTAATGTTGGTCGATAGTCGGTTGCCAATATATTACTCTCACTCAATGAGGAATAGTCGCAATGGTAGCGACTTCCATCACGCAGCAAGTCCTGGCTCATCCGAGCTTGAGTGTTGAAGCCGATGATCTGGGCTATTCAAATCCGAGTTTGTATTTCTATATGAACATCCCTCTACGCTGTCGTTCGTAGCTACCCACAGATTACACCTCACATACATCTCACCTTCCCCAGTCGCTCTTCATCTTAATACTACGTCACCCCTTCCAAAGTTATCTGTCTTTCGAACTCAATCATCAAACATCTCAAATCCAAGATGCGCACTCCTTTCTTCATTGCCGTTATCACATTTGCTACTAGGTTGGTAACTCACCTACATAACCAACTAAGATCATCATGATAACCATTGTCTTAAAAATGCAGTGCTGTCGCCGATTTGCACAACAACGCTTTTTGCGTCACTAGTAGAACGAATTTTGAAGGCGCCAAGAAGTACGAGATCCTTCCCGAAGCAACAAGATGCGCCTGCGAGAGGTATAAGTACCGTAACACTGGCAACAAACAATGGGATAAGTGCCCCGACTGCACTTTTGTAAGTCCATGACCAGATTTGAATAAATCCAGACTGACTAACTGTTTTTTGTCAGGACGGCCTCAGCTGCCTTTCTGCTGATTGGCACATTGGCGGCGACGAGATGACCTATTATTGCGAGGAGAAGTGTGGTGCCCAAGGCGCTGAGGCGAACTGAGTTTAATGAAAGGATTTACGGAATGGGAATGAAGAATTCATGAATTTGTAAATACTGGATACCACAAAGTCGGCTTGAGGCTGGCTTCCCGAGTACATGCTTATCTGCTTCGTCGAGAACTGCAATTATCAATGGCTAATTCTACACTATTTTGCCTCTTGCGGCGATAATACGGATATCGACTATCTTGACCTAACACTCTCGCACGGACCTTATATGTGATAGTACGGGTATATTGCTTTGCGTTCGATTGGAAAGGTAAATTAATTGACTGCTGTGGGGAACACGTTCTGCCTTCTTTGAACATCACACTTTGATGTCGACAACACGACGTAAGCTTCATTTCGAATCTAGTAGGAAATTTCACTACAGTAGGAACCAGAAAAGGGGAAACAGTTCGTGCGCCTTGGAAAAAATGGTGTAACCGCGAAGCACGTCCATCTCCACCCCGTTCCCACTACTCAGTATGCTTCTTCAGAAACCCCCCACAACAAAGGCTAGAATGCGGATTGACCCGGCCACATCTAATATAACATCAGATTACCTACTTAGGTCTGGAGGGAGAATCTAATAGCTTAGCACTGTTGTTCAGCAAGATGACATCCCGAATGTGGGGCAGGTGTAGAGGTAGAGATACTATGGGCCCTGAGTCGGGCACCAGCCACTGGTTTGAAGTGATGTCTTCATTCTATTCGAGACCTCCTAATCGCGCCAAACACTAAGCAGAGTTTTGTCTGTTATGTCTATATGCAGAGGGAATGTACAAAGAACGGCGCATAAAGTCCCCAACGGTCCTAAACGACGACGTTTTGGAGCCGAGAAACTCGGGATGCTAGACACTAGTCCCCAGAGGAGGCTTTTCTTCTTTCACTTTTTATTGCATTTGACAGTTCGTAGTTTAAAACCTAGTATACGTCGGATGGAGAATGGAAAAGATGTCCGAGTTGAGTAATTAGTGTGCTCGAGCTGACAGTGAGTTTCAACCAAAGCTGAGCTCTCTAATTCTACGCCATAGTCTGCAGTGCTGTACGCAGAACGCTTAATTTTGCTACGAGTCATTCATCTCATCTTTATAGTAGTCGAAAGATCGCCGTTGTAAGTTCAATACTCCATAATAGTTGCGGCGGAGCTCCTACACGTGGCCGAACCTCTTTGTCCTTCCCTACTGCAATGGGCATACTCAATGCGGATCTATACTGTAGGTCTTCATATGGCTTCTGAGGGTAATTACATAGCACAAGAGGATAGTAACCCAACAAATTGGTCTTGAATATAAGCTTAACGCCCCCAGTCTGGCCAAAGTCACGTTGATCCCAAGATTCATAAATGTCCTCTTATGACAATTTGAATGGGGTTATCGAACCACTCCACGACCGAGTCTGGAAACGCGGACGTTGATGGTTTCACATTGAGATGTTATTGGAACATCAGTGAGATCATGAGATGAAGATTTCTGTGCGTGTTGCCGTCCTCGCTGACAGAGATTGCCGATCACAACTTGAGTGTATCCACTCATTGGCCCTAGCCGTTGCATGACACGTTGGGTAACGACTGTGCGAAGCACCCATACGGACTGGTACTGTGCGATACGACTTAATGAGTGCGGGGAAATCTGCAGCCGGATTTTCAGTCAATGTTGGCGTTCATATTCGAGCCCTTGGCCAAGAGATAAGCTTGTAGATCAACACCGCAATTGGTTGGTGGCCCAGCATCACCAGATGCGCATATGATCATGAACTCATCTAAGTTGGCCCCAGGACCCTTCTTTCAATGACGAAATGCGGCCGGGGTACTTAATCACGTTATTCTGTACGTGGGTTTGCTTCCTATGTGATGTTTCATTCCTAATTTTCAGCCGTGTTTCTGGAACCTTTTAAACACATAGCGGAATAATGGTATAATGTATTTATTGCATTCACGGCGGAAGTATAACTTTGATATTTGGTGACGTTAACTTCTTCGATATTCGTGGTCAGCGTGCGCAAAATTAAACAAGCATATTAGACGAAGCCTTCAATGGGCTCAACTTTCCCATCTTAAAAATAAGCCTTGAACCTCTGGGTACTAGCACATCCACAGCTGCCAGTTAAACAAGGTCTAAAAGACGTGCTGCCAGGTCATGACTCTATTGCTGAGTTGCTTAGGCAGGCCATAAAGGTCTGTCTGTGTTATATCCTAGCTTTCGGGGGCCAATTAAAGCCAATCCCGACGCTGGCCTCGTGTGCACCTAGTTGCCACAACTCGCAAACCGACCGGCCCTGTTCACCAATCAGACTAACGCCGCCCCAGCAAAACCCAGCAATGTACGCAATAAAAACATGGTACGCTGGGAGAGAGAAGAAAGTGTATGTCATCAGACCACGAAGGCTGCAGGGCAGAAGAGGTGGATCGGCAATGATAAGTGGTCGCTCCAGCATTCCGAAACTCCGATATTGAACTGTGAGCAGCTCAACCAACCCTCCGTATCCTCACAACGAGATCCACATCAATTGATGTATCTATTAATGATAAATGACGTTCATAAACCGTGCCCCCGAGTCAGATAATTCAGCAAGTTGTAGAACGGTGCCCAGGGCAATGGATACTACCTGTATGAGTCGAGTCATCAGTCATAAGGGCAGCGGCTAGTCTCAATGGTAGACTTCTATGTCACCTAAAGCTTCGAGGGCCTGCCATTGGAAGTGGCATCTGACTCGGTGCGGAAGATAACTAGAATGATAATTGGACCGCAAATGGGGGCATGACAGCCCCGTCAGTAAATTTCATCTGTCATATTCAATCGACAGGAAACGTCCTGTGGGTATCTCTTGGCGGAGCTGTCCGCACCTTTCTTTACGTGACGGCGGGCGTTCAGTTTGTTGCCGAATGTGGCTGCCTAAGATACAAAACTGCAAAGTAGCAGGGTACATGGATGAATATGATTCCAACGTACAGATGGCTAGCCAGGGCTAGACAAATAGCCTGACACAAGAACCTATCACAACATATGCCTTCTTAATTCTCAATACAAGTCAGTGCCCCTGATAGTTCTATTTGGGTCAAGTAGGATTCTGCCGTGAGCTACGGATGACGCACAAAATGAAGACACTTTTGCAGCAAATGCTGGACACTCCTTGGGCAATACAAGCAAAACAATGTCTCTAAGCACTAATATTCCTCAAGACCGTCAATAATTCATCAATTGAAATGTTGGGCTGTAGCGGCCTGATTGATTTAAGCCTCATGTTTTTCTGCCCGCAAAATTTGCGAATCATATAATTTAACCTGAATTGAGAATTATACACGCTCTGTCTATAGCTCATCATTTTTTATAGGCTAAGAAATCGGCTTGCAAGGTTTGGATTGGACCTAGGTCTGAATTGTTATCTGCGCATATTCCAAATACATATCCATTTTACGTTTGGTTGAGGATGGATCAAGCTGCGATACTTCTGGGGACTGTTGTTCGGCTTGCCGAGATCATACTGACACCTAGAGCCGTACAAAAATCAATTTCCAAGATTGATAGATCAAAACCCGAGGGCTGACCACCCCCACAAGGGACTCAGAGGCCGTTACATGAGGGTCTGGAACGAATCAACACTTGCATCGGCGCATGTTGGCCTTCAAACTATGGGACGCGGTTTCTGTCCTTGTCACTTGCTGCCGGTGTGCTAAGAATGCAAACAAAGCTCAAGTAGCCAGGGTCTCTGTTGAATTTTGATTTCTTTGGTGTTGCGGTCTCTGTTAGGCACATTTATTTCCTTTTATTCTGTTCATATACTATTACTAAGTCCGCGACGAGAGCCATCGCAATGTGCCCTCGAGATGAAGTTGAAATCCGAGCCAGTTTTGGTAATCCGATGTGTGTATTTCCTTGCAGAAAGGTTTCCAGATTTGTTATTGTTTAAAGTATTGTTGGTTAGTTCAGTCATCCTTATCTTCTTTCTCATCAGTATGTTTCAAGACGTTGATCTCGGCGGGAGGGCGCAAAGTTGGAGAATAGCCGCCAGGGAACCCCAGTGGTAGATGGGGCTAACAATAGCGCTAACACATCATTTCTGGTCAATGAGTGGTCGAGAGTGCCCTGCCACCTTTTTCAATTTTGACGGGCAACCAATTCTGCTCCTGAAAAAGCCTCTTGAGTCGGGAGCTCATAAACAACCTCCAGAAGGGTATGTGAGAGAACTGCCAGAGAGAGCGTCGATACTCACCGTGGTATACCGGATATGAAAGACGGGGACATTCCACACGTTCCTAGTAGGCATTAGCAAAGATGTAATCCCAAGTTCCAACAGTTCCAACGGCCCCTTGTTGGAGGGGGTGAAGTGTGGTGTAACTCAGCTCATAGATGTAATTTCTAGTTAACAAGTGGTAGATGGTGTTCTGCCACTTGACAATCGATGTAGTGAGTAATACCTATGTAGCGGAGGCACGCAGAAATGTGATGATTTCCCTGTCAACTCTCAAAGGATATTGCTAAGAACCCCCGAAGTAGCCCTGGATGGAGAATTCCAGGGTAAGTTTCGCCTGATGTACGGTATCTTACAGACTTCTAACCAATGAAGTAGATGGAACACCAAGGGCCGGGAGTGGGCCCCAGTCCCGTAGCCGGGTGGCCGGCCACATCGAGCCTCCGCCGACTACTCGGGGCCTTCGGTCGGCATCAATTAAACTACAACAGTTACCGGTTCATATCATGAATCCTAGTTCAGGTATCACAGATGTCAAAATGTGCCATATCCGTCCGATACTTCTGGCGACACAAAACATTCGCCCCGAATCCAAGTCATGACGTCACTAAACATCATCGTCATATGCCACTTCCAGAACGCGTCAATGAACTTGTATCCCTTTAAGCAGCCAGATCTTGCTCATTTTGTCCTCCGACATCTCACCCTCCACACTCACTCTGAATCGCCCTGATGCACTCCACCGCCCGCCACATCGCGAAACAAGTCTTATCCCACCCCGAAACAAAATCACTAGCAAAGCAGGCCCAGCGAAACATGTCCGCCGGAACGCCCTCAGAAAGCGCAAAGGCGCAGGCCGCTTCGGACGCGAACGAGCCCACTTTCGAGTCGGTCGGAGTCAAGAACACCGACATCATTCAGAAGTCGGGCGTCTCGCTGTCGAAGCATCAAAAGGTGCTGGTCGGCAGCGTGCTGGATGTAAGCGTGGCTCCCCTCCCCCCGCCCCCGGCATCCACAGTTTTGAAGACTTAGCAGAGGGATTAACCGGGTTCGCACAGCTCTTTGAGGGAAACCCGACCCTGAAGCACCTTTCGCTCTGGTCCAAAAACGGCACTTTCCAGGATAACATCACCGTCGCAAACGGCTACGACAAGTACGCCGCGCAGTGGTATGGTCTGCCGGCGCTCTTCAACCCGATCAAGATCCAGTCGCATACCGTCGTCTCGGCGGGCAACCCGATCGAGATTAAGCTGAAGAACAGCTACACCGTCAAGGGTGTCAAGGTGGAGCAGACGATGGACAGCCTGGTGCAGATCGAGGTCGGCGATGACGGCAAGATTGTCAAGGTGAATGACAAGTGGAACAATGAGCTTCCCGACGGGGCTTTCTCGCAGGTACGTGTAGCTCTTGACGAGTCTTATTTCACCGCCGCGTTGGCGATTGCAAAGTTGTTGAGAGAGGTCGGGGTTGTGGTGTTCTGCCGAGTTTCATTGTGGTGGCCCTTTTGGGTAGGCAAGATTGCTCATAGGACCAGACATCGCTGACATTTTGTAGGCTTTGAGGAAGCTTAATGCTGTGACGGTGCCGGCATTTGTCAAGGTTCCCAAGGATGAGGAGGAGGATGCCAAGTTGAAGGCTGAGCGGGAGAAGCAGAGTCAGTAAGGGTCACGACTGCCACGGAGATAATACGGCATGAGGCCTGCAGGCTCTATGTTCAGCCAATGTACGATAGATGAAATTCATGGCATTGAATTGATAACGAATTGAAACAGTCGCTTTTGAAAGTGGACAGAATTCAAAAGTGCTTAGCAAATCATCATATCTATTATCAGCGATAAAGAATCGCCGCCCAGTGGCTCCTGAGTTTAGACTCGTCGTCTAGTTAAGGAGCTGCGCGAGCAAATTGCAAGGTCTCAAGACCTAGCAGGGTAACAAATAGGTACCAGAAGTACGCCTAAACTCCTGTGCCTCGCCAATTAATGGCGTAAAATACAGCTCATGGTTAGTAACCTCTCCGCCATCTAGAGTATGTGCTGTGGTCTGTGCCATAAATCAGTATAAATGAACACTGAAGAGTCTCAGACTGAACGAACCTCTCTGGGCGCTGATGCCAAGCTGGTCAGCAACATTAACGTAGCCTTCATACGTAACCCGACCGCCCTTCTTAATGTTTCTAATCATGTCATCATCCCCTTGCCAGACGCTCCGGCAAAACGGACACGTCACATTGGACGCACCATATCCTTTGCGCTTTGTCGCGGCCCAAGTCTCGAAACATGTCTTGTGAATATTCTGTCCGCAAGCGGCGCGACACCAGACTATGGTTTCCTTGCTTTCGGACTCGAGCTCACAGAAGCATATTGGACAGTCACCTTCAACAGGTTTCCGATTTTTATCTTTGGAGGAATCGGACGGGGTATCGATTGGAGGAGCATTATCAAAGATGTCCTTTAGTTCGGTTGTCAAAAGGGCGAGTTGGTAGGTATACTCGAACTTGGCATGCAGGACTCGTGACATGACCTGTGTCTTGTTAGAGGTAGCTGGGAAAATGACGGGAACTAGGTACTTACATAGAGCCAATGCTTGCACTGGTTACCCTTCAAGAAATGTGGGCAGCTGCATGACGGACGTTGGGCAATCGTGACTGTGTAAATGTTGCCCGTCGAGCCTGTTAACTCGACCTCCTCCTCTGGAGCTTCCGCCGTGCCACATCGCCGCCGCTCAAGGACATAGAATCTGCAGGCTTAATCAGTATCAGAGGCTCAATCCACAAGTAGGTTTGCGCCTATTACCTCTGTGTTAAGGCTCTGCTGTACACGTCGTCAAAGTTCTGGGGCGGTTTAGAGCGGAATCGGCGCAATCGCTTTTCTGTTGCCGGATCTTTCTTCGGCTTCTTCTCGGGAGTTGCGGCGCCTACGGCGGAAGCCTTCCTCTTACCCAACGGCGAAGCTGCCGGCGTTGAAGCCGTGGGATATGTGGAACCCCGGGTACTCTTCTTGTATGCGTATGGTGACCCGCTTGCCGAAGACGCGCGCGTAGTGGCGGGGCCCCCCATTATGATTGCGATGACGATGGGGGTCGCTATGGTGGATATGGGAAACTAGGGGACAGTAAGGGCAGAAATGTGGTAGGGTAATAGCAAAGACAGATCAGGGAGCTCTCAGGTACTCCGTGTACATGGTTCGAATCATTTCAATCCGAAAGTGCGTGTAGCAGTTGGTTGCTTCCTGCCAGTTACATCTTGCCGGACGAGGAAAGAAGCTCCGGGCCTGGCAATCTAAGTTCACCTTCCAGAAACTGCCCCACGTCCCTTCCTCGAAGGCAATTTGCCCCCCCCCCCCCCCACCTACCGACGTCAATGATAGGTGATGCGACGCACGTGCCTTGACGCGATACCACGTGACTAGCTTCTGCGTTATCCTTTTTTAATTTTTATTTCTATTTCTTTTTGGCAAAGGATCCCTGTTAGTTCTGGCGGAAGGTGGAACTCATCCCCGCCGTTATCCCACAGGCGTCTCTCAATAAGGCGGAATAACCGCCGCCTGTACCGCCAACAACGATGCGATCCTCCGGTCTTCCATGATGAATCGGCGGCTCAGTTCCCGCGGCAGACTACCTTGATAGCGTTATCATTTGGCGAACTTGGCCCGACGGGGTAAACTGATGTTCAGTCCGTCTTGTATCCCTCTCCAGTCATGACATTGAAGGCTACATACTCCTCTGTATATAGATCGAGTCGATTGCTTACAGTAAACAATGTCACCTTCACATTCAAAGAGCTCTAAGGGAAGCCAATCCCTAATTGTTCAAGTCAGGCAACCGATCCTCCTCCTGGGACTTCAAGATGGCAGATGGCGCTCTCCCTGAAAGACCGCAGTCTGACGACCAGCTAATTTCCAAGATCCTCGAGTCTCTCACTCTAGAGGAAAAATGCACCCTTCTCTCTGGGAAGAACATGTGGGAAACCGCAGAAATCCCACGCCTAGGCATCAAAAGCCTCAAGACAAGCGATGGACCAGCAGGCGTACGCGGCTCGCGATGGACTGATGGCACTCACACGACGTACATCCCTTGTGGCATTTCTCTCGCCGCCACTTTTGATCCGGACCTCGTCCAGCGCGTCGGCAAGATCCTTGGCGCTGAAGCAAAGACCAAAGGCGCCCATGTGCTTCTCGCACCAACTATGAACATCAGCCGCTCACCCTTTGGTGGCCGCAACTTTGAGAACTTTGGCGAGGATCCCTATCTTACTGGTATCATGGCCACTAGCTACATCCGCGGCGTTCAGGACGAAGGGGTAGGGGCTTGCATGAAGCACTACGTAGCCAACGACATGGAGACCCGGCGCTTCAACATGGACGAGCAAATCGATGAGCGCACCCTGCGAGAAATCTATCTCAAACCCTTCAAGATCACCCTAAAAGCGAATCCATGGACTGCTATGACGGCATATCCCAAGATCAACGGCGTGCATGCCGATATGAGCCACTTTCTTGTTCATGACATTCTCCGAGAAGAATGGGGTTATGATGGTCTGGTCATGAGCGATTGGGGCGGTTTAAACTCCACAATCGATAGCATCCGTGCCACCACAGACCTGGAGATGCCAGGTCCGCCGCTTAGATACGGAAAGGCTCTTCTCAAGGCTGTACGCACCGGTGCGGTTTCTGAAGAAGAGCATGTCGATCCGTCTGTGAAAAGATTACTACGGCTACTCGCACGAACACAACGGCTTACTTGCGCGAGCCAGAACGGGGCGAGTGGTGCAAATGGCGCCAACGGTACAAATGGTACTCATAACATGGTAATGGATGCCAATGAGGGTGAATCCGATACCCCTCAAGCCCGCCAAACTGCCAGAGAAGCAGCATCACATGGCATAGTTCTCCTAAAGAACAACGGGATTCTCCCCCTGAGCCCCTCCAAAATTCGCAAACTCGCCGTCATTGGGCCAAACGCCAAAACCCCCACTACAGGCGGCACTGGAAGTGCAATTGTGAATCCATACTACATCACTACTCCCTACGACTCTCTCACTCACGCCGCCAAGACCGCAAACCCAGAAATACAAGTCACACATGAGCGCGGCATCTTCACACACCTTCAACCACCCCTCATCGGAGACTGCCTCACGAACCCAATCACCGGTGGCCCCGGCGTCCGCGTAGATTTCTTTGCAGGTGACCGTTTCGAAGGGGAGATTGTCGCATCCTCCAACTGGCAAAACTCTCTCGTCTACTTCATGAGCGACGGTGACGTCCCCGATACCCTTCGGGGAACTCGCTACAGTTACAAGGCCAGCGGTCTCCTTCGCCCCAGCGTCACAGGCGTCTACGACTTCAGTCTTTCCAACACGGGCAAAGCGCAGTTGTACATTGATGACGAGCTGCTCATTGACAACAGAGACTGGACGCAGATTAGCGGCAACTTTATGAACTGCGGCAGCGTCGAAATCTTTGCTAGCAGGGAGCTGGAGGCCGGAAAGACGTACAGACTGCGGGTTGACAACCTCGTCGTCCCGCCGCCTACGAAACCGCACGACAACACCCTCTTCCACAAGATTTCCGGTGTCCGTGTTGGGATGCTCTACAGACATGATGAGGAGAAGATGTTCACTGATGCGGTTGCCGCCGCAAAGGACGCTGATGCCGTGGTGGTTGTAGTGGGTCATAACAATGATACGGAGCGCGAGGGATCGGACCGGACCTCGCTTTCGCTGCCGCGCCGGACGGACGAATTGGTGGCTGCCGTGTCGGCCGCGAATCCCAACGTCATTGTCGTGACCCAGTCCGCTTGCGCTATCGCCATGCCATGGGTTGACGCACCTGCTGCCATTGTGCATGCTTGGTATCAAGGCCAGGAATGCGGGAACGCCATCGCGGATGTGCTTTTCGGCTCAGTGAACCCCTCTGCCAAGCTGCCCCTAACGTTTCCGCAAAAGATTGAGGACCACGGCTCACACAAGTGGTTCCCTGGAGACGCCGAGAACGATTATGCAGAATACGGCGAGGGTGTACTTGTCGGATACCGCTGGTTCGATCACCAAGGCACGGAGCCGCTATGGCCTTTTGGGTTCGGGTTATCGTATACTACGTTCCACATCACCAATGTTGCTGTCAACGGCAGCGTAGCCGTCAACGGGGAGCGATCCGCCGTCATTAGGGCTGTAGTCAGTAATGTAGGTGAGGTCGCAGGCAGCGAGGTCATTCAACTCTACGTCTCTCCTTCCCCGGCGATCCAAAATGTAGGCCGTCCATCTGCACCAAAGGCCCTTGCTGGATTCCACAAAGTTGGCCTCTTGCCAGGCGAGTCCAAGCCGGTAGAAATCAGCATCGATGCGGAAGCGTTTTCTTGGTTCGACGTGGAAGTCAAGGGAGGGCCAGGGTGTGGTGGGAAGTGGAGAGTTGACAGAGGAGTTTACAAATGTTTCCTCGGCACGAGTTCGCGAGACATAGTAGCAGCCCTAGATGTCACCGTAGAGTGACGGCATATATCAAGGCCGTCAACTCCAGCTCTTGGTCAAACTTTAATAGAGAATCTGATATTTCGCCCTCATTGTCCGTAAAATGGAGAGCATGCTCTCTATGCTCGACCCCGGGAACGCCCACTTCTCGACCAACAAAATCGCGTGGAGTTGAAGCGTATCGATATCCGGGACGGCCGAAGACAGAATCGGTGACAACGAGGCCAGCGTCAAAAGCAAGATCACCGCTAGCGTTCTACCCACATCTCTGGTTAGCTATCCACACACCAAAGGCAGACAATTTCTAGACTTACGAGTGCAACACAATCTCCAAAGATCCGCACGACGCCTTTAGCCGGTGCTCGACCACAGCCAGGTACTGCCTGCAATGATACAGACACTGCTTTGCGTTTTCCACGACCAAGTCCGGCGGAGTCGAACCCGGAGGCGATCCACACACTTGGTGTAAAAAGGGGCGGAAAATAATGTCCCCTGCCGCATTATACCTCAAAATCATGATTGCCTCGTCGACACTCGGGGCCGGGTTGTTCAGATCCGGTTTGATGGTCGACGGGAGCAGGTCGAACCACGCCCCGAGTTGGTGATTGAGCTCTGCTGACACGGATATCAGGGACGTTGGCGGGTCGGGAGACGCCCTCTCCGCCGACTCCTCTGTCGGTACTGCGGTGGCTGTGAGGTTTGCGGTGTCGTACATGACGTGGTGTATCCGGTTTAGGAGGCGGCGGGCGGAGAGGTCCGCCAGCCAGTACAGCATCGCGGTGTCGGGTGGGTTGCCGCAGCGCGGGAAGGGGAGGTTCTCGATTACTTGGTCGATGCCGCTTCGTGGGAGGTGGTGCTCGGCGACGATGTCACTAAGGGAGTGAACGGTCAGCACGCGTTAGATTCTCATGTGGCTTGGGTTTCGGAAGGACGTTACCATTCTAGGACGAATATGGCCCAGCATAATCTAGTGACGGGCTGATGCTTTAGGGTCTCCTCCAAGGGCTGCTTCATGCTTCGATGCCTGGGTGACACGAATGGTTCAGTTTGTGCTATCTGCATCAACAAGGTAAGCTGTCTTACCGAATAGGAAAGTGCTGGATGCTAGTCGAGGCCATGTGCACAAGCCTCCACGCCTGGAGCGGCCTAGAAAGATAGCTGTAGTATAACGCCGCAAGGTACAGCCCCTGCGGCAACAGGATGTTATCCCCGAACGAGTCGAACCACGTGGCGAGAAGTACCTGCAGCGCCGGCGTGAAGAGCTCCACGCCCGGCAACCAAGCATTCTTCGTGAGATCGGGCGTATCCACCGCTGCTTCTCCCAGAGCCAAAACGATCAGTACCAGCGCGGTACGTATGTCCCGCTGGAGAGGCTGGCCCACGACATCTTGGTAGATTGGGTCAAAGTCCTCCCTTTCGAGCACGGGATGCTGCGGGTTGACGAGATTGAAAAAGTTATCAGCCAATGGCGCCGCCGTTTCTGCGGATAGTGTAGGAAAAGTAATCTGGTTCAAGGGAACCGGCGTGAGTGATAGCACCTGGTGCAGGGAGCGTTTGCTCTCGACGCGGAGGAAGACGTCGGACGGGTAATCACCAAGCAGAGTCTTTGCGGACCGCGACTGGAGGAGGCTGCCCGTGGTGGTGGAGTGAGACATGGGTATCGCCATGGGGGCGGTGATGTCCGTCCCCATCCCAGTGGCCCTCTGGCGGGAGGAGACTGCCGCAGCAGCGGGCGTCGGGGCGGAGGAGCTGGAGTAGACATGGATGGATGGGTCCACGGCTAGAGGCGCCGCGTAGTCTGGGGATGGGAAGGCGGAGGCTGGGGAGGGATTATGCCTCAGCGGCGGCCCATAGGAGTGCGGGGTGAAGTGATCGCCTGGTTGAATGTGGGAGTTGGGCGGGATGCTTGTGAAGTTGTTGAAGGACTCTTCGAGTCTATGCAGCCTGTCCAAGATCTCGGCCGTATGGTCTGCCGAGATTTGCCTGATTCTGGGCCAAAGTCGCGAATGTTAGCTTTAGTGTTTAAGCACGTTCCTTTGTAGGTAAATCCTTCGTAGGAGGCCACTTGCTTGTTTTCCTCTGTGATGGGGTACTCGCATTCTGAGTTGTTGGCCTCCTCACAGAGGGTGCAGACTGGTTGCCGCCCATCGCATTTGCGTTTCCTAAGCGGGGACAGGATGTTAACACATGGGCCTTCTGGTTAATCGATTCATTGGTAACAATTAGATCGTATCATCAAGATAGTCTTGAATGATAACCGTCAATTACTAGGCGAAACCTGCTTGATAGGGAAGCGGTAGAGCGGATAGATATCCCGCCCAAGCAGACTTACCTCCTTCGACAGTAGTGGCAAGCGACGGCGGTTCTCTTCCGCTTCTGAGAGTCCATGAGTATGATCGCGGGTGAAACAAGGCTCGTATCTATGTTATGTGGCCAGGAAAGAGTCAATGTCTGGGGCTCATCGGGAGAAAATAGAGAATCTTGTGCGGCGGAACGGCGGGACAGGCGGCGGGACTGGCGGGAGTGCTTGCGCCTTTGTAGTCATTCCAGAGTGGGGGTATTCCGGGCTCTGACGCAGAAGCTGTGCTGATTTTGAAAGTTAGTCATTGCCTTTGAGTGGCTGCGGCTGGACCAGAGGACTGGAGGCCAAAGCTTGTTTTGTTCTGGGCTATTGTATAGCTGTTATGTTTCCTTAGGCAGTACCATAATTTTCACTAACACCCGCTTTCAAAGACTTTTTTCTGAAATGGTTTGGTTGTTTGGGTTTGAAATCCCAACGTTTGATTGGACATCTTAACTCGGTTGCCAATTGAATTATTTTTTGTTGAAGACATATGAGAAACATGCACACATAGGATAGGATGCAAATACATGTCTCTCGAATTGATGAATTGCACAATTTCAAAGAAAATATTCAGTTGTGTCTCAACGTTCCATGACTCTGTGCATCAACTCCGCTTTGCACTGACTATTTTCTCGTTTATGAAATAAAAAATCACAAACGTTCTTCAGTAGTTGGCTTCAAAACCCCCTCCTCAATAGTCTGAACAACCTTTTGGCTGTCGAACAAAACGTCAACCTCCTCCAACGTCAACCCCTTGGTCTCCACCCACTGAGAGTAAATGTACAGCCAAATAAGAATGTTCCACGAGGCATTCACGATGTAAGTCTTCCATCCGATACTCTCAAAAAGATACGGGAACGCCATCGACACCAGCACACCGCAAGACTTGATCAGGATACCCTGCATCGCGATACCGTTGGCGCGCATGTTATACGAGAGCACTTCAGGGGCGTACATAGCCGTAAGTGGCGTAATGCCAAATGAGTATGTGCCGAGGAAGAGAAATATGCATGCAATGGTACCGTATGTTCCCGCCTTGTCGCCCGATGTCCCGTATTTTGCTGTTAGACCGGCGAGGAGATAAAAGAATAGCGAGCAACTTCCCAGGCTCCCAAGCGCGAGGAATCTTCTGCCCAGCTTTTCGGCAAGCGTAGAGCCGGTGACTGCAACGACCAATTGCCACGAAGAAAGAATTACATTGATCTGGAGCTGCGTGGTTGGGTCGGTGATACCGGCTTGGCTCAACATCCGGCCAAAGTAATATCTGCGCCAAGACGCATCAGCTTCAGTCAAACTTTAGGATTGTGTAGAACTTACGTGATTACGTTGGAGCCAGTCAACATCGCCAGAGGCGCAACTGACAATGCCAAGAGTAGCCGTTTCCGATTGGGTTTGCGAACCATTCCTCGGAAACCAATAGCACGGCCCTTTTTCTTCTCGTACTCCAGAGTCTCGACGATTTCCCTGAATTGCATTTGTACGTTCTCGTCGCTGGTGTCGGCACCGTTCACTTTTGCCAGCACATTGAGTGCCTCTTCTCTTCGGTCCCTAAAGGCAAGCCATCTGGGAGACTCCGGGGCCAGGTAGATGAGTATCATGACGAATAAGGGCGGTGCAGCTTGTAGAATCGAAGGAACTCTCCATGCCCAGTTGGATGGTTCAAGCGCCGAAGACTAAAGGCCGGGGAAGTTAGTCAGTATTCAAAGAATTGCTAGGAAAACTCAGAGACTTACACCGTAAGAAATGCCAGCTGCCAGCAGGGCACCAACGGCCCAACAGGAGAAGTACAGTCCCAAAGCGAGCGACCTGATCGAAGGTGCTGTCGTCTCCGCGACATACGTTGAAGCCGCCGTTTGCCCCAAGCCAACACCGACACCAATAATGAGACGTCCGGCAATGAACATGGCAATGTTGATTGCCGCTCCGGCGATGATGGCCCCGACAATGTTGACGATGCCAGACGCATAGAGTCCGGCCTTGCGTCCCTTCCAGTCTATGAGCATGCCGGTAAAAGGCCCAACGAGGATGGCTCCGAGAAAGGTTGCGCAGGTATTGACGGCCGTTGTAGCGGTTGTGAGCTCAAAATACTTTTGGTACGATGACATGACATTCAAAGAACCCATGAGAGACCCATCATAGGCGATGGTGACGGAGTCGACGACGCATACTGACACCACAAGAGCTGTGCTCATGCTCATACGGAGGGAGGCTAGAGATGGTGCCATGATGGTAAAAGACGTAGATTAATAGCTTCGGATGGCAACCAGTCGCACAATACCCCATATGACCGAGCAGAGAAGGTTTGTTTTATATTGAGAGGAACCAGGTATCAACCGGCTACTCTTTGGCCTACCATGATATGGCTCGATCAAGTGATCTCTATGGCATACCAAGATATGAGGTACTACACCATGCAAGCGTATAAGCTGATTGGCGACGATAGTCTGGGGTACTGCGTACCCATCGGGCCTGGTCTGGGGGAGTGGTAGGTGTGGAGAGGAATTTGGGATTTAGAAAAAAAAAGTCTGCTATCACTTGCTAGCTCCGTTGGCGGATATCCCGCCAGAAATGCCGCTGGCGCACACGCCATTCAGTACTACCCCTAAATGAGTGCTAAGCATTCTAGCTTGGTTCAACTACAATATCTAAGTGGAATGACACCGGACGATTTCTTCTTATCGCGGCCTCCATTTCATCCTCACCTGTTATCAGCGGATTTGTTCCTGTGCTATTCGTTTTCTGGAGATGAGAGCTATCATTTATCAAATAACCAATGACGCTGACGCTGGTATCAAGATAAACAGGCAGCGGATGATGTTATGTGGGACATAAGTGATAAAGACTTTTGAAAAAGACGGCATCCTTCATGTCAAAGGTATGACAGCTGAAACACATATCCCACAATGACCCAGATTTATTTTTATCAACAGGGCTGTAATATGAAAACGCGAGGAAGTGAAGCTAAGATTCGGACAAGATATTGATGTTGTATTGATATTGTAAGTATATTTGAAAGTAAACAAACAGTAAGACGATTGAGTTTGGTGATAGTCAGATTGTGAAAGTACAGTGAATGCCAACATTCGAGATAAGAGGTCAGATAAATCTGTCAAGTTAGCTGTCATATACGGAAAATGACTGCTTTTTCTCTGTCCTATACGATGATCGTAAGGCCCGGTAGCCAGGTGGCTGCACGGGTCCGTATTCCGACTATTGCAACAACAATCAATGAGAACAATACTTTAGGCATCTTGCGGCCAGCACAAGCCAGTTATATATGAAAATGCACGTGAAACTGAGGAACGCCCTCAAACCCTTGCAATTTTAGCCTACGGGCTACTCCGTTGCCTTAAGGGTGAATAGCGCGAATCTCGGACAGAAACATCCTCCGGAGTCCGCCGTCAATGACCCGATGCCAAGGCTCCGACAATCCCCGCGATTTCTCTTCCGGAGTGGATACCTGTTTTACAGGTTGTGGAGGAAGCCGCTCGGGGTGTGGAGGAAGCCACTGCGGGGTCTGGGGAAGTCTGGGCCGAAGAAGATACCAACCCTTTGGTTTTTGATCTGACAGGCCTGGGGAAACATTCGATGACGGGTGAGAGCTGGAGTGATACAAAATAAGGGCGAGTGCTCGTGCTCCGACGCATCTCTACTGCAACCCTCCCCATCCTCCATCTCTACGACAACTTCTTGGGTCTCGCCTTTTTTGCAGCACGATCAACAACTACCAGCAACATGGTTGGACTCGACCTCAGAAACCGCCTCAAGGCGACGGGGTACGACGATAAGATTGAGCAAGTCCGGAACGTTGATGGCAAGAACGTCGTCAGAGTCAATGGCACGGAGGTTGTGGTCAGCTCCGCGACGCAGAAGCCTAACCGCTCGTTCTGGGTGGCGTGGATGTACATTTTTGATGTAAGCACGCCTTGTCAAAGCTTTTTGCTCCCAAGATGACGTCCGCATCAGTTTAGTTACTAACACAATTGACGGCAGTGGTACCCGAGTCACTACTCCAAAGAGGAGAAGAAGCTAGTTCGCAAGTTGGACTCAGTCCTGCTGACACTCTGCTGTCTCTGCTTCTACATCAAATGGCTTGACCAGAATGCGCTCAACAGCGCGTACTGGTCTGGTATGAGAGAGGAGCTGAAGATTAAGGGCAACGAGTGAGTTGTGCAGGATGGCACCTCCAGTCCAAAGCTAATCCCAGTAGATACTCTCTGTTTGGTACTTTCTACAACATCGGTTACATGGTCTTCGAGATCCCGAGTATGATGATTATCTCGCGTCCTCAATTCGCTCGCTACTACGTTCCCACAATGGAAACTCTATGGTCCGTGTTGACCTTCACACAAAGCAGACTGGGCAGCGTGAATCAAATCTACGGCACCCGATTCCTTCTTGGTTTCCTTGAGACCCCAGCAGCCACGGGATCTATTTACTTGCTTACTTCATGGTATCGTGCCGATGAGGTTTTCAAGCGCGCCGGTGTTTGGTACGTCTCTAGCAACGTCGGTGCCATGTTCAGTGGATATCTCCAGGCTGCTGCCCACAAAGGCCTGAACGGTGTACATGGAATGTCTGGCTGGAGGTGGCTTTTCATCATCGATGGTTGCATTAGCATCACCATTGCTATTGCAGGTTTCTTCCTGTACCCCGGCCTGCCGACTACACAGCCTAGGGTATGGTGGTTGACCGAAGAGGAGCGCCAGCTCGCCGTCGCCCGAATGCAGAGCCAGGGCACCAAGCAGAGCTCCAGAATCGGCAAGCGCATGCTCAAGCGTGTCTTTACGCACTGGCACTTTTACGTGGCCGTTCTCACATACGTCTTCTTCCAGTGCACTTCTTATGTTGGAGGCCAGATGGCGGCTTGGCTGAAGAAAGAGGCGGACATGAACGGCACTTACACCATCGAGCAGATCAACCTCATCCCAACCGGCGTTCAGGCGCTAGCTATTGTCACCGGTGTTCTTATTACCAGTTTGGTCATGATCTACCCGATGTGGATTGTCTTCTCAATCGTCACAGCAATCCTCCTCTTCTCTAACGTCTGCCTCCGCATCTGGTACATTCCCCTCGGTCTGCACTGTAAGTCACCCCATGGAACCAAGCCGAAAGTCTCTTGCTAATATAACTTAGTCACCTGCTACTACCTTCTTGGTCTGACCTCCTGCGTGACACCTATTCTATTCCCCTGGATCAATATGGTCATGAAAGACGACAACGAAGCACGCAGCTTCACGACCGGCGCCATGATGACCATCGGCTGGGCCTTCTTCAGTTTCTACCCAATCACTGTATTCCCGATCTTGGAGGCTCCTCAGTGGACCAAGGGCTTTACTGTCAACATTGTGTTCATCGTCTGCTACTGGACGCTGTTCTTGGTCGGACAGTACCTCTGGCGCAGGGAAGAACAGACCAAGAAGTTTGACATCAACCAGCCTGGAAACACGAGCTCGGACGAGTTCGGCAAGCCGGAGGAGCTTCAGGTGGAGATCAGTGATGAAAAGGACGTCAAGGAAACCAGGCCTTGAAAATGGTGTCTGTCCGCGAGTGATGGCGTATGATTTGAGACAGCTGTTCAATAGGAGCTAGCGACGATCAATTCGCCTTTCGTTGTATTTCTTTCTACTTGAGTACTTTTCTACACATCCAGATAATCTAGTTCTCTGATGGACTTAGTTCTTCTGTCTTGGCATCCAAAATGTCACCAGTAAAGGTTGCAGGCCCTCGACGTCTGCGGTCGACTTTCAGATCAAAGACGTCTAAGCGCTGATACCCGCCAACGACATCATGATACTGCTTTCCCTCAATACAATCTTCTACATTCATGTCCGCGTACAAGATCCCTTCCGCCGTTTGCAGAAAGTCTTCGTGCTTTTGCTCCTGAGTGTCTGCGTCAATCGTGAACCCTTGCAATAATGACCCGGCAGGGTCCAAGAACATGGTCGCACCGCGCTGCGAGTTTTCCAGCGCTTGGGTGACGACATCGGATTGACTGGCACCTGATGACACTGCTTCGATGGCATCTTGGCTAAGGAATCCCGAACAAAGGACTCCGAAGCACTTCGCCTCAAAGCAATGCGCCGCCGCACGCGTCCTGTTCGCGGCAACGTTGTCGTAGTTCGCACCATTAGCCACGCTCGACCCGCCCTCGGGCTGCTGAGCTTTTGGCTGGGGGATTCTTGTGGGCCAAATTGCCGGCCAAGTCGAGAGATGAATCTGCTCTCCCTGTGCCATGAGCGCGTACCTAGCAAGCGGGTTTGTATTCTCGCCACAAATCAGGTTTCCAATCTTGCCGAAACGCGTCTCCGCAACTCGCAGCCCGTAGCCATCTCCAGGTGACCAGGTCAGCTTCTCGAAGAAGGTCGGCATCAGCTTCCGATGATGGACGAGAATCTCTCCGTCGCTGCCAATAATGACGTTGGAATTGTAAAGGGTCGCACTGCTCGTGTGAACTTTCTCCGAAATCCCGATGCTGACCATGACGTTCAGCTTCTTGGCTGTCGAACGGATAGCTCCGACTTCATCACCATCGGCATAGACCGACTCAAGAGCCATCCGCTTGAAGAGGTCATGGTTCTCCGTCGGCGGCCGTAAGGCGGACCATATTGGAAATGCTGGGATATAGGTTTCGGGAAATACCACCAGGTTGGCATTGTTCTTGGCGGCTTGCTGGATTAAAGAGATGGCCTTGTCGGTTGTTCGCCGCGCAGAGAGGAAGACAGGCGAGACGTGACACGCGGCGATCCTGATTGGAGTGGACATGGCGGACAGATTAACAGGGTTGCGGGTGCTCAACACGATTAGACCACAGCTATATCGGGGTTTGTCTAACAAATTGACCTTTTATAAACGGGGAATTCAACTTTAACGGGCACCGAAGTTGAATGTGCTTTGTGATAGTTAAGTTAGTGAAGCCTCCAGCTGTGTCGGCGCTTCTTTTGTCTCCGATCGCCTAAATTTTGGGCGGCTTCTCATCCGCCGGGTGGGATAGTAGTTGACTGACTAGGGTCTCCCTGGTTTCTAACAGGCACTGAACCGGACAGACGGGCTGTCTTCGATGCAGGGATACTAATGGGCGCTCATATTCTCAGCACACACTGCAGCTACTGAGTCCCTTGTTGTACCCAGCTTAATCGATGCTGTCCGTTTTACCAGGACGAAATTTGGCAAGGCAGACAGAATCAATGTTGGCAACCTCACCAAGTCGGCACTGCGGCCAACTGTCAAACGCGATTATAGCTGATGGTGGCTTTGCACGTACCTTCCTGGTTCATCCGGTCTAAGGTGTGATTCCTTTGTGGACGTCCACAGTATCCCTTCTGTAAGCCTCTCCCTATGGACTATTTTCTTACTAGTAACATTTTACGGAAGCTCCTCGATGTTCAGTCACTGGTTGGTCGTATTTGTGTACCTTTATTTGCTGAGTAATGCTGGATTTGTCCAAATAGTTCATATATACAATATTAGCAGCGTTGCTAGCTAGTATTATAGCCACACCAGAAGATTATCTACACTACGATGACTCCAATCGCAAAACCCCCTGCTCTTCACAAATAAAATGTGCACAATGAAAGTGACAGTGATCGCTCAACCAATCCCTGGCCCCGAAGTAAAAATGACCTTGAGCATCATCCAACTAAGTTATAAGTGAGGCTACGCACAGCAATCACGGGTTGCAAGGGTAGTTGGGCGAGTCACCGTAAGCTTTTCGGCCCTTGTTGAGGTTCTTCGTTGCTTCTTCCGCACTGCAAACAGGAATGCGGATGAGGCCGCCTCTCCGAATGTCCAGCCTGCTTCCTTCATACTCACCCATGACGGATTTGTCTGAAGCATCGGGCGTCCCTGTCTTTGGGTCCATGACGTTTTTGTGGCCGTTTTTGACATACGTATTGACGGCGCTGTGAAGGGAAATGTCAGTCAAACTGCTTGTTCCGCAATATGGTAATTCTAGGGAAATGAGTAGAAAAGGGCTGGGGATTCTTGCGACTTACCCGATAATGAGGTCATCTACCGTAACGCCTCCCCATTTATTCGTATCTTTCTGGAGCTGGTCAATGCCCTTCAGGATGTCGAGTGTCCATTTGAAGGTCGGCGTACAGCCGCTGCCACCAGGGACAACAGGCCCGCAAGGGTTTTGGGGCCCATCGCGGACACCGGCAAGGATGTATGAGTGCCCGTCAGGGCACCTCCAGCCCGAGTTGTAAACATCGGGCTTCTCGGCGAAGTACTTTCGTGCGTCGATCTGGCAGCTGGGACCGAAGTCAACCACAACAGGCGCGGGACGGTTAGCGCCCCATGCTGCTGGGATAGCGGCTGCGTAGAATGCCCGCTGGATGTTCGCCTCTCGAATCCAGTTATTTGTGTAGTTGCTGGTGTCCCCAGTGCCCTCCTTCATTCCAGCAATCATTTTGCCGCCCGAGATGATGCTGTTCAACGCCTTGATACTGTCACTGGTACCGCTGAAGATGTCCTTGTTAAGCCGGTCAGTTTGTTCTTTCCAGTTCCCGATCAAGTCGTCGTAGATGGCTTTGAAGGATATCTCCTCGCGAGCAGCAGAGGCCTTGCTAAGTGCGTCTTTAGCAATAGACGACCCGGCATTAACCATGTTGGAGGTTGCGGCTTCCCACATGGAGGCCTTGCCACCGGTGTCTCCAGCGAAGAACTTCGTGGCCATGAACGCTGTCTTCTTGTTAGTACATGTTCCTTAAGAGACGAAATTGTAACTAACAGCTTCCAAAGAAACGGGCAGCTGCTGTGTTCAGGGGGATTGGAATTAAGGTCAGAAAGAGATTAAGAATCTCTGTTCCGTCGTTTGGCTTCGGGGCAAAGGTATTAATGAAGGTTTGGTGGCTGCTTTTAAGCTCATTTCCGGCATTGATCAGGGAGTAGTAATAGTTTTTAATCATCTACCGGCACACAGACTGGTTAGCAATCTCCCCGTGACAACCTGAATACCAGACCGCAAAGCTTCCTGCTTGCTACTCACTCTGTGAAGTTCAGTGAGCGAGTTCCAGATCTCATACGTGCAAGCACCCGTCTTGAATTGGTCCAGATCGTGTTCCGTATTATGAGCTTCGCAATCTGCGGAGTCGTCGCAGTTGCTCTCTATAGATAGGTCGCCACATCTCTGCACAAAGCTGTCATTAGTCGTTGCATCATGTTGTTTCTGTGCTGAGTTATACTTACCCGGTTCGAGGATATATGAAGGAACTCGGCGATACTTTCGGAAAAGTCATAGCCCTTTTTGCCATCAGCATGGCACGCCTTCCACACGCGGACGGCATCCTCCCAGCCACTCTGGCACTCCATCTCCTTCCACCGGTACGAAGGCGTATAGTCAGATGCCGCTGCGACTATTTTCGTGTTGCACTGATGTTTGACCCATGTACCAGTGCGGACTAACCTCGCGGCATCGCAACCGATTTGACCGGCATCGCTGCCATCCATGATCTGTTTCTTGACCACGGCCCAGCTGAAGCCGACGCCGCCACCAACGCCACCACCTGCACCGAAGTTGGGAGGTTCGTGAAATTTGACAAGATCTACAGCCCAGTCGATTGTGCCACCCATGTTATATCGTTTGTAGAGCTGTGTGCGGGTGTCCTTCAGGCTGTCGTCCATGTACGACACCCAAAGATCTCCATCAACCATGATTTTTGAGTTGCTCTCAGAGTCAATCCACGAGCGTCCTCCAATTTCATCAATCTCCGCATTAGCAATGTAGCCTCCAGTCTGCGTACATCTACCCTTGCGGGCAAACGAAGTCTTCCTATCGCCTGTAAACAGGCAGTTGGGACCAGTGCAAGATGGGTCAGCCATTTGGAAACTTCTGCCATAACTGCTCACGCCGACGAGAACTTTGTTGGACGGTACACCAGCCTTGGTGATCATAGTCAGGGCACTCATTGTCTCAGTCCGGTTGATGTGACTTCGCAGGCAATTTCCGCTTGGGCAGCCAGTGCTTGCCCACTTGTTACCTGCATCCCACTGACCGTGGAGATCGTAGGTCATGTAGACGATGTAGTCTAGTAATTCTGAAATAGCTTTAATAGGAAACTGCTTCAGATACCAGAAAGAGGCGGGCGCGGCAATAGACAGACTCTTGTCCTTAGGAAGTTTAGACCTAATGAGGGCCAGAAGACGGAGGTAATCTGTGGCTTCCGAGAGATCTCCCTTGGGGATGTCAGGTAGATCAGGTGCCTTTTAGGCCATTGCAGTTAGCGTACAGCTACGTAACACAGGAAAACAGGTAACTATCAACTTACAGAGGGATATTCCCAATCAAGATCGAGACCGTCAAGGCCATTATCGACAACGTACTTGACAAGATTGTCGGCAAGTTTGTTACGGTTTTCGGCCTTGACGCCGTTCCTGAAGATGGGATAGTTAGGGGCTTCAGCAGAGAAGACCCAGCCGCCGAACGAGATAATTCGCTTCGGGCCCTTGAGTTTCTTAAACTGCTGGAATTGGAACTCGGCGTATGCATTCTCCTGGTAAATCTCGAATTTGTCGTTGATCATGCCGAATGCGAAGTGAACGTGGGTGTAAGAAGGATCAATCTGAGAGGCGTCCATGTTCAAACAGTCTCTGCTGCCTAAGTTGAAGCCCTCGAAGTAACCAAGTTTTATGAATTGTGCCGGAGGACCGCTTTGGATAATCGACATGCCGCAGTTTGAAATGCAGCCAAAGGTATCCTTCTTGGCTGTGCCTGGAGGACCGGTGTTCGTATCGACGCAGAAGTCGGTAGTCGTACCACATTGTCCCCACTATGTTTTTCTATTAGTATTTTCAGGTAATTGATGTGGATGTCATAAGTAAAGAAGGAAATCAAAAAGTGAATAAAGGGAGCTCCGAAGAAGTCGGCTGAGTTTCTTTTGAACTTACAATATTACAGCACGAATTCAAAGGACACGGGTTAAGTTTGGCCCAGTCCCTCGATGTTGACCCGCTAGGCTGTACTGTCCCAGGTTTCTGGGGACCACAATCTGCGTTGGGAATAGGGGACGGGAAAGGCGGCGTGCCCTTGCTGAGACAAATCCAGTTGTCAGGCCAGAAGCCGTTGTCGCATCCGCCCCAACCTGCAGATGATTATGTTAGTGAGGTACGGCAAGAAGAAAAGACAAAACGTACCCCAAGTCTCCTTATTCAAGTCTTCAAGCTCCTGAACCGTCAGTCCGTTAGCTACAGCAACCTTGTTACAGAAGTCGCCCTTCTTGATCTGATATTTGTAACACGACCCGTCTGCATTCTGCTTAGGCCGGATATCGGGCAGTTCACCAGCAGTACAGCAGACGCGCTGACCGGGCTGCAGCGTCGAGCAGAGCTTGGAGTTTGGGTTGAACTTGTAGAAGTCTGCCGCGGTCAATCCGCCACCGCATCTTGTTACGAGCTTGCCACAGTCGTCGCCATCGTCGACCGTCACGGTCCGACATTCGGCGCGCGCCTGAAGTAAACCCCTGACGGCCACGGTTGAGTTTCCAGCCGCTGTTCCGTTTCGAGGGTTGGGTGCTATCTCTGGCTTGAAGAAGCTGATTGAAGTGGTTTCAAGCACTCTGGTTTCTGCGTATGAAGAGGTGTCAACGCAAGATCCGTTCGACCACTGGCCAACGGCATTGTGAACGGCGGAGAAGTCAGCACTAGAGGCAGCGATGAGGCCAAATATATCGTTTCCGGCGTAGCCATTGCACACCTGAACTAGAGCGGATTTAGAGTCGGCAATTCCAGTGCTGTAAAGGTTGTTCAAGAAGGAGGTGAAGAGGTCTCCTGAAACGCTAGATCTCAGGAGATTGGCGCCAACGTAGACACCAACAGTGGTGTCTGAGACGGTTCCGAATAGCATCAATCGATCTGAGGTTTGACCGACGTTCGAAAGATAACTCTTAAGGTGCTCTACACTCTGGGTGACGAGCCTACCCCCAATGTCATCCTCGGATGCGGCGGGAGTCCAAGCCAGTTGAGGCACAACTTGCCTAGTCTCAGTATCGTTGTCTGTGGAGGACAAGGCCAGGTTCATGATAGCTGGGCTATCAAAGTCGTTTATAAATACGTTACAGACCCGGATTTGCTGCTTATCGGTAACAGGGACATTGACTGAAAAGTCGAGTACCATAGGCCTCTGGCAAGCCTGAAGCTGGCTGAACTCGGCAATCACAGTCCAGTTAGCCGGGTCAGCACCGGCCTCCAGACAGGTTATCGGGCAAAGGTCTCTCACTGGTGCCGAAGCATAGGCGCCGTTGAGTACCATGCCCGCTAAACCCATGAAGGGGAGAAGCGAGTGACGGTGTTGGCTCATCATGGGAGCCAAGGGTTTTGGGCTCGATGTAACTAATGAACGAATCTCCGAGGAGAAAATAGCGTAAAGATTGACGAAGAAGGTGGGCAAAAAGCCATGTCGAGCAAAGGTTTGAGGGAAAGCTTTGGGATCTGTAACCAGTGGTTATATAGCTTTTTTTCTCCGTCTCGTAACTTGCTAGGCGTCGAGTCAAAGGTTGTCAGTCAGTCAGCTTTGGTCGAGACCGTTCTCATTGCATCTTGATAATTTCGGTTCAATCGGCTGAGTTGCGCATGTCGTGAGATATCCAGCCTTACTCTCGTTGATTGTGCCTGCCTTGATGGTCTGCATAGGAAATCGTGACTAAACGAAGCTGAAAAGAGGCAACTCGTACAGTCTCTGATACGCATCATCATCAATAGAGCATCATCTAGTCCAACCGCAGTCATATGGCACAGCCTGTGAAAATGGGACGGCTCGTAAATAGTCTAGGCAAGACCGAAACACTAGACCAGAAAGACGGACAGTTAAACAACTAACTTGGTTGCTATAATCCAGTGTCAAGGAATTGTCCCCGTGTCTGACATCAAAATGAGCCATTAATTGTTCAGCTTTATGTAAAATATGTCCAGAAGAAGAAGGTAGCATTCTTCGAAAAGAACTAGGGAACCTAACTAGCTACACTATCATGTATTCTCAGGGGAGAAAGCTTCATTTCCTCACACACAGGCTTGGCAGACAGCAGGCGGAGTCCGCCGGACGCGAACGCTTGGCAAGGCTTTCCCGATACGGCGGACACCATGTTACCAGGGGCTTAATAGAGGTGTGAATGGATCAGTTGGCGAGAACAAAGAGTGGTGGGATTAAGCATGGAAGCGCTAGGGGTAAGTGATGATAATTGAAGCAAGGAAAAGAAATACCCCCTCCTGATGTCTGTAACAGGTATCTCGTATCGGAGCTCGGTTCGCACCGCGCCGCTTTTCCCAATTGAGGTTCGAACAGGAGTGAGCGGTGGATACTAAGCATGCATGTGGTGGTGTTAAAGCAGGACTGTAAATTGAAGCGGACTCAGTAGATAACTACTTGGGCCTAGAAGGATAGAGGTATGGATGTAGCAAATATAATCTAAGTAATCCACTATACCGAGTTGCCTGGTTTGGAAGTTAAATGCATATAAGCAGTTCGGGTTACCGATTAAGCTTACAATCGCCATGGTCATACCACAACCCCAGTGGTTCACACTCTTCTCCCCTGCTTGCGGCACAGTTTACCGGTTCTTGGCGTCATTTTTCATACATGGATGGTCCAGCAGGCCCCCAAATGCATTCTCCAACTTTCACAACATTTGTTTCCTACGTCAGGCTTTTTTAACGTCTACGAAAGTCAAGAACTAGCGCTCTGCTGGCTTCATATTGTGTTCTCTGCTCGGCCGTTTACAATTCAACGAGACTATCATCATCATGAGAATTGCGCTTGTCTTCTCGATTTTCCTTTCTTTTTTGTGGGTGCGGTTGGCAAACGCGGAGCGGAAGCTCCCCGCTGATCTTCAAGTCGACCTCATCTTTCCACGCAACGAGACATACGCGCCATCGCATCTTCTGCCCATAGTCTTTGGCGTGAACAACATCGACGCCGTCTGGCCTCTAGACCTTCGCCTCTCCGTGGAGGTGCAGTCAACCCTCACGCAGTCGAATGCAAGTCAACCCTCGTGGTTGTATGAAGATGTCAGCCTCGAGCCGAGCGTGTTTGCGCAGACTGTCGGTCAAACACCGGGCAAGCAGTTCTTCTACTTTCCGGCCATCAACATGACCAAAATAGCCAACGGAACGGCCAACGAGTTTCGTATTCTTTGGAAATTCTCCATTCCACGTCGGTGCTTCGCTAACAGTACGGATCCTCGAGACGATGATGGAGATACCCACTGGTCAAACTCGCCTTTGGAAGGCGGCTCACGTGTGGTCTGGTTCAAGACAGCACCAGGGGCCCAGCGTCCCGATGTCCAGGCTACTATCAACTCATGCTCGGATCCTGAAGAGGCGACTTCAACAGCGGTTCGCGTCACCGAAGTAAGGAAGACGTACAGTGACGGCCAGTTTTGTCCGGTGCTCGAGACAAATATCAAACCAACCAAGTGCACCTTCCAGTCAGCCGCCAAGGAGCTCGCAGCGAATGTTTCTGCAGCTATGCTGAAAGAAATGGGATGTAAGGAGGGCGAGTGGCAGACACTGACTGAGCGGTGTCCGAAGGAGGAGAACATGGCACCGTCGCAGACTGCAGCCTTGGGAATGGGATCGGCATTACTAGCACTGGCCATCGCTTTGCCGATTGCTCTTTGAGCGTAGACTACTGTTTGGCTTCTTTCGTACCATTACTTTTAATTGACATAGTCCTCAACCCTTACACTCTTGTCAACGGATAGTGCATGTATTCATCAATCATCATGTCAGCCTCAAGTCAACATCAAGAACTACCGCCCCTAATGCTACACCAGGGGTGCCAATCCGTGTCTACAATGCAGGATAAATCATTGCAAAGTACTAGGGCCATAGATGTCCCTGACAATTAATCTTTTCATTTTAGGATGCAGTGAGAAAGCCTCGGGTATGCACAGTTCAGGGGAGCCAAGATCTAACGCGCACCCAGCCCTACGAAACCCCACCTCCACACCAGCCCCTCCCCCGATCTCATACATAAAAGTAATAAGCAAGTGAAAAGAGGCTCGTAAGATCTATAACCCATGTCTATAAAACACGGCAGCAGCGTTCCGATGATGTGTCATCTATTCGTCGTTACACGAGCGGGGGCGGGTACCTTGCTGACGCATATGCATGGCCGAATTTAACCTAGTCAGTATCATCACGAGGCAGGCAGAGAGAGCATCGCAGCTTCGTTCCGATAGGAGCATTTATTTCTCTGCTAGTAAATCTATGCTAGTAAAATTTAGCTTTCACAACTCAAACAGGGGGTCGAAGAACTAGCATCGTACTATATAGCAAAGGTACCAAGTGACGTAAAGTAGAGCCCTTCGTCGGTGGAGATGGCAACCTGAAAGACAAAAGTTCCCCTGTGGTACGAGCCTCCATTTCCAGACTCCCTCAAGCTTGTTACCTCTTGTATCTACACTCTCGTTGCACTATACCTAACGTTGCATCATGTTTGCTAGCACCAGTGGGGGTTTCTACCTGCTAACCAACTCCAGGCAACCTCAGCGAGTCCACAACCCCATTGTGATCTGACATACATAGGTTTATTAAACAGATCTGACAACTTAGTCCAACTTGGAAGTTTAAAAATTTTCAATCATACGAATTGCCTCATCTAGTACCCAAAGTGAGAATGTCCATCAACGCATGACCAATTTCAAATTTGCGCAAAGTTCAGCTTCGCCTTGGCGAGCTCTAGGGCCTAGGCAGCCTCGGATAAGCTGGCTTGATGCGCAGAGAACGGCGTATCAACCGAAAGAGATAGTGAACAGCGCTTTTTTCTGGATGTTGTGATGTTTCATAATGCCGATAGCCATCAACTATAAGAATAGAGATTTGCCCGAGCAAAGTAACTCGAATTATCAAGCACCATCACACTATTTCACTACCACCAACATCATAAGCAATAACAATAGCTAGTCTCTCGTTCTTCTAAAGATGCTTCGTCTTTCAGTCTTTACTGCCGTCGGCATCCTTGCCGCCCAAAGCGCCGCTGCCAGCGTGAAACGCTTTGACAGACTGGCCCCTCGCCGCTTCGACAGCTCGGTGCCCTTCTACGACCACGACTCTAACACCCCTTCTGACTGCACTGTGTGGTGGAACACAGATGACGGCCTCAGCTGTGATACAGTGCTCACCATCTCCGGCATTACTATCGGACAGTTGAGCGCAATGGTAAGCGTACATCGAAATACAGGCCTTCAATATTGACCCTGACACTCATGACAGAACCCTTCCACCAAGTCTTGCAACGACTGGAAGACGGACTACTCCTACTGTGTAAACACTGCTTCCGGTGTCCCCGATCCGGCTCCGGCCCCGAACCCGGTAACCACTTCTACCCCACCGACAACCACTTCCACCCCGACCAATCCGGGCAACGGCGTCATCACTCCCGAGCCAGCCCAGCCGGGCATGGTCGACAACTGCAACCGCTTCTACCAGGTTCAAAACGGCGACACCTGCAGCACCATCGCCTCCAAGGCAGGCGTTAGCATCTCCCAGCTTACGACCTGGAACACGCAGATCGGCGGCGCCGCTTGCACGGGCTTGTGGGCCGGTTATAACATCTGCACTGGCGTCATCGGCGGTTCTCCTACGCAGCCGGGACCCACCATCAACCCCACGCCTCAGCCCGTCCAGGACGGCATGGTCGATAACTGCAACCGTTTTCACCAAGTTCAGAGTGGTGACACTTGCGCCGTCATTGCCTCCAAGGCAGGTGTTACAGTAGCTCAGCTTGCCGAATGGAACAAGGGCATCGGCGGCACCGCTTGCACGGGCATGTGGGCTGGATACTACCTTTGCACTGGTGTCGCGGGTGGTTCTCCCACCCAGCCGGGACCAACCACTAACCCTACACCTCAGCCTATCCAGGATGGCATGGTCAACAACTGCAACCGCTGGCACTTGGTGAAGTCGGGTGACACGTGCGGAACTATCGCTTCTCAGACCGGCGTCACCGTCTCTCAGCTCGCAGACTGGAACAAGGGTATCGGCGGCACCGCTTGCACGGGCATGTGGGCTGGATACTACCTCTGCACTGGCGTCGCTGGTGGCTCTCCCACCCAGCCGGGACCGACCGCTAACCCTACGCCTCAGCCCGTCCAGGACGGTATGGTTGGTAACTGCAAGAAGTTCCACTTTGTCTCGCCCGGCCAGAACTGCGATACCATCTCTCGTCAGTACGGTATCTCTGTTGGCGACTTCATCAGATGGAACCCTGCTGCTGGCGCGACCTGCACTGGCCTTTGGGCGAACACTTACGCTTGCGTCGGTCTTTGAATTAAGATCGAACACAGCGAATAAAGGGTTTTTCTTTTTGGTGATGTTGAGGGATTGAAGGTTATGGCTGGGGTCCTCACAGCTGGTAGGATCGAGTCATCGATCTGCCCAGCTGTGAAACGTTAAAACATAATCCGCTTGAAATAGTTTTGGTTTTTATTTCCTATGTATCATATAATCTTCGAGTATATAGCCTTAAGCAATACAACTCTCTTGCACATGAACATTTTATCCCGCACGGCTTTCGTTACCTTACTGTGAGGGTCTTGTTGATTGAGTGTGTATCTTGTCGGGAGACGTTGTTGCGGTTGAGCAAAGATCTGGGGCTGTGTTTGACATTTTGCTCTCTAGATTCACATATATTCGCATGGTGTTGACTTTGCATTCGATTGGTTTGCTCTTTGTAGATATTAAAACATTTATGGCACACGACCAAGCCGCTGCGCCTTCGCTAGGCTGTCATAGGAAATCCCATGCACAAACGTCCATAGTTATACGTAGGGCGTCTTTCAGAGTCAAAGGTCGCAGCAACTGTTTGAAACAATAGCACATAAACTGGACTAACGTTGGTCATCCGGGATATCTGAAGCCTCGCTAAATCCCTAGTAGGTCTGATGATGAAGGGTGGAGATGTGGGTGACTTGCAAAGAACATGTAGATTATCAACGGCTAGTTATCGTGGAAGGAAGGATGCTATGCATTGATATTATTGCTTACCCTAACGCGTGGCAGGAGATGCAGTACAAACGGCGGGCGGGGCATTTTTTGCAAGTGATGTGGGAGATCCTTAGTTTTACCTGAGGATCGTGACAACCGTTTCCGCCCACTAGCCCGGCCCGGAACATGGGGACTGCCTCCCGCCGCCTCCCGCCTTCCCGTTCCCGGCATCGGTCCTGCTCGGGAATGCAGTTGCCGGACACCCCGGTCCACTATTTCCGGCGAAGCCCATGTCTACTTCTGAAATCAGGGGTCAGTTGCGTAAGTCAATGCGAATCATCCCCGTCCAGCTGAGGCCGCGTGTATCCGAATTGTATCTATCCTTGGAACTCAAGGGGGACAGTCAACCTAGAGAATTGGACCTCGTCATCAAATGCAGAGCGACTGATTCGGGCCTCATTTGTGGTCCATTAGTATCCATTAACTAGGTAGGTATGGAAACTTAGCATACAGCCTAATTGATAGTTGCCCAGTCTCGAGGGGCCCCCAACTTCGTAGATCTTGCTTTTCCTCATTATTATTACTTCCTTCCTCATCAAACCTAAGTTGAAATCACATCGAAAATGAAGGAAAGCGTACCCGAGTCTTTACAAGTAGTGTGAGGGCTTATTCTCGTCACGTGAAATGGATGAATACTATCTCTACCTAGGCTAATGGATTGATGGAACATAACATATCTGGGCAGACCACTTCTGGTCATTGTAGACTTATTTTCTTTTTAATTTATAACTCTCGTCTACATCGAACTTCTCTATCCTGAAACTGACAATGCCTGGAGCCTGTTTCTAGTCACCAGTACTTCGCCGCACGTCCCCGCTGTTAGACATATGCCAGAGAAGCGCCTCCGAAATTCTTGACAAGCCTAGAGGTGTCATCTCTCGGAGGGAGGAGATCACGCTAGAAATGGTGGACGTCAAACAGCAAGTTCATTCCTCAGCATAAGACTATCTAAGAGAGCTGACAGCTTTGTTGTTTTCAAACTCAAAAGTAAGATCTTGCGGTGTCTTCCCATTATTATCCTGCGCTCTATTATTGGCGTTCGCCTCAAGCAACAAACTGATAATACGGCGCGAACCAAACTGTACAGCTCTATGTAAAGGTGTTTGACCCTGATTATCTTGTGCTTCCTTGTCGGCTCCTTTCTCGATAAGCTTTGTAGCAGCATCAAAACTTCCGTTATACTCTGCAGACATGTGCAGTGGCGTCCGGCCATCTCTATCTCGGGCGTCTATCTTGGCCCCTTCTCTAAGCAATATAGCTATGACATCTGCCTCCCCGTAGATGGTTGCAATGTGCAGTGGTTTTTGGCCATACTGATCTGAAGCTTCTTTGTCAGCTCCTTTCTCAATAAGCATCTCTACGATGCCTTCAATTCCTGCTCTTGCGGCAAGGTAAAGTGGCGTTCGGCCATAATCAGCCGAAGCTTCCTTGTTAGCCCCTTTTTGAATAAGCATTTCTACAACGTCCTTCATACCCGCCCTTGTGGAAAGATGAAGTGGTGTTTGACCATAATCATCCGAAGCTTCCATGTTACTTCCTTTTTCAATAAGCATCTCTGCAACGTCCTTTATTCCTGCCCTGATAGCAAGATGAAGTGGTGTTTGGCCATAATCATCCAAGGCTTCTTTATCAGCCCCCTTCTCAACAAGCATCTCTACTACTTTCACTACCCCTACCCTGGAGGCAAGATGAAGTGGCGTTCGGCCGTAATTGTCCAAGGCTTTCTTGTTATTCCCTTTCTCAATAAGCATTTCCACGACGTCTTCTATCCCTGCCTCTGCGGCAAGATGTAGTGGCGTGTGGCCATGCTGATCTGAAGCTTCCTTGTCAGCCCCTTCATCAATAAGCATCTCTACAACGTCCTTCATTCGTGTTCTTGCAGCGAGATGAAGTGGCATCTGGCCTCCTATATCTTTGGCGTTCTTATCGACTCCCTGGACGGCTACAAGCCAACTGACAACATCCTCATGCCCCAACATGGCAGCCGAATGTAGCGGCGTACGGCTGCTGAGGTCTCGGGCATTTGCATCGAGTTTGCTGTGAATGATAAGGCAATCTACTGCTGTATCGTGGCCCCCAAGAGCCGCGAGGTGTGATACAGTTCTTCCATGCTTGTCTGCCGCATCCGTATTTGCTTTTTCTATTAGGATCTCCATCACAGCCGCATGTCCGCCGTGTGCAGCCCAAAGCAACGGCGTCTTTCTTGATGCATCTAATACGTCAATGGATGCTCCTGACCCTACCAGCATCTTGACAGTTTCGCCTCTTCCTTCCATCACTGCGCAGTGTAACGGTGCTATACCATCTCTACCTTGAACGTTGACGTTGGCGCCGCCCAAAAGCAATCTCCGCGCTGCGGGAGTGTTACCGTAATGACAAGCGTAATGTAAAGGGGTCCAGCCGAGCAAATCAGGGGCATTGGGATCCCCATCAAACTCTAATAGAGATGATATGATATCGGTATTTCCCTCTTTTGCGGCGTAATGCAGAGTGGTCCAATCGTGAATGTCCCTTAGATTCACGCCGATTCCAAACTTCTCGATACGGATGTCTCTGTCTCTGTCGATTGCTACAAACTTATGAAGATCTGTGAATTTTAGCTTCTTTAGCTGTATTGCTAACTCTTCTTCGTCCTCATCATCCCAAGCCAATTTGTGGAATCCCAACGGCGGGGCAGAGTCGTCCTGCCAATCGCGGCCTTGCAGCTTGTACAAACCCATAAGGCTCGAACGAAATTTCCGGCTGGCAGACTTCAGCTCTTCCGCAATATGAGACGCCAGTCTTTTCAGATGCTGATAGATAGGAGTATCCTTATTTTCATGTTCAGCTAGCTCAGCTGCCGACACAACTTGTCTGTGGCATTCGAACAAGACAGCCGTAGCCTTAGCTACAAAGTCGCTTTCGGCCGGGAACGTCTTTGCTTTCCGAAAGAGCCAAAGATACACTTCGGCAACTTGCTGCCACTGCTGAAGCTTTTCATGTCGCAAGGCTTCCTGTTGTGTCAGGCTAATAATGGCATTGGTGCGCGGCAATCTGTCATTGACGCTGAGCGGTGGTATGATGCTCAGGTAGACTTCCTCTGGAGTCCCAAGCCCAGTGTCATAAATCTCTTGGGCCATCTTTGATAATTTTGTGTTTTTGAGCGTGAAAACTTGCCAGTTTTCGCTTTTGCTGATATCATTAGGCGTGATGTCAGCTTCGTTTTCAACTGGCTGTTCCTGGACACTCTTTTCTCTTGTAATAGACCATAGGAAAGCCGAGAACATTTCTTGGGCAAAGAGCAACTTCAAGGGTTTGTATGACTTCGTAGCAAGGAACGACGCTTGTTGGTCTTTTCCCCCCTTCGTTTCTTCAGCACCATTACTGCCCAGCTCTGCATTGTTATCCAGCTCGTCTAGCTCATTGATGTTGAACATGATTTTTCCGTTTGCCCCCTCAGACGCATCGTAGTGTACGGGTCCATAGCCGACCACCTTGTAATTGTCAAATGCCTCGCCCGAACTACTTTCTGTTGCTGCCACGAATCGAACTGCTTTGCTAGGCATCCACCACGCAAGATCTCTTCGAAGACTCTCTGTGTTCGGGCCGAGAAAGCGCAATGTAACGTCCGAAGCAGATGCTTCTATGCGGGGGCTATGCGATTTCGCAGTCTTCGACGCACTGGCATGGGTTTTGTCTTGATTGTGGCTTTCCTTGCACTTGTGTCGATGAGCAGAAAAGAGCCATAAAGATAGCGCTGCTTCAATATCCTCTGCAGATGAGTTCCACTTTCCATCTTTTTTCACAACTTCAAACTTGATCTCTTCATTATCGAGCGTTGTGAGAGACCAAGTGAAAGTACCATCCAAGAAATCGAAAAGAGATCTCATCGTGATCTCTATCGCACGCGCAACAGCGACAGCTTCTGCCGGGGCAGGCCCACTCCAACTTGCCAATTTCTTTAGGTCTCTTCTTGTCTGCATAACCATCTGCGCTTTTGAGGGCTCCTTAAAAGCCTCTTTCGAAGGCTCGCGCTGGTTCGGTTGCTCATGTGGCTTTGGAATTTTTAGAAGCCAATGCTCCGTTTCAATTTTCATGGCCATGTCTTTCTCGGACTTCGGCTCAGATCTTAGAAGTTCTAGTCCTTTGTCTCTCAACGCTATTGCAAACCAATCGAGTTCGAATCCGGAATCAAGCTTGTTCGATCGCAGGGACGAACCGAGTCCACGACGCACTAAAGCCTTGAGGCCTACCATCAAAAGAGTCGCTCCCAGTTGACAGACTGAAACAGACCAGTGCATACCGCGTAGGCCGATAAACTGCACAATGTAACCGCAAAGGCCAAGAATTGTTCCAACCAGCGTTTTGACCCCTAGTTTCCAGCGTTCGTCCTCTTCAGTCAGTCGGTGCGATCGACAGGATGTGAGGATGAGTTGTCGTTCTCCCATTGCAAACAGCGCAAAGGAGCCAAAAATCTGATCACTTACGGTTTTGGTCCGCTGCAACCATATCAGTCGAACTTCCTTGCCTGCCGGCTGATATCTGTCCTCATGGGTGCTATCTTCCACGACGTGTGAACAGAGTAATAAGCCCAGTGATAACACAAATGTGCCAATTGCGAAACAGACAAAGGTATATTTCTCGATGGTGCGTTCGTCTTTCGGGAAACTCAGTGTCGGGTGAAATATCGAGAATCCAGAATAGACCAGAACCCCGAGCTGAAGCATGATTCCAGCGGCAGCTACAAGCCGGAGCTCTACGTCTCGTTGTCGAGGAGGAGAGTTGAGCGAGATATTGGGAGCATCGGCTGATTTATTCTGGACAATGATAAGGTCATTGGGCGATGTAGCAATGCTGCTCTCTTCATCTCTGCTTTGCTTAAGATTACTAGTGGCACTATTTCTTGATTGGCTGTTCTCCTCTGTTCAACGTGTGAGGTCGGATCTAGTCAAAGAGATGAGGAGAGAAACATGTTACCTTCTATTATATTACCATGCTTATTAACATGGTTAAGATAATTCTTTTTTGCCTTTTCAAGATCCATTACTAGTATCTTGAAGTTGTCAGACAGACTCTTGTCACTCGATTTCGTGCTAGAGCCAGTATCATCAGGAGTAGCTGGCGGTAGCAAGCAGATGAACTCTGCCACCGAGTCCGAGGCTGAGCCCATGCTTCTCACCACCTCTTGACTGTTCCACAGCTCACAGACCTCTTTCGAGGTAGACGACATCAACTCTTGTTCGGCCACTGCAAGGTTCTCTCTAGCTCTGCCAATGACAGCTTTTAGCCATTGGAAACCTCCCACTCTTATTGCGCTGACAAGAAGAGTGATGATACCGACGGGAGCCATTGCGAGTATGATGTCGTCAGCCCAACCCATGGCTTGACTCATGAATTGCATGGTAACACGTTCTCCAAAGAGGGCTAATAGGCTAGAGGTTACGCATCATTAGTATTCTAGTGCCGGTATTCCGAGAGATGATGAGACGCACGGTGATAGGTCTGAGATTAAGTTGTTGGAGAAGTCGTCTCCTCCATCGGCATGCACGCCATTAGCGAGAAAAGCCGCAAAGGGCAGCAGGTAAATGAATTTTTTCATTACCGCCATCTTGTAAACCAGGACTTGTAGTGCTGTAGAAGCCAATGGTAATCTCGAAGCTTGCTTGAGTGAGTAAGGTAGGCTTAGGCAGCTAGGGCAAAATTCCTATTTCTTGTGCGGTGCGTAAAGCTGCAGAACGAAACTCGAGGTACAACGACCTTTTCAACAATACCACCCATTGCCCAATGAGGATGCTCGTACGTATAAAGTACTATTGCTGACAGACAGAAGATCGCTTATCATGTTGGCCGATGCCAGCTGCAGGTCATGGACACACCACTACCCCCTCCTACATAATCAGTCGGAATGTATCCGCGAAAGTGGAGATACCTACATGCATCATCACAATCTGGCTGGAACTGGTTGGTATAGAAAAGCCTTGGGAAAAGCACAAAGCTGAATAAGGTTAGATGTTTAGGTAGGACGCATGAGGATTTACATGGGGGGACGAAAGGATCGACCCTGCCCGAAATCACGCAAAATCAGTATGTCTCAGCGTGAGTGGTCTATTATAGTGTTTATCCCATTTTCTTTGCTGCTTGATTAACGTATGCCGAAGCCTCAGACCCAATGATGGATAATTCTAAGCCAGGCCTGCAAGTCATCAAAGTTCTAATTACTTTTGAAATACCGCAACAGTGCAAACAGGTCTTCCATCACTAAATTGATCTCGGCTACAGGGGGCCTCAGCACCTTGTAAGGGCGCCACATCCACTGTGGTCAGACATCCAGTGAGGCCGCACATTATTCCCTACGGCTCCAATATTTCAATACAAGCCTGACCAAGCGCCGAATAATGTCTTGTGTGGATAAAACATCATAAAATGGCTGTTAAATTGGAACAAACTTTTTACATCATGGGGATATATCAAAAAGTCGAACCAAGAGAGTATGGTTATTGCCTATCTAAAACGAGTGTGTGCAAAGAAATGTTGTCTTTCGATGTTTTTCCCCCCTCCTACCGTCCATTATTTATAATTTTGTATATTAATGAACTTATAAGAATTTGAGTTTAGTTATAGAAACTAGTTGTTGTAGCTCTTCCTGCTAGCACATGGCTACAATAGGCAGAGGTCGGAACCGTGATAAGAACGGAAATGTAAACAGAATAGTACAGAAGTCAAAAAACGGTCACAAGGCAAAAAACAACGACGAGGGCGTAAAAGTAGGTGTATGGCGATTGGGTCTCTTCTTGATCAACGATCCCGACTGCAGAGCTATCACGAGTGTCTCTTATACGGGTCCGGCTACCACGTGAGATATCACATGCCCCAGGTAACTAATCAATGGAACTGTAACACAAGTCCGCTCCCCTTACCACCGTACTCACCTTGCTCACCTGAATTATTACTTAACCATCTCAAAAGGAGCCACATCTGAGTGAGGAGGAGGGCGAAGAGATTACACTTAGGTTATGAAATGAGATGCCGTTCTATGCCAACCGCATGTACGTCTTCTCTGCGTAGTCTGGCATCAACGGAAATCTCGCCATCTTGTCCCGTCAATACAACCTGAAAAGAACTCGGCGATTGCCGCCTGAAAATATGTACCACAAATTACGCATTATTATGATAGGCTTATTTCGGTGTCGAAATGTCAACTCAGTCCACACCCTCTTCTTTTATCAGGCGGTCTAGCCACAGCATGCCCCCCCCCACAGAACAGCACGAAGAAGGTTCCACAAGTCAATAGTTGATTAAAACTTCTAGTCTTGATATAAACGCATTTGCAACAACTTCTATTGATGTTACGCAGATTAAAAGATACGAGAGTAATGTGAACCTCTGAATGGCCTGGTGACGTTTTGTTTAGTGTAACGAGTCAGGAAAGCCTTGTAAGCGGAGCGCCAACGAGTTTTAGTTGCATTCATTAGCGTGGGGATGCTTGATGGCATCCAATTCTATTGAAGTGCAGGCCTGTATGCCGCAGGCCAAGCACTAACATTACCGCAGAGCCTCTTGCCTATCTTTTTGAGGGTTGCGATTGGGAGAGAGTTGTCATATTACAATCCAACATGGTTGCAGCACATAAAAACTGACAGCCTGTTTTATACTAAAGGAGAACACCCGATGGATAATACTATTGTTTTCTTTCCAATCACATGCTGGAAGTGCCGGCTCGGGCTCATTCTTTGCCGAAAGGTCTGAATACCACGACTAGGCAAGTTGCCAACTCATCAATGCATTATGAACATTTAGGATTGGTCAAATAGTGCAGAAGTATAATGTGCATATAATCGCCCGTTAGTCGTGACATTGCGTGAGAGGCCCGCCCCATGAAGTTGCCTTACGCCCAGGGTTTGGGGCTGCCTTCAATGCCAACGGTATGGTTCGCCATGAAGACATTTACTATGCAGTACAGCTGGCGAACCTTGAACATTCCCCATATTTATGCACAGTACTTTATAGGCGAATATGACTGGTGCGTTGTATGCGCGGTTTTGTGGCTCTTCTCACAAGCGACTCGCCTCGATTGGGTGGTTTTTGATATCTGACATGCATCTCATCTTAGTAGCTCCGTCCAAGCTTGAACCAATCCGGAAATCATTACATTCTGTGCCACCAAATTCATAAAACCCCATGTCAGTGCCCCAAGACGCTTACATCGCGCTGCCCTTCACCGCTTCCAACGCCCTTCGAGCCTCATCGCATCGTCGTGTGTGTTCTTTTGTGTTTCCATAGCCAATGACCAACATCAAGACGTAAACGACACCTTCGTCAATATGCCGGCGTGGGCGCCGCCGACTGCGGAACAATGGGAACTCCACCGGCCCGTTATATCCAAGATGTACACGGAGCGGACATTGAAGGTGATACAGGCACACATGATAGACGCTTACGGTTTTCAAGCCACGTAAGATTTCGCCGCCGCTAACTGCGTCACAAATTGCGCTGATTGAGATGCTATTCCAGGCCTCGTATGTACAAACAAAGATTCAAGTCTTGGGGCATTGAGAAGAACAGACGTCACAAGCGGAGCTCTCACACACGACCGGACGATCGAACTTCTCCTCCAGTGTCGCCGCATTCTGAGCTTCAACCGGCAAGCCCTCGAGATGTCGTCCCATTCTATGAATCTTTCCAAAGCAGACTGACCTACGACTCCGTGATAACGCCTCCTGGCGGGTCCCCAGAATCCCACGATACCGACACAGACAACCGGTCCACAACGTATACTGCGACCCCAGGCATATTCCCATTAACCCCTGCTACATCTGGAGACGGGTCTCCCATAACACCTCATGTTGAAGAAGAGAGGCTCGATGCAGACTCCATACGGAAGGAGATCATCAACTTGGCTGCTTCCATATTATCGAGATTGATCCTTGAGCAACAAAACAAGACAGCCACCGAAGTGTCGGCACCGGACGATGATCACGCCGACATCTTTCAGAGTCTACAGATTAAACTCCGACACGAAAGCAAACTTCGGGGGTGTTTAATAAACCGTCAACTCGTCGCCTCAAGATCACTAGTTAGCGAGGCCATCAGAGATATGCTGAAGCCACTTCATCCAGCCGCTCCGATCGGTGTTCTAAGCACGTTCAACCAACTGGTAGACTGGGTGGTGGTTCAAGAACTGGCAGACTGCTTGGTTGAATCTGCCATAGGTATCCTCCCGCTTCAAGACGAATTCACCCAACTCGCGCTTGCGATCCGACGCCTCCTTGTAATCACTACTTTGGAGACCTTCCAGTTATCGATGGAGTACATTTGCAACAACCTCGAAGATAGAATTCTCGATATCCTTGGACGACGAAGCCTTGTCAGAGTGTATCTTGTTCTGCTGCTCAATGCCAAAAAGGCAAAGAGCACGCACCAAAAAGACAAAAAAGTCTACGAGATGGCTCATGATCGATTCTTGTATGTTCAGCATGCTTACAAGCACAATCCCAAACTCGTCCTCGAGTTCAACTTGTTCGTCATTGGCTACTTGTCTATCGTCTCGCCAAGTGTGCAGGACGTTTTGTACATGGCAGAGACCTGCTACAACCGTGCAAACGAATATTTCAAGAGCAAAGAGGCGTCCATTACAAGCACAGAAGCGGAGATCAGGAACGCAAAATCACACCTCGGAAAAAGTTGCGGCTACCTGGCAGACTGCAACTATGCTCGAGGACAAGAGATAAATGACGAAGAGCTCAAGAACGAGGCCCGCAGAATGCTGCTGTTCGCAATCCATTTCCATGCCGAATGCGCGGAGGCAACACTTGCCCAGGCTGAGCGACAAATAGAAAAAATGAGAAAATGGTGCAACGAAGCAGGTGATACGGAGCGACTCGGGCGATTGGATATAATATCTAGTATGATTGAAGGAAAAGAGCAGCGTCCCAAAGGAGAGCCATTGCTTCCTCCGCTGAGAAGAGATGAGACCTAGTTCGAACGCAATATTCGGCTAGGCTAGCTCACGGCTTGACGAGCTACAATATGACGACAATCCGGACATGCGTTTGAAACTCGGCCGATCATCGGCAAAATGTTATCATTGTGGGCACATCCCGATGCACAATGCGGAACGTGCCTTGTTGAGGACTCGAGCTGGAGATTCGGAACATTCGCGAACGAGCTTGGCTCAGAGGTTGGGCCAAGCTATCAGCCGCAGCAAGTGGAGAGTTCCTTGCGTCATATAACTCAAAACCCCCCTTCACCCCGATGATCGATCTGGGTCCATTTCGGTGAGCCTGGTAAGGCTCGGTGAGTTGACCGAAACACACCGATTGTCCTTGGTCACAACCAACCACATCATCATTTGGCCACCAGCACCTTGCGGCGATCGGACTTCTCAACCACAACCACCCAGGAAACACTGGACCCTTCAACAGATTGTCGATTTCGATTTGTAAATCTTGAGGCTTTTTGCCATTAACTTCTTTAATCGGGCTTACTGACATCACAAGGGTCTTTGCGGCGTTTTGGCTTCATCGATCTATGGGGAAAAAGTGGCTCTGTTATCTCATCTTCATCGAATGTGATGTAATTGTGATGTTACATCATAGACACCTCAACAACAGCTCATCGAGGTGCATTGACGACTTTCGACAAGATACTTAAGCGGACAGTTGCTGCTTGCCAAATGCCAATTCTCTCAATCTACACAAATCAGTTAAGAAACACATTCAAGATACCCCAAACCAAACATCAACCAACCACCAGCATCTTTTTTATCTACCTTTCAAACAAATACCAAACTCGAATCTTTTGTCAAAATGTCTGCCACTAGAAACATCGACTCCGTCAACCCCAAGCAGGGCGAGTTCCACCCTAGTGTTCCCCGCTCCGAGCCTCTTACCACCAAGGGCGTAAGTTATCCCATCACCAGAATCTTCAATTTGAAGCAGCGTCTAACATCACCAAAGCATGCCCCCGGTACCAAGGTCGGCAACGATGCCCACCCCGAGTTCCATGCCCAGGCCTACCCTGCCGGCACCGCACCCTCAGAGAACACCTTCAGACCCAACGCGACCTCCGAGACGCCCGGTCAGGCACTGAACCCCGACATCGACCCCTCAAGCCGTACCGGTGCCACTGACTTCCCTGGTGCCACTTCCGCCGATGTCCACACTGGCCTCGGCAAGCCTATCCAGGGCCAGACCAGCGCTGAGCTGCATGGTTCCAACGTCGGTCGCCGCAACAAGGAGAGCGCTGGCCTCGAGGGTGTCGGCGCCTCTGGCAAGGACAACTTCCGTGACCGCCGCCTTGACGTTGGCGTCGCGCCTGGTGCGCGAGGCGACTCTGGCAACCCCCAGAACATCACTCCTGCGGAGGACCGGGAAAACGTTTCTGCTGAGCAGGTTGCGAGCGAGCGTCGCTAAACTTTTTAATGAGCCCATTGTACTATTAGTTATATAACGTCACGAGCAAAATGATGCTTTGCATGAATTGGCGGGAAACGGTATTATATCCGGAATCAAAAAGAAGAATTTCACGTCATGTTGTTTTCGCACTTCCCAAATTCTATCTCGCTACGTACTGAATCCCACTGTATACCCTATTTGCCATGACACATTGGACGCCAAAAACGTTCGACCGTGTAATGACCTAAGAATGCCCATTCAAGCCTAAACAACCCCCTTCATACTCCGCGAAGTATATAGATTAAGCGGAAGAGTTGGTGCGAGCATTGGAAGGAGGGGTCTTCTTCAAGGTGAGGACGATCTTGTCGGACGTGCTGTCGCCGGTCTGGTTCCACTTGAGGGAGTAGACACCGTCGACGCTGCTGGGGGTGGCATACCACAGAGACTCCATACCGCCGCCGGTAGCCTCGACAAAGATGAAGGTACCGTAGAAAATGAAGCCGCTAGTTTGGCGGTCTGACGTTGAAGAGTTAGAGAAGCCGACGTTGTGTGCGCTGGATCCGATGCTGGGGACGGAGAAGGTCAGGTTAGACCAGGTTGGGATGGTTTCGTTGCCGCCGAATTCGGTGGTATTAGGGGCGCCGAGCCAAACATTATTATCAGTGGGAGTGACTGCCGACAATTAGTTGACAGTTCCAAGACGCAGAAACTGTATCGAGTCGGTGACTTACAGACTACGGGGGCCGCGTTGCTATCGTTCAACTTGGTGTGGTCACCGAAAAAGGCATCGCCTACCAGTTGGTTGTTAGCTATGTTCTATGTCTTCAAAGTGCACAACACAAGGAAGAAACGGGATAATCGTGCACTAATGAGCCAACTGAATCATAGATACAAGCTGTGAGGAATCCCATGATTCTCAAATCCCAAAAATCCGAAAGCTACTGTATTCAACTCACCTCCAGAGGAGAACATGGAAAGACCGCCAATGCCGGTGCCGTAAGCGTAGATTTGGAACGGGCCAGAGTTGTCAACGGCACGACGCGAGTCGGAGGGAGCCGCGACCGCGAGAGCCGCGAGGGACAACAGAACAGTTCCGATGGGCTGCATGATGGCGTGATGAGTTTTCAGGGGGGTTAATGAATGTGAGGTTGGCCAAACGATTGGAAGAGGCTATAAAAGACTCAAAAGAATGATAGACTACAGTAGGTAAGTTGGACTGTGCTGAGCGGGCAAAAGGGTGGGGTTCCAGAGGACTTAACTGAGGGGGAGGGTGTTGGTTAAATAACAGAGTGGTATGTCGAGTCATCAGTACAACCAGGGCTCCTTTCCGGAGTTTTCAAGTTGCTAAGTTTTCTTCCATAACACCACCATCAGATTTTCTTCCCATGCCTAACAGGCCTAACTTGAAAGGTTAGACGTTGCGGCGTTCCAACAAGTTAGGATGCATATTGGTGAGACTCGGTCCCCACTGTGATAGTGATGGAGATGCAATTGATCATCGCATCTCCTTGAAGCATCGGTCATTGCCGTTCGGCACCTGGCCAAGCTTTGCAACCCAAATGGGACAACAACAACTTGAGCCAACGAGATGTTGCGGAAGCACCGTTGTCGTTTATTCAGTGCTAGGACCATCCCGGGAGGTGGCACGTCAACCCGGCATTTGTTTCGGAATGTGGGATGAACTGGGATCCAAACGGGTCCGGACCGGGAAGTGTGGAGCGTAGCCGGAAGCTTGATATATCGGAGAGTATTATAGGCCTAGGCCATCGCCAAAGGGGTATGGCTTCGTTTGTAACCACGTAAGTCCAGGAGGCTTCGTAGAAGACGTGGGCAGCCCTCCTGAGCACAGACAACTGTGTCTATAGAGCGGAGCCGAAAGTTCTAAATGTAGAGTCCTGAAGCGGGGGCAACGGCCGGCCTTGAGCTCCGACTGCTCCCACACTCCCGGAAGCTCGGTCATACCGGCCATCGACGGCTCAAAAGGTCTGCCGATCTCGCAAAACCAGCCATCAACTACTATCTGCCCTGTGAGGCTAGAGCGGGGCTGCTCCAGAACCCAACATCCCTATGTCTCTTTGATACTCGTCCTTGCAATGTAAACTAGCCCTATAGTAGCTACGAGTCAGCCTACTGCGGTTAACTTACACGCACCATCTTACGACCCCGTTCAGCCACGCATGGGTCACATAGGGGTTTGTCTCAGGAAACTTCCTTCTTCGACATGGGGATTACTTTGCCATAGTGTTCTTCTCCATCGTGTCTTTCTCTCGCTGAATTCATGCATGAAGATCAGGGGCTACTGGGGCGAGTCCGAGCTATATCTGGTGAATACGGCAAAATTAGGCCATGGGAGAATGATTCGATTAACTGGGGAAATAGAGTTTTTAGCATCCGTCTACTTTCGCGCTTGCCGTGAGCCGACTTAGTTGTTGCATACTTAAGCTCTTGAGACCCATCAGCTTGTTGAGACTATTCACACTCACTCGCCACCCAGCAGAGTTCAGCTGCGCTTCCATTCGCTCTTTGCCCATTCACTCTTTCCAACTTGTGTCAAACAGTCTTTCTTTTACCTTCTCTTGGCGCATTTCATCATCCAACATGATCAAGTCTTTGTTTATGGCCGGTGCCCTCGCCGGCTCCTTGGCTTCTGCTTTCCCTTCCTTGGGCTCTCTCCCTCAGCCAAACCTTTACCCTCGCGCTGCTTGCAGTGGTAACACTGCCAGCACCCGAACTGAATGGTGCGATTACTCAATCGACACCGACTACATGAACGAGGTCCCGGACACGGGTGTAACTCGCGAGTACTGGCTTGAGCTCACCGACGTGACTGTGGCTCCTGATGGCGTTTCGCGCTCCGCTATGGCCGTCAACGGCTCTATTCCTGGGCCTACCCTGTTCGCTGACTGGGGTGACACTGTTACGGTTCACGTCACCAACTCTCTGACCACTTCCAACAACGGAACCAGCATCCACTTCCACGGTATCCGTCAGAACTACACCAACGAAGCCGATGGCGTCAGCTCCATCACCCGGTGCCCTCTTGCTCCCAATAACACCATCACCTACACTTGGAGAGCTACCCAATACGGCTCGACTTGGTACCACTCTCACTTCGCACTCCAGGCTTGGCAGGGCATCTTTGGTGGCATTATCATCAACGGCCCTGCCACCGCCAACTACGATGAGGACCTTGGCATGATCTTCTTGAACGATTGGGACCACCAGACCGTTGACGAGCTGTACTCTACTGCAGAGACCAGCGGCCCTCCCACTTTGGACAATGGTCTCATCAACGGTACCAACGTTTATGGCGATGTGTTACGGCCAGCTAACTGACAGTGGGTTTGTGTTAACAGTAAGCCAGGGATTGAGAGTAGTAACAGTCGTTCCGTGGTCCTGGTCGAATAGATCGTAGATCTTCAAAGGTCTTGGTGATCAGTCAAGGCCTCAACAAGAGTCGTAGAGTAGTCGTCACTTAGGTATAGCTGAAAGTACCGGTTAGGGTAATCACGAAGTTGATTGCTGAAGAACTAGGAAAGGTAGGACTCGAGAGGACTCGAGTCCCAACTATATACAAGTCTGGTTCCATGCTGAACACTTCCTGATCCTGGGGGACCGACACCCAGGACGTCGGTCCATCGCCATGGACCGCCCTTGGCACCGTCGGTCCTGTTGATTGATTGATTGATTGATTGATTCCTACACGGTTATGAAGCCGCTCTTATGCTAGCAGCTATGCCCGGAAAGCGGGGTTTGGCAGACAGCCGAAGCATCGACGATAAACCGCGACGCCCCACTTCGCCCTGTTGTTGGATCAGGACCAGCTGTCCCCAAGCTCCCACTATGCTATCTATTCTTGTGTGTTTATGCCCTCTGTTGAAGATTGTTGTCCTCCTGCCTGCTCTCTCGCTTGGTGTTGCCTTCTAGAATCCTTCTTTCGCGTCCTCCTACTTCGGTTCTGTTGGTGCTAGGCACCATGTCTGGTTCTGTATACCTATAGTCTCCCCCCAGCCCTCAGCTTCGTCTCTTTATCTTGTCCGCATCCTCTCAGACTCGCATGTGCTATATCTCAGTTGAATCTGTAAATCTTTTTGTTGCCTCATGCTGGGTTCCTATGTGGCTCTATGTTTCCATCTTTCGACCACCACCTCCATCCACCGCCTGGAGTCGGACTCAATCCGCAAAACACAATGCTCTAACCGCTTCGATTCGTCCGATTACTAAGTATGAGAGCTCGTACACAGATTCCGCAGACATTGTCATACGTTGAAGGGGCGACAATCCTTCTTCGCGGAGGGGGCGACAGGGGACCAATCTGTCTGCAAACTGTAGTATTTTGTGGCATCGATCGTAGCATGCCTGGTGTCTGGTGCTTTCTCTATGCAGGAGGTGATACCGTTCTGTCGGGCTTGTCGTCGTTGTTGTCGCGGGACGTTGCAAACTTTGTCGGGGGTGATAGGCGACCCATAACCTATCGGTGGCTGTGGTGTTGATGTTTGTTTGGGCTTGGTCGTTGTGCTCACGTGATAGCCCGTGACTCAACCGCGGTGGTGTCGATGGTGTTGTCTATTGACGTGTCATACTTTGTGGCTTGCTCTCGAATTTTTCGTGGTCAGAGCCCGCCCGCGGCCACGAGCAGGCTCTTTGGGAGCAGAATCAATGCCGAGGATGACATTATGCCCAAAGTGACCTCTGAGAGCGCGAGCGGGCGTGGTTTGATCAATTTGATGCTGTTTTCAAAAATTTCGTTCTCGCTGTTGTTGATGTTTTTCACCGTCGGTCCTGTCCCAGGACCGCTTATCGTCCGTCGGTCCTGCTTATCGTCACGTGACCTGTATCCTAGTTCTTCCGTTCCGTGGGGGTTGTTACGACGTAACGGCTGACGGCCGTCCCTATAACCGCTGAGCCCCTGCGGGGTCGTCGTCAGTGGTCTGTTAACTGTCGGGTCGTAACACGATGACGGCGATTCCTCTCAGACTGGCTCCCGCTTCAACGTCACCTGGACCTCTGGTACCTCCTACCGCATGAGACTCGTCAATGCGGCCGTCGATACTCACTGGAAGTTCTCCATCGATAACGAGGGTGTGGTCAAGGCGACCATTGGGGGGGGGGGATAACCTGACCAATTACCCACTTATTTTGTGATTTATGGGGCTACCCTGAGATCAGCTGACCATGGTCAGCTAGTTAGCTATGGTCAGGTTGAAATTCCTTAGCGCGGTTTGAAACCTTACCCTTAACATACTTTTTATAAGAACATACGATATTTAAACGCTTCTAAATCCGTTCCGAATCGATTTACAATAGCTTTTTAATCGATTGAAAATCTCTTCCCTCGCCTAGAAGGAATAAGTCCTCTATTAAAACCTACTAGTCTTGATATAGAAGCTAAAGAAGACTTAAATCTTTACTATCAACTACCAGCCCAGGCCCAGTCTGGCTTACTAGTAAATGAGGAGGTAGGGATATATAAGAACGACTTTGGAATTAGTTCTAAATCGATTTAGGATTAACTCGAAACCGATTTAGAAATACTTTTAATACTTATTTTATTAAAAATAACCCGTTCTAAGCATAATAGCTTTAAGGATATTTATATACTTACTTAAAAAGTAATCTTTCTACTTATATTTATAAAATATCTAGAAATAAGTAAGAATAAAGTCTTTATATATTAATATAACGTACATGATAAGCGAGTGAGACAGACAAGCGAGTGAGACAGTAAACCAGACCTTCGCGACAATAATATCGAAATCTATAACAAGAAATCTTAGATTGATTAATACTACTCGGATTCCTGTTCTTCGGATGTTTCCTCAATAAATTGACATGTTCTCGCGTTGTGGCCTGTATTCCCGCATACGCCACACCGACGATGAGTCGTCTCAGACCTCACTTTGCGACCACTACTCCGTCGCGTTTCCTCTTGTAGTTGCGTGTCTGCCTCTCTTTGCGACTGTATATCCTCTCCAGTAGATATAGTAAGACTTCCTCCTTTCTGTAGACGTGTTTTCTTAGCCCTTCGACGCCGACTTAATATTGCATTCTCCTCTCGAAGGATTTGAACCTCTGACTCTAGTAATGCTACCCGATGCCCTAGTCCTTCTGTCCCTCTGGCTAGCTTACTCACAGCACTATAAATTGATGCTGGAGAGCTGCTTCGGTGGCGTGAGATTCGACTCTTAATAAAAGTAGACTGTGATCTTGCTTCGCTTGGGTTGCTCGGCGTCCTAGAGATCCAAGGGTCTGGTGTCTGAGGGACCCCCTCCTCAGGCGTTGGCGTTCGGAACTTTACATCCAGCTTTGAGAGAACACTTTCTGCATTCAAAGGGACAAGTCCAGCTCCTCGGAAACCTCCCTGGATATTTTTCCTCGTAAAAGACTGCTTAAAAGCTTCGTGAAATGCTGCAAAGAAATCTTCCTTCGAGATATGGGTTGTGCCTCGCCGCATCTTATTCTCAATTTGCCGACCGTAGGCATTCTTTAACGGCTGAAAACAACCAACATCTAAGGGTTGAAGTAGATGAGACGAGTGAGCCGGCATGCACAGTGTAATAATGTTGTTTTCTTGACAAAAGAGCTCGAAGGCTGCGGAGTGGTGACTTTCATGACCATCAACAACGAGGAGGCGATATTTCCCAGACGTACGTGGTTTTGTATAAATGTCGAAGTGTCTGATCCAGTCAATACCTCTCTCGTTTGTTGTCCATCCATTTTCAGACGTTGCAATAGCCCAATCGCCCGGAAGAGAGGTTTCTGTATACCAGCTTGAGAGGTGATACTGGCCTGCAACGATGATGTATGGCGGGATGCTCTCCCCTTGGGAATTAATAGCCTGGATAACTGTAACCCATTCCCTATTGCCAGGCTGTGTCATCTTCGTATTTGAACGCCTTTCAGCACTTGTAACAACCATTCCAGAAGCAATAACGCCCATCATAAAGCCGGTCTCATCAAAGTTGTAGATATCAGCATCAGCAATACCATACTTCGCAATTGTATTCTTCACAAGCGAAAACCAGCCACGAATCACCTCTGGATCTTCGCATTGAGCTCTCTTATAGTCATACTTGCGAAAGAAACGCGTCCTAAGCTGTGGTTGTCGCTTGACGAAATTAGAAGCCCAGCGCTTCCCAACTGGAGGCGCGTCGCGCTCTGCGAGAAGTCGATTGGCCATTTCTTCCACACCACTCAGCCGGGGAGGAAATGATCGCGCATCTAGGTCGAGAATATACTCAACTATTGTCTTCTCTTCTAAATCTGATAAATTCCGTGAATTAGGCATGCTGTCGCGTCGTGAGACTATTCCCTTTAGTCGCCGGCTTAATGTTGCGTGACTGACTGTATAGAGTGCACCTGCGGCCCGAGCACTAAGTTTTGGGTCATTTCTCATTGCTTGAAGGGCAATTTGTAACCTTCTTTCAATACTAGCTGATTCCATGATTTATTGTAGAGGAAAAGGTGCCGGTCGCGTCAAGGTGCGACGGTCGCGGTTTACTGTCTCACTCGCTTGTCTGTCTCACTCGCTTATCATGTACGTTAAAGACTTTAAATAAGGAGGATATTAAATCGCTTTAGAAAATAGTAAATAAACTACTTTTAAATCGATCTAAGATCGATCCTAAACTATTTTAAAACTAATTATATTATAGATTTATGTTACGACCCGTTGGACATGGTCGCCAACACGACCCCGCCTGGATCCCGGCGGCTAACGCAGGGCATAATTGATTGATTGATTGATTCCTACACGGTTATGAAGCCGCTCTTATGCTAGCAGCTATGCCCGGAAAGCGGGGTTTGGCAGACAGCCGAAGCATCGACGATAAACCGCGACGCCCCACTTCGCCCTGTTGTTGGATCAGGACCAGCTGTCCCCAAGCTCCCACTATGCTATCTATTCTTGTGTGTTTATGCCCTCTGTTGAAGATTGTTGTCCTCCTGCCTGCTCTCTCGCTTGGTGTTGCCTTCTAGAATCCTTCTTTCGCGTCCTCCTACTTCGGTTCTGTTGGTGCTAGGCACCATGTCTGGTTCTGTATACCTATAGTCTCCCCCCAGCCCTCAGCTTCGTCTCTTTATCTTGTCCGCATCCTCTCAGACTCGCATGTGCTATATCTCAGTTGAATCTGTAAATCTTTTTGTTGCCTCATGCTGGGTTCCTATGTGGCTCTATGTTTCCATCTTTCGACCACCACCTCCATCCACCGCCTGGAGTCGGACTCAATCCGCAAAACACAATGCTCCAACCGCTTCGATTCGTCCGATTACTAAGTATGAGAGCTCGTACACAGATTCCGCAGACATTGTCATACGTTGAAGGGGCGACAATCCTTCTTCGCGGAGGGGGCGACAGGGGACCAATCTGTCTGCAAACTGTAGTATTTTGTGGCATCGATCGTAGCATGCCTGGTGTCTGGTGCTTTCTCTATGCAGGAGGTGATACCGTTCTGTCGGGCTTGTCGTCGTTGTTGTCGCGGGACGTTGCAAACTTTGTCGGGGGTGATAGGCGACCCATAACCTATCGGTGGCTGTGGTGTTGATGTTTGTTTGGGCTTGGTCGTTGTGCTCACGTGATAGCCCGTGACTCAACCGCGGTGGTGTCGATGGTGGTGTCTAT